TTGTGGATGATTCTATAGTGAACATTGTTAAGGAATTGCATGAGAGAGAAGAGACAGATAGTGATGATGATGTGGATTTTATATATTATTAAATATTTCTGACTGTGACTAAAATTTTATATGTAATAAAGTCCAGGACAGTCAAAGGCCAGGCGTTTTCAGTATAGAATATGAGATAGCGGCTCTCAATGTTATATAGATATTATAAGTTTAAGTTTTAAAGCAGTGGCTTCAAGCGTGCGACTCATCCCTGAGGTCGTAGAACCCCGGCTGTGCGCATTTAACATTCGCTCGTACGAAGGAAAACATCATGAGGAAACCGGCTTGCATTAGACCCAACACGATGGCGTGTCAGGCACAAGAGGCTCACCTACTTGCCTATTAGATTGATAAATGATGAAACAGAAATCTAGACCTAAAATATTGTAGCGCCGCTTAATTATTTTTAATTTTTATTATAAGTTTAATTAATTTAAAGCTTAGTAATAAGAAAAAAACCCATCTGAATAAAGACTCAATAGTGTTTATAAAAAATAGAATTAGTGTTTTTGTACCAGTATTATATAGAATTGACCATATCTCATGAAAATTTCGTGTCTATCCAAAAAGGCCAAATTTTGACCCAGTTTCAGGTTTTTAATCGACTTCAAAATAGAGGTTTTTCAATTAATTAGACCGTATACTATTCTTTTGTATTGGAGATATCCCAAGGTATGATAAGGAACCCAGCATCTGATTATTCCAGAAAAATCGAGGGGATACTTCCAAAATTGTAGTGGCGTCTAGCGCGTTTGTTATTGTTTTTTGAAACTACTATTTCATAAGGATCTGGTTGTTATGATCTTCTTAACGATTTACTGCCATTACCTGGTGTTCGGGCTTGATTTTTTGTTACCAGTACATTTTTTTAAATAAATTTATAGTTTTTTTTTTTTCAAAAAAAGTACGTAAAATCGTATCCTCTTAAATAATTGTCCCCAGCTGAAAAAACAATTTTTTGTTACGCTTGGTGTAAGGTGATTATTTATGTCTGCTGATTATGATATTGGAAAATAATTGCACTTTTGATGCACTTTAATTTCCCTAGTGAAGTGCATCATAATGCTATTTTGCATTAATTTAATTGACATACGAACATTCATTTGCTAATAATTTATGCTAATTCTAATAAATCCTATACTGGTGGATGTTTAGGTGCTGCACTGCAATTTTAATTTGAATGGTGTGATTGGGCTTATTTAAGGTACATTCCAGGTTAAGGTTCCGCAAAATTTAGGTTTTCAATGCTTCACTAAATTGTTATTGCACGTTTTTATTTTCTTAGGGCCGATTTAGATTTTATTCGAAATAAATAAACTAAATATAAATAAAATAGCTTCTTTTAAGGCAGTGTATGCCGAATGCCTAGCCTGTTTGTTTTTGTATAAATTGTTTTTAACGTTCCACAAACATTCGTGAACAACATATTCAGACACAAATTTGATAGTTGTATCTTCCGACCATTTAGCCATCTTTAAAAATCAAAAAACACGCACGCGTTTCACGGCACTTGTGCACTCTCCTAAAGATTTTACTAAATTACGTGTTTACACACAACGAGGGAAGATCTCGGGGGTTGCGCGGGAGCGGGAGGGGTATCACTTGAAACAAAAATAAAAAGCGATTCTATTTTGATTCAACTTGAAAGTCAAGTAGAACCGTACTAAAGCAAGTAGCGTTTACATGTTTCAACTAAAGTACTATCCTAAAGCACTCTGCTAAACACTAAGATAATGTAAATCGGCCCTTAGGCTTGTAACGTATACATTTAAGCTCACCGAGTGAAATTGACAATTCTGAGTATCATGGGGATGGTGGGCCCACCCATCCTGGTAGCCGTAGTCGTACAACGAACAATGCAGTTTAGAAAGCTGACGAACGAAGCTGCCAGCCAGATGTTGTTCTTGGAAACGGTCGGCGGGTGCGCAGGTAGCGGAAGGGTTGGTCGGTCCTTTTTACCAGCGTGGTAGTTTAGTTTTAAGTTATTATTTGTATAGCTTCAGATAGATTTAAGCAGCCGTGCCGGACGGACGTTAGTTATAAGCTTGCTTCGCTGTGTTATTTTGTGTCACCATCACTAACGTTCGACCAATAAACGGTCGTGGAGGTCGTGTAGGTCGCGGTGGCCGTGGTGGTAGTCGTGGTAGTCGTGGAGACCGCGGGGGACGTGGAAACAGTGGAGAAATGGTGGATGAAATTAGGAGGTGAGTATTTGCTTTTACTTTAACTTATTGGTTGTTTTTCTCTTGATTCTACAAAATATTTAGATTTTTTTTATTGCATCAGTGACCTAGATCTAGTTAGCGCTCAAAGGCAAGTAACACAGAGGCGTGTTGCGGCATTGTCAGCGGAAGCTCGCAAGGAGCTTCTGGGCCGCAAGCGTGAGAAACAATTGACACGAGTGCTTTTGCCTGACGCTCCACCGCGGAAGCGACTCGTACAGTTTTTACTTACTATTAATATTCGTTGAATATTTCTATGAACGTCATTTTTGTTTGTTACAGAAGATCATCGCCGGATCGTGCGAGGCGTGCGAATTCATCGACAGCGAATATTTAACTGCTTTGTTATTTTTAAATCGGCAAATCCCAAAATTTCCCATAGGCTGTTTAGGACAATTCTAGCGGAAGACTTATTAAAAATACACCGAAATATTGAACTGACTACGGAACCCCGACTTATACTTAAACTATATAAAGGGTTTTTCAACAAGAACTTTGTTTTCTAAAACAAAATAAAACAAAGAATTTAGAGGAAAATGAATAAAATTTTTATTGTATTACAAAGAGAAAAGTTTGGCAATTATGAATGAAAAATGATATCTGGCAAATGTCCACCACGACCACGCTGACAGATGTTGATTCTTTCATCAAAATTTTTAATCACTTTTTGGCAAAATGGAGGGTCTATTTCGTTAATGACATCACGGATTTTGAGTTTTAAGGCTGCAATCGATTCGATTGGCTCCGTATAGACTCTGTCTTTAACATAGCCCCACAAAAAATAATCCAGTGGTGTTAAATCACACGATCTGGCTGGCCACTTAACAGCTGAATTTCGCGAAATTATGCGCTCGGGAAATTTGGTTTGCAATAAATTGATCGTTTCATTGGCTGTGTGACATGTGGCACCGTCCTGTTGAAACCACATTTCAGTGATATCCATGTCATCAATAATAGGCCAAAATTTAGTGGTTAACATCTCGCGATACCGTGATCCATTGACTGTTACCGCATTTCCAGCCTCATCTTCGAAAAAAAAACGGCCCAATCACGCCTCCAGACCACATAGTGCACCACACAGTAACACGTTGAGTATGCAAAGCCTTCTCAATAATTGCTTTAGGATTTTCAGAAGCCCAAATGCGACAATTTTGCTTGTTGACGTACCCTGACAAATGAAAATGGGCTTCGTCTGAAAAAATGATTTTTTCAGAAAAACCAGCAGGTTGTTCCTGAATGAACTGAGCGAATCTGCGGCGATTTGAATGGTCGATCAGCTTTAATTCCTGCACCAGTTGAATCTTGTAAGGCTTCAAAGCCAAATCCTTTCGCAAAATTCGCCATGTTGTGCTTTTGGATAACCCCAATTGTTGAGAACGTCGTGAAATTGACAAATTGATCTTCTTCAACACTGTGGCTCACGGCGGCGATGTTTTCTGTTGAACGACCCGGTCGAACACGTGTTGGTGTTGGCACATTTTGTACCGAGCCTGTCGACTCAAATTTCGCGACCAAATTCTTAACAGCGGTCTCAGAAGGACGATTATGCTGGCCGAAAATATCACGAATTTTACGAAATGTAACTTTAACAGAACCACCATTTTTATAGTGGATTTGAATTATTTTAATGCGATTTTCGAGCGAAATTGAATTCATTGTAATAATTGCCAAAGCACCTGCTACGAATACCGCCAAAAACTAAATGTCAAAACTATCACGTTCTCGGTGTTGCCACAATTGAAAAACAAACTTCTTGTTGAAATACCCTTTACATCTCGAACCGGACTGACACTGACGACGAGACCAAGACCAACAACAAGCAATAGAGCGAGAAATGGGCACAAACAAGTTCGCTGTTGGATGTGCGCCCAGCGAAAGGTCACTGCCAGAACTATATGGAAGTGTCTAGAATGCAGCATTGACCTATGCATTAAAGGTTGCTTTATGGAGTACCATATTTAACTACTTAAATTTTTATTGAACTGTTTTAATTATTTTATTATTTACAAATCTTTATTATTAAAAATGTCTCATAAAAAGTTACGATAATGTTATTCTGTGTTTCATTTAAAAGAAACGATTGAAATAAGTCGAATTGAAAACTATTTCTAGTTAGTTAAAAAACTACAAGGTGTGTGGGAGACCTTAGCTGGGCGGTCATCTTGGCCCAAAAAAGTCATAGCGCGCGACTCGAGAGGCTAGGTAAAATTACGAGAAGTGATTGTTTTGTTTTGATTTATTAGTCCACTCAATGTTGATTACATATAAACATCTTGGCATCTTTTGAAAGGATAATTAGTCTAGTTTTTTGTAAAATTATTCTTATGATGAAATCGTTTATATTTTTTGCTTATATATATATCTATAAAAAATATAAGCATTTTTGCTTAGACTCAAATGTTTTATCCCGTTTTAAGTACGAATTTACTAACAATATCTAATTATTAAAAAAATGTGTTTTAATCTATATACTGCAACCTATTCTGTAGTATTTTTTTCATAGTTGTAGTTATTATATTTCGACAGATATAATAGATTTTGTTGCGATGTAGCGGGCGCGGTGCGCGCGGGACTATGCCGCGCGAGTCGTTGACCATTGTACAGGTGACGTGAAAACAGTCGCGCCGGCCCGTACGTGAGTGGATAATGTATAAAAAAAACAATTTGATTTTTATAAATATTTTATTTACTTTCAAAATAAAAATCATAGTATAATTGCAATAAATGCTCTATATCACATTATTCCTTCTTCTTCTTGCTTGGAGATTCCTCATCACTGTGTCGCCGCTTTCTATCAGTATCATTATGTTTCTTTTCTTTAGCTTTTGGTGCTTCTTCCTCAGATTTTGTGTCTGGTATCACCTTTTTGACACGAGCTGCATCAGGCGAATATGCCCATAGTAAAAGTTCTAAATGTTCGTTTGTTGGTTCATCATTTTCTTTATACAACTTCGCATCCACATACTGTAAAAGCGAAGTTAATTTAAATGCCTATTAAGTAATCATAAGGGAATTCAGAGATTCATAGAATGCTATTTCAACCGTTTGAGGGCATGGGTGTTCCTACCCTAATGTACTCATGTATGCCTAAAAATTACAAAAAAAATCGTTGATTTTCATGTCATTTACCGTTTCCTGCAAAAAATATTTATCTTCTTTTATTAATCTTTTTATCTCAAAACGACCATATTAGCACTGGATCGTTGGTGAGATACTTGGGCTTGTTAATTCTGAAGTGTTGGCTTCCTTTGGAACAAGCTTCCTATTATATATTATAACTAGCAGACCGGCCAAGCGTTGCTGTGGCTAAGGTTTTAGTTATATTACATAGTAGTAACCTATTCAAGGGAAACGGTAGGAGAACACCAGTCATGGGGACCACCATGCTTTTTTGGTGGTAATGCCTGTAGTGAAACACACGCTAGTTGGTTTAACCCTGATTTATTTTCAAATACCCTCCATAAGTACATAATAATACCACATCTTTCCCCTTATAAATAAAGCTATAAAGCAATCTTAATTTGAATTAACATCTAATAACTTAGCTGTAAACACAAATAATTATAGGTAAGTACCTGAATGTTTTTGAAATTACATTGTAGCTTATGTGAAACGTTGGTACGTTCAACACAGCGCTAAGTTGGATCGAACTGCACACGGCGTGCAAATTTAATTTAAAATCGGTTAAGTAGTTTAGGAGTCCATCACGGACAAACAACGTGACACGTGATTTATATATATTAAGATTTAAACCAGTTTAACAGAATCAAGATAAAGTAACACTAACAAGGTAACATCAGTAAACTTAGACTAAACGAGTATGGAGATGAAGTTTTATTGAAACGTAATAAGTATTTTGGAGAAAAATGTAAGACATGCACTTAATAATATTTCGATGTAATTGTTACCTTTTCTTTAAGATCTTTGAGTGCAGCATTCCTAACAATATCCCAAGATTTCCCATCATCCTTCTCTAATACCGTACGGAGACGTTTATATTCACCATTCACTGATGAATAGGCGTCTATAAATGATTTCTGAAAGTCAAAGCATTGTTCAAAAATTAATGCAGAAAAATATGATTGACTCTTATTTCTGAATAAATTTCTTTTTAATGTCATATTTTACTATGCTTTGAATAACACAAACATAACACAACTCTCATACCTGAGGTCGTAGGTTCGATCCCGGCTGTGCACCTGTGGATTTTTTTTTCTAAGTGCGCATTTAACACTCGCTCGTACGATGAAGGAAGATAAGGAAAACCAGCAAATTCAAAAAGTCGACGGCGTGTGTCGGACACAGAAGGCTGATCACATTACGAAACAGATATATAAATTTGAGGCCCAGACCTAAAACGTTGTAGCGCAACTGGTTTTTTTAAATAACATGTTTACTTCTTACATTCAACCATATATTATCTTATTATTGGCGAATTTAATTCATTTTTAGAAACCTTATCTTACCTGCTGATCTGTAACATTGTCTCCGGCCAAGCGGAGGCAAGTACGGACAATTCCGAGTGGTAGGTAAGGGTTATTTTGCTTACTTAAATGTAGAGTTTCAAAATCATCTAGAAACTTCTCGAAAATCGATATTGACTCTTTTATGTTTGCTATTTTGGTCTCGTCACGAGTACCTAAAAATAAACACTTATTAAGGTATATTTAAAGTAACAAAAAACATATGCATCTAATTAAATAGTAATCCTCATTACTAGGGTTTGTATTATATTTGTATATTTAATGTCGTTACTTAAAGCGAACTATACTATCGTCTGTCAAATTGGTATATTTTTATGCCTTTGATAATTTCTTATATGTGACGACTCATTGGTCTAGTGGTTAGTATTCATGGGTCCCGGGTTCGATCCCCGGTTGAGTCGTGATGCATTTGGTGTTGTGCTTAGGTCTTGGGTGTTTAAATATGTATTTATATGTCTATCTATCTATAATATGTATGTATATCCGTTGCCTAGTACCCATAACACAAGCTTCACCAGCTTAGCATGGGACTAGGTCAATAGGTGTGAATTGTCTTTTAAAAAAATATATATATTTTTGTCTAAAGAAAGATATAAAAAAACGTTTTCCAAAATGTCTTGCATAAGGCCCTCTACATAAAATTAAAACTCAGAAATCTATTGAAAAGGGGCGTGACTAATTGGAGGCGGTAAACTTACAAATAAATAAATTTGCTAAGGCACTAACAACAGATTAACGTTTCAATAGAAAAATTTACGGCTGTGACATTTAATTTGTATACTTTTCAACAATTTTGTAAACGCGCGAGTACTCGAATGCATTCTCGTTTAAAGATAACTTAAGACAATAATTAATAACGTCGACAGGATAAATATTTTTTTAAATTTTAAAATACGTAAATAAAAGTTCAACGGGTTTTATTTAAGCAATACAGAAAATCGTTCTATCTTCAAGTGCTAAACCAACGTTAAAACGATGAGATAAAAACCATCCGTAGATTTTACCCGATAATATGGGAATTACATTAAATTTTTGTATATAATTATTAGGTATATATTTGTATATTCTTTTTATTTGTCAAAAATACAGAGTACTATTAAAAAAACATGTGGACTTTATCACGGCAATGTTTTATTGAGTCTTCACTACATCTGTGCATGCGTAACAATTTTAAATCTTGATTTATATTTGATGAAGTTAAATCTATGCATGATAACACATTAACTAAGTTTTATTTAAAGGCTAGCTTATTTTTATTCAGAAACCAATTAAAACGCAATAAATTATGATGACGTTTATACTCACATGTCAAAACTCTCTTTGCTCTTCCAATAAGACCTCTGACAGCTAGCTTTTGATAATCGGGATCACGGCCTTCGAGTTCTTTTAATGTGTTATCTGTTGCTTCCTGAAAATATTTATAACTGATTTACATAATATTTACAAAAAATGCAAGAAAAAGTTGGCAATTTAACCAAGTTGAGACTCGTGGATATCGTACGTGTACCGCCATCTTGACAGTTGACACTTCCGTATTGCTTAACTTCGATGATCGTTGATTTTAAGAATTTTGACAGTAATAGTTTATTATTTTACATCAACTTACAATTACATTACAATCACTTCATAAAATACATCCAACATTTAAATTATGAAACAAGGCAAGTAATATAATAAAACTCGAAAAAATTTCATAGATGTCTTATAAACCTCTCGCAAACAGCATCGGAAACGTCTGTTTCAGTTGTGTCGTCAGTTGTATCTGTCAATTTTTTTTTACCCACCTTATCCTTAAACCCGAGCCCTGGAACCGTGTCTGGAGGAAGTTCCTTCTTCACTTTCTTCTCTTTCGATTCTTCCATATCAACATCCGAATCACTATCGTCCTGAGAAATTAAATTTTATTTATCACGTAAAGGTGCGCTTACACAAGGGCAATAATTGCTCGGCAACACGAATGGACCGATCTGGAGCAATTTCAATAAATTCATAAATAAAAATTATTTCGGCGATATTGCATCTAATTGCTCCAGATATTTCATATATTTCGCTCAATATTGTATTGCGCAGTATTGATGCTTGTTGCCGTTGCCGTAAATTGCTTGATGTAGTCGTGACGTCATAATTGACAAGTATTGACTGGAATTGAGCAATTTTAGTTGCCCGTGTAAGCGCACCTTAAGAAATACTACAAATACCTGTTAACAGATAACTGTTGCTAAGGTAACAAGAGTTTTCAACAGTGGTTTTCAAATGTAGGTAATATACCATGATTTAGTTCTAGAAATTAAATATATCTTTAGCGGTCGGAATAACTTTGTAACGATTCTGCCTTGCGATTCTGTATAAGGTCCCTCCTTGTAGTTTATTGTTTATCAGAATGCCAAATCGTAAAATGACTGCTTTACGACTGATTTAAGCGCAACCGCCGCTGCGAAAACCGCTGTGTGAGTTCGAAAAGTGAGTTACAAAATCGCAATGCAGGGCAACGCGCGCGGCGCGGCGACGCGGATGTCGCCCTGACATCGCGATTGTAGGCGCAGACTGTAAATGTCGTTTAAATACGTACATATTATTAAGGTTTGACGGCCTAATATAATTCTTTTTAGAAGACGGTTCGGAAGTTGTATTTTTAATGAAAACTAGCTGCCCCCGCGAACTTCGTTTCTCCTTAATGCCTAGCCTACCTTTTTACATACCAACATGGAACATTTTGCTACCCCAGAGACTGTTCGGTTTTCCGGAATTAAAACTTTTAAGGTTTTTCTGTTATTTTTCTCTATATTTAAACCACAGAGTTCAGGTTATAAGTTCTTAACTAACAAATAAAAAATAGGGGTTGATCATAGAGGGTAGATGAAAATTAAGGGTTGTATGTATTTTTGTATGCTGTATCATAAAAAAATAAAAAAAAAAATTGTTGTCTTAAAAATAATAAATAAATTTGGGGTAGACACTCCTTACTCCTGGTTTGAAAGATAGATAGTAGCCAATTCGCAGAATTACTTAATATGCGTAAAAAAATTCATAAGAATCGGTCGAGCCTTTTCGGAAGAGTATGGGAACGAACATTGTGACACGAGAATTTTATATATTAGAGATTAATATATTTTGAGATATTGGAGTCCATTTGACTCGATAGGTCTGATATCAATATTACCTTAGCATCTCCGTTACTATCTTCTTTATCTTTCTTGACAGTCTTTTTCTGTGTCCCTTCTTTATTCTTCTCCAATTCCGCGGTCCAGTTCTCAAATACCTCCATGGCTTCCTTGATATTCTTAATTTTTTCTTCTGCTTTTGTTACTAAAAGGATAAATAAGAGTTGTGGTTACTTAACTTTCCCCTAAACACCCAAATGACATCAATGCGATGCGTCAGGTTCAAGTTAATAGTTATTAAAACCTCATTTTAATGGGCTCAGTAGTTTCTGACATAGTTTTCATTATCCTTTCTTACCCGATTTCCAAGATTCACGAGATTACTGAATGTATGTATGAATGTTTGTATGTACATTGACCTACAGATCAGATTCTTTATATTGAAAGGAAATGATTTGTCTTGCATTTTTAGTGTGTAGTTATTTATTTTATAAAACAAAAGCAAAATGGGCATGGAGGCTCATCTGACTGTTAACGGCGATAGTTCATGTCCCATGGACTTCGAAGAACCAAAGAAAAAAGAAAAGAGAGTCGAATTAGTCCTCGGAAATATGTACTTAGTGGGTAGTTCGGGTCCACTGGTTGTTTTTGGAACCTTAGAGAACTTCAAAGGCTGAATATTTCACTTAAAAGCAATATACTTAATTCTCCATTTTTAACCGGCTTTCCTCTTGGCATAGTTTAATATCAAATAATTGAAAAATAATGTGTTATTAAGTTTAAAAAAAAAAACCCAAAAAAAAGGAGAAAAAAAGTCCAAAATAGACATACATGAATACCCACGTTCTAGAATTGCTTCGCTCCGTCCGAGTTCTCAACCCGCGGACTGTACGCGAGACGGCGATAGTTCATGTCGTGCTCTTCTAATAGCCGAAAAACGGGTCTCCTCCGCCTTCAGGCCTTGTCCTTCAGCGAAACCCATCACGCAAAAAAAAAAAAAAAAACGCTTATCTTCTTTCTCGATCCTTACCCATAACTCTGCGAATGAAAGTGAATTCAGGTGGTGTGTGAGGTGGGTGTTATAAGAGAAATAAGGGAAATTATTTTGTGTGTTTATTTAGGACCTCTATTTAATATATAGAGCTTAGTGTTAACAATTGGCCTAGTGGCTTGAGTTAATTGAATAAACCCTTGAAGAAATCTACCTCATCCGACCCCCAGCTCGTAAAAATATATAGAGCAGTGTTGGCCTGGTGGCGTTACTTTCCCTCATGCATCATCACGGGCTGTGCGTCAATGGAATTTCCTTTCTGTGGTCGCACTTAGCACCCCTACGGTTAAGGCTATCATCATGAGTAAACCGGCATGTCTCACACTGATCACATTGTCATAAACATGATCGAAAAGCCGTATGCGATATGAGGCCATGACCTATTTAGGGTTGTAGCGTCACTGGATTATTCCGATTAAAGTTCACCATATAACTAAGATAATGCTTATGTAATAAATACAAAAAAATAACAATAAAAACAATAACTACTTAACCTTAAAATATTTATTATATTTTAAGTTAAATATATAAATACATTATAATCAAAATAATCCAGTAATTCATATACATTGTAAATGGATATTAATTACTATTCTAAATCAACTTAAGGGGCAAATGGCGAGAGGAACAGAAAAGTGGAACAAGAAATGTTAAACTGGTGCCCAAGGTACAAGAAGAGGAAGACAATTTAGAATATACCAAATTGAGGAAAAAGCTGGTGCATGGCAGAGTGGCACAGTGCAGACAGAAATTGCGGAATTTGGAGGAGGCCTTTGCCAAAATGGGCACACAGATAGAGAAGAATAAGATGATACAAAGCTTTTATTATTATTAATTTATATCAAAATATTAGTTTGAGCGTTGTGATGCCTGATAATACAAGGCTACCAAAATGTACACAATATGCTAATAATAATAACATATGCGGTATAAATGTTGTCACGAAACACTTTTAACGATGACATAACACAAGGTTAAATCGTGATGTCGTTTACATTACTACTGTACTCTTTAGTTGCTGTGTTTTAAACAGCGCCCTTACCCTGTAACTTAGTAAGCAAGTTCGATGTAAGTAGGCATACAATAACTCATTATTGACATTGAGATCGCTACTGGAACTTACAGAGTTCTTTTTTTTATAGCTGCCTTGCGATCTGTACTCACTTTTCGAACTCACACAGGAGCTTTCACCCCTTTCACACAGATCCTTATCAGAATGCCAAATCATCAAATGACTGCTTCACGACTGATTTTAGCGCAACCGCCGCTGCGAAAACCGCTGTGAGAGTTCGAAAAGTTGGTTACAGAATCGCAAGGCAGGTGGAAACATGAGACACCTGATGTTAAGTCATACGTGGACACTCAATGCCAGAAGGCTCGCGAGTGCGTTACCGGTCTTTTAAGAATAATTGGTACGCGGTAGGTGCTGCCTAAAAAACCCTCAGTTGAATGACGGACGTCAAGGTGATACCGGTGGAATTTCCTATTCTGCCTGGACGTCCGATGATTAAACTAAGCTAAAGGTAAAATCTGAACAACTCCTTTGAACACTCTCCGTTCTGATGTTAGGGGTATAAGCACTGGGGTATTATTATTAAAAATTTAATCAATAATATTATGTTGTTTATCAACGTTTAAGTCGTAAAGAAGGAGCCCCGTTATGGCTTCAGCGTGCACCAATGGATTTAACACTCGTGATTTAAATTGAAGAAAAACATCGAACGGAAACCGACATTATCGACCCAAATCGACGGTGTGTATACAGAAGGCTGATCACCTACTTGCCTATTAGAAACCTACTTATATGACAAAGGGGGAAAACGTTGAAATGGTGATAATCTCATCACAGAAGTGCAGTAACCCTTAATAAATTTAGAAGAAGCATGGGTTACGATGAATAACTCCAGAAAATTTCGAAGAATTGGCTAAGATTCCAATATATTAGAAACATGGTTCTATAGATTTCCGTGAAATATATGAAAAACATTCATAGGTTCACCACACATAATATCTAATAATAATCATTAACATAATTTAGGTGAAAGAGATTGGATGTAATTAGTATCCGTTAATTTCTTGTTATTATGAATATTATAAAGGCAGGTTTGTATCTGATAATTTTACAAACAAAAGGTAATGGGAGAGTGACAAAGATGCGTCTTTAAAATTCTAGAGCGCGGTATTTTTTTTTAATTTTTAAAACGTGAAACATACAAACTTTTTCTTTTTTAGCATCTAACCTTCACAAGCCTATAATAGGTCCTTAAGAACGCTTGAGTAAATCCCTATTTACCCTCTACTCTCTTGAGCCATAACATAGTATATATTATAAAGCCGATATAAAGAAAATTCATATAAAAACAAAATTGTTAAAAATAATTAATTGTTATAGTTTGTGAATCGTTTTTATATTCTGCGATAAAGTGTGAATACATATAAATAAACAAATAAAACTATCATATGATCTTTGATCGTATAATGACATAATCTATATTTTAGTAGCGACATCATTATTTCTCTCTATTTAACAATTAATAATTTCTACTACAATTTATATTTAAATCTATGCACGTAATAAATAAACGATTTATAAATTTATAAATTTGTGCATTAGCTGATTTGTAATAATGTATTAATAATATAATTATTAATGTAAGTACTTATACTCGTACAATAGCTATATTATTATTATTAATGAATGTATTAATAGTAATATGGTAATAGTATAGATAATATTTACATTTGTTAAGCGCTTCACTATTTGCGAATGACGTAAGCCGGCAACCGGAGTTGAAAATACAGATTTTATGCACAAAAAGTTAAAATCACTGTGGCTCAGTGAGTGTCATCCAATGCTGCCGACGAAAATCTAACATAATCGAGAGTCGGTTCGCACAGGAGGTTGATTATATGTTAAAACAACTACGACGTATTAAATTATAATACACCTTAATACATATACCTACGTATTAATAAACAGCCTTTTCAATCACCAAAATTCACTGTTAATTTGTTTTTTATCACTTCAAGTGTGTATTAGCATTCACTGCAAACTAAACGAATTTAAATCGTGAAATCATTCCCGCGACTGTGATATAACCCGACTAAATTCAAAAATACCCAAATAACCGCTGTTTTCCGCGTACGAAGACTTTCGAATTCAGAAGCATACACGAGACAAACATTGACACGGGCTATCAAATAATGCGACCAATGTAATGGCCCATAATTGTTATAGATTACTAGCGATTCGAAGAGGTTTTATTTCGGTCGTATAATCGACAAAAATAAAAATGACGTCACGTACCTTAGGTATTCCAAGGACTAGTTTATTTTTTTGATATGACATCATTATTTCTTCATCAACATTTTACATTTTTAATTCTAAACTTGATAAGTTGAACAAGACCTTTACTAGAGTAGGTCAGCATATAATAATAGGATACAACAAAACTAGAAGGTTGAACTGATAAGTTTCAGTAACAATTAATAAATTCGTTTTATGGTAATTTACGACTTTGTACTATAATTTAACATACGTTATAAGATAACTATGTAGGTGTGTAGTTACAATGCATGGCGCAGATGCATATTTATTTTCTTCTTTGCCACACATAGAATAGATTGTACCAATGGATTCTTAATCCATTGATACAGATAACATCCCGGTGAAAACACGACTTAAGGGCTCGCAGGATCGCGCAGGTTTATTGCCATTAGGGCGTATCTACCTCTTTTATAATTATGTTACATTTTGAAAAAAAAAATTCACAAAATATGTGGCCGTGAGCCGACCGCGCTTTTGTTGCAAGTATTTACTATCTAATGTTGTATTGGTAGTCTTGCACGGACGGTGACGGTACTTGTTTTTGGAAACATCATACAAAATCTTTGTTTGATCCGTGATAACGGCGTAATTTTATTCCAGCAGCTAAAAATGTTTTCTAAGACTAGAACGAGTAGACGATTTATAGTACCTATAAACAGTATTTTCTTGATATGAGACTAGTCACCATGCAAAACTGTCAGCTCTTACTAGCTACGTGACTATCTTAATACGGTAAGTATTTAAGTCTTGATTCTCTTGTTATTTTCACACATACATATGCTTTCTATAGCATATATTCAAAAGTATCCGTCTATCTTGTAAGTTGTAACATAATAAAATAAAATATAGAGTTGTAAACGTTCACGCACGCGGATATTTTTAGCTCAAACCCCAGTCCTTTAAGAGTTCCAAGTTTTTCTTTTGTTTTATAAGTTAAAGCCATCGGCCTTATGAACTTGCACTTACTCTTCTTTTCCCTGGGGTAGATTTTTCTGTGTCAGAATCTCTTATTCCAGACACCCTCTTAGCAGAAACTTTGAGTGATTCATTTGCCTGATCCCTTTCCTTAACCAAACGACGTACTGATGTCTGACTTACTCCTGAAAGTGTAAATTAGATATTATTTATTCGTTTATTTGTAGATAACATAAAGGAATATATACAAGCTCTACATCTAGAATCTGTAATGTATGAATAAGCATTACGGATTCTAAAGGTAAGTCAGCTAACTAAACAAGTTAAGATAATTTTGTCAAAATATGAATAAATGTTTAATCAAATCACCAAGCGTCTCTTAAGAATAGGAGTAAAAAATCTATATTTCTTTGTTTAATATGCCATAATACAGTAATCGTTATTGATTGAAATGTAAAAACCTTACAAAGAATCTCGCTTATTGATTTTGTTTAATGTATTTGTTAAATAAAAGTAAAATCGGAAAATAATATAAATAATATTTAACTATAACAACAATAGTTTATAATTATATTCGGTTAAGGCGAGAACTAAACTGTATAAACTGTCGTTTTCAATGTTGAAAATTGATTTTAAAACGCCTAGTTTAGTTTAATAAAGTATTATTTTAAATATAAAAGAATATACCTAATAAGAAGCAACTGTAAAAGCAAAAAAGGTGTAAAATCAACATTTTTGGATATGTAATGTAGAAAAGTAGCAACACTAACCTGTAGCCGCTGCTACACGATCAAATAATCTTACTAATGGTATCAACAGCGATTGGATCCGCTTTTCTTCTCTCATAAATCCCAAAACATTTAAAATTATATCTTTAGCGTCATCACTCATTGTCTTCGGCATTGTTTGGCAAATGATCCACAATAGTTTTACATTGAATGATATTAATAATTAACTCCTTATCCAGGTTATAAAATTATGAAACATAAAATATGAGGTAAAGAAACTAAATTATAATCTATCTTTCAATTAAATTTTTCTTTATTTGAGGGTAGGAGGTACTCTCTATTAGTTGAGTAGGTACTTAAAAATATGTATAGAATTTTCTGTTATTTAGATTGTCACTGGTGTGGTTTAAGCTCTGGGGCTTGACATTATACTTTGCTGTCATAGTAACATAACAGTCGACAGCATACTTCAGCTTAGACGGTTGTGAACTTTGAGTTTTGACACATCATAATATCATCATTTGAGTTTTGACAGTTTGCGTTAAGTTTTTTAACTGAACTGTCAACTGACTAGAAATTAGAATTTTCAATTTAGAAGTTAGTACTTACTACTTACCTACAACTAGACTAGAACCAAGAGGAATTTGCAAGTTTTATTTTTTTACTTAAAAGATGTGCTCTACTGAGAAGAAACCACTTTTCCGGGATCTTACTGCTGAAGACCCTGAGCCCGAGGTGACTGAAATAGAGTCACTATGCGTTAATTGCCTGGGAAATGTAAGTTATACTGGATCTTTCTAGAAATCTTTCAAATTTTATATTAATTACGCCTTTATTTAAGTAGAATAAGTAATGACATAAAACTTTGCCCTTTGTGATCCAGAAATTTGTTGCAATACACGTAATATAATTGATTAATAGTTTTATATCGGAACTATAACCTTAAAAAAATTACATACGCAAGACTTTTTATATTTATTTAGTTGTAGTTGTAGTATCTACTGTACGTAGATTTTGTAAAACTACCGCCTAAAAGTCGAATTTTTATTTCTTTTTTCCTATCTGCTTTATACTTGAGTGTCATTCTGATTGGATATTTCCTTATCATTATTTACAGGGAATGACAAGACTGCTACTTACTCGCATTCCACATTACAAGAATGTAGTTTTAATGTCCTTCTCCTGCGAACAATGTGGTTATCAAAACAATGAAATTCAGCCAGGTGGAGCTATTGCTGAATTTGGTATTAGGTAATTTTATTCTAAGACAATTTTATTCCATTATTATCTTCAGTAAAATCTATATATATAAAAGAAAAATGGTCTTCGTTTGAGGCTCCTTCACGCCTAAACCACTGATCGTATCGACATGAAACTACCACCATTTTTCCTAGATGGTTTATGGCTATTTATTTATTAAATTCCAACGTTCCTTCATTTTTTTATTGCTGTTTTACTTTTATGAAAATTTATACATACGGACTTCACCGCGGAAACATTCGGGGAGGCTTCCTAGAACCTCTAAACGTCAACATCTGTTAAAAACTCGATTTTCGAAATATTTCAATTTTCTTAGCGGGAAGTTAAAAAGAAGGAATAATAAAAATATGAAAAAAAATAAAATAGTGAAACATAAAATTTATTTTAATTCGTCCAGCAAAGCGGGCGCGAAACGGCTAGTATTATATAAAACAACAAATAATATATAAAATTAACAGTACTTATTATATTTTATTATAAAAAGTACTACAGATTGATAATAATTTGTTTTAATAAAATAAACAAAAAATTCAAAATTAATATTCATGCAGATGGAAACTGCGAGTGGAAGAACCATCTGATCTTAATCGCCAAGTGGTGAAGAGTGACTACACAAGAGTATATATTCCAGAGTTGGAGTTTGAGATACCAGCTAACAGTCAAAAAGGAGGTTTGTAAGCTAATATTATCTTTTTGTTGTAATCTGTTGCATAATCATGTCGTAATGCTATGGTAATATGAGTCAAGACTTGAATAAAAAATAGTAATATTTAAACAAACATCTATTTAGATTGAAAGCTCCATTCAAAGTTTCATTGTTATTTTATTTCACACTACAGTAATTTTCTAAAGTAGTATTAATTTTTTTACCAACTAGAAGTAACAACAGTAGAAGGCTTAATAGCTAGAGCAATCGCTGGTCTTACCCAAGATCAAGAAATCAGGAGGGCAGAGCATCCAGATGCCGCTGAACAGATTGATGGATTTGTAGCTAAGCTGCAGGCACTTAAAGTGCTGGAGACACCATGGACCTTGGAACTAGAGGATACAAGTGGTAAATTACTATATGTATTATGTATACTAGGTTTTTAGTGCCAATCATGCTTGGAATGGTTAAAACTTCATTAATGGATATTTATGGTTCAACGGGCTGCTGATATAATAGCGGAAATACTATGCTATGGTTACAATGCAAAAGAGAGTGCTTACGGTCTGGCTAGCATTGCCATATATACAAGCGGGCCATAACTCCGACGATTTTGGTAATCACCACAATTATAAAACCGAGCAAGCGTGAGTAGCAAAGCCTATATAATATATAGCCTTGGCTCGTACAGGTTTTAAAGACAACTTAATTACATTTATATCTGTTCAGAAATTTTATATCGAAATATAAATCTTAATAATTGTTATAACATTTCATATTGTAAAATAATAAAAACAATATTTATTGATGCAAAAATATTTTTATAGGTAATACCTTTGTTGAAAACCCTGATGCGCCAAAAAAAGATCCCCGCTGTGATTCAACAGAGTTTAAACGTACCACAGAGCAGGATCACAAACTTGGAATATTCACCAGGCAGGAGGTACTTTGGATTCATTATTTTTGCTGTACTAATAGCTATGTCAAATCAGCATGAGAAATGGAGTTCATTATAATTTAATTTTTTATAACACCAGTATGTCAAAACTGTAATACTTGGAACTGCTTTGTTCATTCATCATCACAAATTATTAATTCTCCTATTCATAAGACAAAATTAGACAAAAGCAGGAGAGCTTTTTTTTTGAACACAATTAACAAACGTCACAATTTAATCCTTAAGAGTGACTCAACCCCTTGTCCAATTTTATGTAGCTTGAGTAACATTACACAGAACTTATTGAATGAAAGTCCCGTATGATCATTACTTACATATTTATAAAATTGACCCATTTTCTTCTTGTATTCTTGTTTAATGCAGCGAAGGAGCGACATGTGCCTACCAGTAAGATTTTACCTACATTTATGTCTTTAAAAATAGTTATCAATGCAAGTCTGAGCTTCTTTATTTAGACACTTTAATATACAGGAATTTACAACTCTGTTGAATTTTAAAAAAATATGCATTATTTCCACATTTGTATCTGGAAATTACTTAGAAAAGGGTTCCTTTTTTAAGAAAGGTGTAGTTTAAAATGACTTCTAATAAAATCATATACATAAATATGTCTGCTTGTCTTCTGAAGAAGTCTTTTACATCTGGTATAGAGATAGAAGAGAATAGAGATAGTTCTTATTTTTAACCGTCAGATGATTAGTATACTTCAACATTTAAACAAAAAAAACTTTCAATGCAAATATCAATGCGAGTTAGTATATTAATTACTTAAATCAATGGACTGCTTTGCAGCAATTGTGCCTCTAAAGACAAATTGTTGATAATGTTTATGAATATTTCTTACTACAGGTAAACAATGGAACCCAAGAGCCCATTCCCGGTTCAATAACTCCAGCTGATCCATCCCAGGGTTGCTACGAAAGACTTGCAGCTGATGAAGTACTCCAGTTCTCAACCAATTGTCCTGATTGTAACGCCCCAGCTGATACCAATATGAAGATTACCAGTTAGTATTATGTCCTGCCAAACTATTTTGTTTCGAGATTTATATAATAATTATTTCCGGTTAAAAGCCACAGCTATGAAAACAGAGATATATGGGATCTCATAAAAGATATATTGGTTTCTTGCCAACTAAATAGTGCTTTGAAATGCATTTTACAATTGTTAGGATAGTTAGATAGTGTGATTTGTATGCAAATTAAATTAAACATGTATTTTATACTATTTCTCACTACGACTGCTGCTAAACACTTGAGTAATTTTTTTATAAAACATATGAATTCGCATTAAAGGAATTTAGTTAAAAAACTAGCGGCCCGTACCGGCTTCGCACGGGTAGACATTTATTTTGTAGATATTAACATGCTCTTTAATATTGTGGAACATTTTTTGTTCTATCATCAATGGTTTCGCAGCGCATGCGATGAAAGATATTTTATAGGCATTTTTTTACACCTTTGGTAATATTATTGTAGTTTTGTAGATGCTTATTTTTTTCTTGCAATTAAAATAGCCTACATTAGTCAGTGATAATGTGGCATTCAAGAGGTGAAAGAATTTTTCAAATCGGTCTAGTACTTTTTGAGCCAATTCGTTACAAACATACATACAAATCTTTCCTCTTCATAATATTAGTATAGATAACATGTTTAGAAGTATACTCTAGAATAGTTTTATGTATACTAAAAAATTTATACTTTAAAAATATTTTTACAATTGTTAATAATTTTAAATACTATGATTATTTGATAAAGCATTGGCTTTGAAGCCTATTCAGCTGTTTACTCATAGATTCTTTTTGGCCTGAAACGCTTTTGATTGGTCAACCGCATAGTTCAAACTACGATACGTGGACACGCGACACGTACGTTCGACCAATCACAATGGAACGCAACGTTGCGTTTATATATCTGACCGTTTTGTGTTATTTAAAATTTTCTCTTTTCAGAAATACCACATTTTAAGGAAGTCGTGATCATGGCGACTGTCTGTGACTCCTGCGGACACCGTACAAATGAGGTTTGTGTTAACAAAGACAAAAATGTCTGTATTTTCTTTATTCAACATTTCTTGAAAACTTATACTAAGGGTCGTAGACCAGATTATTTAAAAATGAATTTAATAAATGTATTTGTTTAGACAGACCATTGATTGTTGGATTTTTAACTGTTTTTTCATCGCAATATAATCAAATTTAAATGTTTACTACTTTAACAGTATATTTTTATTGTACTATATATACAGGGTGGGGACGAATTCTCGAATTGGCTAAACGAGGTATTGTAATAGCTTTATCGGTTATTATGGCAGAATTCTGATCGCTACTTTACAAGCACTATAAGCATCACGTTTTTTCGATAGAAGGCTTCTGTGCGTTGCCGGCTTTTATTTTTTTTCCCTTATCACTCGTGTGATAAACGCGCATTTAAATAGATGCTTACAACGATAAATAACACTGTATCGTTTTAATTGTGATAAAAATATGATGATTAAAGATGATGACGGTTTTCTGTGATCAGAGTTTTGTAGTTTTTTGCGTCAGTTTTTTTTCCGGAATAGAATGTTATGCTGTAGAAAAAGTTTACACTAAAAACCTAAATGTTAGATTTTGATAGGTACAGAGTTTTTGAGATAGGTAAAATTTTGTATGAAATTTTTCCTGAATAAGGTGAAAAGGATTTTTCAGTCCGTCGGAATTTACAAATATTCCTTCTTATTAATATAATTTAATAATTTATTACCAGTAAACTTGTTGACTAATTTTCGAGTTATTGATCATTATTAAGTATATGCATAAAAAACATTACGACTGAAATCAAATATGATATTATAATGTGGTTAAAACTACTCTTTACATTCGTTAAAGATAGTTATTGCGTATAATTAGGTTAATAACAGTTATATTTGTGTTACGTTCATATTTGTTTCTATAATTAACATTGATTTTGTTAGGGCATATAGAGAAGTAGATTTTAGTTAGAGATTTAAAATATTTCTGCTTACAATAACGTTTATAGTACCATAGTAGCTATTCTATTACGAATTATATTGTATGCTTTCGTAATACGAAGCGTTAATTTAAACGTTTTTTGCCTATTTGAGCTTGGCTTTTGTACCACCCTGTATATCGTATTGCTATTAAGTTGCGTAACAAAAACCCTCTATTTCGTTTTGGTAAACAAGTGATGGTGTATCGAATAATAAATAATAGATGGTGATGACAAAAGTACCGCAAAAAAACTTAAACTAGCAAGTTTGTCCGTGTGATCCATGGACGGCGGCGAGTATCACGTAACATTAAGGGCAAGATCTATAGAGCGCACTTAGCTCAAACTTTACTTACAAAAAAGTTTGCTTAGTGTACACTAAGCATAAACTATGATTTAGTATTTATAGACATTTTAACGGTGAGATTAAGCTAAGCACAAGCTAAGACAGAAAATGACAAAATACAAATTGATGTTTCATTTCATGGAATACCTTCTTTATTATCTTTTAAAAAAGTATAACAATAACAAATATTTAAACGTCTAAAACGGTACACATCTATCTTCTATTTATTGCTTTGGTTACATTTAGAGTTTTGTTGTTGCTTGTCAATGTCAACATATGCCAGTGCTGCAAGGTGACAGATACGATATCACATTAGTTATTTTTAAGATCTCTCAAAAATGGGGTTTGAAGATTTATATAAATAATAATGTGTAATTATTTTATTTCATGTATTTCATAGGTCATTAAGATCATTTATCATTTCTTTGAATTCAAATCCTATTTTTCCCAAAGTCTATGGAACTCCAGTATAAGATGGCATCACCGTTAATTAAAAACCGACAAAAATAAAAAGTCAAGTAAAAGATATGATGGTAAAGTAAATTTTAGGCCATTATTTTTGTTAGGCTTATAGTCAAAGTTTTTGGTAAGTCGTCGATTTCGTGGACTTGAGATTAAGCTAAGCTAGCACTCAGAGAGATATAAATACCGACTGTGACTGAACTCGAAAGTTAAGTCTGAGCAAAGTCTAAGTGCGCTCTATAGATCTTGCCCTAAGTGAGCCTGCTGCACGTTCTTAAACAGATATAACTGTCAAAATTCGTTGAATGGCAATCATGCAAAACAGTGAGTAAAGTATCTTAGAATTGAAAAATTGAGGCAGTGAAACGCGTTTATTGATTAATCACAGGCGGCACAATATTTCTTTGTGTTTTGTATATTCAAATTCTGATTTATTAAACAAATGAAAAATATAGGTCTCTATTACGCTTAGAATATGAACCGAATGAATGAGTGGGTTTTTGTTATACTGAAGCAATTTTGCTAGTCTGGCTGATGAAAGAAGATAACAAAAAGCGCGCGCGTAAGAAGTTATACTTCTGTGGCATTATTAAAAATAGTTTTTGATTGCATGCAAATAATTAATTACAATTAAATAATCAAAGACTGGAAAAGGAGTCTTTATAGTCAATTAAGTTCAGTTTACATTTGAAAAATTAAATAAATAATTATTTATTATTATTCTCTTACATTAAGTGTAACAAAAATTCTATTTAGTTAAAAGTATATATAATTATATATTTAGAACATCTCTACCAAACACTAAGAAGTATGTTGTAGCTTTGGCAGTATTGCACAATATAAAATTAATAAATTTCTTTGAAAAATTAATCAAAACTCCTTTATTTGTTTAAAAGGTAAATGACAAATGTCATAATCACACTCCCAATTTTGTGTTCACAGGTGCGCGCGCATCGTAAAATTTCACTCTCATAAATTTTTTCATAACGCGCCTAAAGAAGTATAACTTCAAAAAATTAGTATCCCTAAAAGTTTGATATATTTTGTGGATTAAACCTACTCGATTTTATTTTATTATTTTTTACATTGATAGTAACTGTATTTCTATGAAATTAAATACTATACGTATTTAGTCTTTTACTATTGATACTTAAAATGACTAGCATTGCATGGAAAACTAAAACTATATTTATTATAAAACACAACTTTATTCGGAATAATCAAATCCTGCAAAAGAAACGAAATATTCTATCAAATAAAAAAAAGTTTAGGCTATTATACCTGTTAACTATTCGGAAAAAGTATATAATAGAAATAAAAATGAGTAATTGCATGAAGTATCAAGACAATAAATCATACTAACCTAAGAAATTCAATGTCATTCTGCGTTGCCATCCGAAAGTTTTCAAATAATTCAATTATCTTCATTCATTAGCCAGACTAATTACAATTTCGTATGCAAATAATTATGTTCTAAATATAATATTGTATATTCAAGTTAGTCAAAAGCCAGATGAGTTTGGCAAAGTATTGGATACCGATGTCTGTCGAAAGTGTTTTTTTTGTGATGAGGAGCATGATATATGGGTTGCAGGTGCTTACAAACATTTTGTAAATAAACTTTAAAAGCGACTTTATTCCCAGTTTTTCTCGTCCGTTCTATACTTTACATTTGAGAACTGGCAGCAAATGTATTAGAAGCGTTATTCACTGACGTTCATAAGTGTACATTAAGGTACATGAGTAAATGATGTTTTAATTGTAAAGAATTGTATTAAAATATATATAAATATATATCTTTTATCCAATAGTTGTGATCTACCAAAAAAAAAAATTATGAGCCCTCCATATCGCGGCATTGAGCTGCCCGGGGGTCGCACTAGGCAGACATGCGAGTAGAATGTTGAATTGCAAATCACTTGCAATTACCATTCTCGGCTCAGGATATACTGTTACATATATCCTAAACTTCACAGTCTAATTATAGGTAGCATACCTCACTGTTTGCCTTATTAATTCCACAGTGTACATGTACGCGGTTTAAGCACTCTCCCGGTACCTCACAACCCTCCCAACTTGCACTCGAACCGGGAATCGAACCCGGTACCTCACAACCCTCCCAACTTGCACTCGAACCGGGAATCGAACCTGGTACCCCTCGCCTAGCTGCCACATACAAACACCGCTAGGCTATAAGGCCCTCAGTTGGAATCTACCAGACCCAACTTAGTCCAACGTCTCAACACCACATTGCTCCTCTGAATACTCAACCAGTACTGTTCTGCGTTCCCTGAACGCACCGTTAAAAGTCAAGATGGCATATGCCCTGATTGGTTGTAACAATATTCGTACGTAATGATTCCAAACTATGAAACAATTAAAAGTCCTTAAAAGTAATAAAATTAATTTAAATAATTAACCTCTTTAATTATTAACAAATATATTTTTTTATTCATTAATGTTTAAATTCGTCGTCGTCTGTTTCCAATTATTTTAAAACACCAATACACGATTGACAATGCATTTTACCAATTATTACCTTCTTAACAATGAACCAATAGGTTTCATTGTGGAGAGTAAAAGTGGTTTATTGGTTTTTTATTTATCATTTAAACAAACAGAATTAATATAACAATATCTTAACACACGGTTCACAAGAAATAATTTATCTTTGATATACAAGAGTACCTCTAAACAACATGAAGAAGTAATTCGCCGTTATAAGTGATTTTTGTGATAAGCTAGTAACGGAGAAGCACTCGTTCCCAACAATTTTTATGCAAAAGTTTTAAATTTTGATTCTTAATATAAAATCAAACAATTTGAATACCTTAATTAAATTTAAAAATGCTTATTCATTCTACAATACTCAAAAATTCGTACCAATCTCGGCAGACGTTGGGTTAATACTTTGTCAAACTTTGACAACACAAAGCTTTATGACAAGTAAAATTTTCAGGTGAAATCTGGAGGTGGTATAGAAGAGAAGGGTGTGAGATTCGAAGTGCGTATAGCCGGCAAAGAAGACTTTTCCAGAGATATTTTAAAGGTAGTAAATTCTTCAGCTTTAGAACCAAACATTATAAAATTTGAATGATAGTTCTGGTGTTTGGGAATGTTTGGTCCTGTCGGATATGGGTTGTTTCAGGGTATGAGAGCACATATACGTAAATAGCAAGTCTCAAGAGGATTAGCCAAATGGGTTTGGGTTAATGGGTTTTATAAGTGGGGTCTTAGGCGGCGTCCTAATTGGGAGCGATTGTACGATGGCGCGATGCGTTTTTCATCTCACGATCAAAGTGGTCGTGCGACGACCTTACAGGTGTCCTAATAGATCGCGCGATGTCCATCGTGTGATGCCGTCGTTCGATGGCTGGCGCCCCTCGCGCGTCGACGCATCGCGTAGTAACTGATTAGGACACTCAAAAGAGATCTGTTGCTTTGATTACATGATCGCACGATCAAACGCATCGTACGATCGTTATTAAAGCATTTCATGTGCTCGCACGATTACTTGCGAGGTTCAAATAGGACACTCTGATGAAATCTGTATGGTTGAACTCATCGCACGACGAGACCGCATCGTGTTATCGTGCGATCTTCGCCAATTAGGACAACGCCTTAGACCTTTTCTTACTTTACGAGCAAGTAAAAATGAAAAGAACACAAAACGCACCACTAGGTTAACAAGATTCTAAAACTTCTTGATTCTTTCAGTCTGAAACATGCAGCATGAGCATACCAGAGCTAGAAGTAGAAGTGGGGGGCAGAGCACTAGGGGGCAGGTTCACCACAGCAGAAGGCGTAATTCGAGGGTGTATTGAACAATTGGCCGATGCACCTTCATTGCATGGAGATGCGCCAGTACCTTCTAAGGGCAATTTACAAAAGTAAGATTTTTTACAAAAGAATTACTGGCTCCAGTCATTTATGTTTGTTTCAACTAATGCCTTTTAATCCAACAATTATTTCATTAGAGTTTCAACTTATTTCATACATATGGATACTCTATAGGATCTATACTCTGATTTTTAATTCCGTAGAATTCTGACAGCTATCATTTTTGACATGTCAGAGATGACAAACGTTATGGCCAGACACATTTTTCAATTTCAATACGAGTCTGAACATCATTTCTAGAGTCTATTCATACATTTTATTTGTTGGTGAATGTTAATGCACTTAATAACATACATGTTTATTAAGTGCGGTGGTCCACATTAAAAGTGGTTTTACGGCGAGTGATAATTACGTCCCTTTTCATCACTAACAGTAAAAAAAAGCAAAAGTAAAGATAACATTTTTTTTTTTTAAATGGTTTACTAAACCTGGAATTAGTAGACAGTTATAACAGCTGAAGAATAAAATAAAGTAATTAAAGTTAATTCGAAAAATTGTTTGTAATATTGAAATATTTGTTATTTCTGTATTAGGTCACTTGACTAAGTAAATATTTAGATTTACCTTCATGTAGATGGAACATAAAAGATACGTAGCCATTTATTTTTTATTGCCCCCAAATGAGTCAAATTTGTCCCTTTTTCTGTGGAGAACTTTTTTAGTAGCAACGTATGCAATGTCAGAATTCTACGGAGTTAAAAATCAGAGTATACAATCTGTAATGTTTACGAAAAGATACAGTTTCATACTAATCCAAACACTTAAAGCAAAGTAAATAAGGAAATGTTAAAAATTATTTTATGCTTATTTGATAGTCTGAATTTATTTATTGTTATTCCTAATATTTTATTATAGGTTCTTAGAAAAACTAGAAGAGGTATTAGAGGGTAAACGTCAAATTACTTTGATCCTCGACGATCCGGCTGGTAACTCTTATGTTCAGAACCTAAGCGATGACCTAACTGTATATGATGATGGTAAGACCTGATCTTCTGATATTCTCTAGCATGGTTACTAAATATTGGGTTGGTTAATAATGTCTTATAATAGTGTCACAAAATAGATATAGATAAATACTTTTATGATTTATATTAGATGGTGTTGCAATTTATCCAAGTATTCTTGATATTTCCATTTTGGTGTTGTTGATTTATCATTTTAATCCTAAGTCCACAGACTCGTGCAGAAATAAAAAACATCAATAAATTTGGCCTTACTTTTCAATACAATTTTTTTCAAAAATCTGGAGATTACATTACATTAATACATTCAGTCAGTGTTATATAATTTGTGAGATAAAAACTCATTTGTAATGTGAGAAAAATTCTGCGGTTAGTACCTTTGTATGCTTATAATTTTTATGTATTTGTTAACTAATTGGTAAATTGGTTATTTCTAGGTGTAAAGGTCACACACTACGAACGATCATTTGACCAAAATGAAGAGCTCGGTCTCAACGATATGAAGACTGAAGGTTACGAACAAGACGCGTAGGAGAAAATAAACTGGAATGATTACCTTATACTGCGCAGAAACTACATAACATATGCTTTATTTTTTATATTTTCATTTTTTTCTGATATCTTACGTATTCCAGTTAAGCTGATATAAACATTAAGAAAAATTGCATTTGCATAGCTTTAATATATAGCCGAAGCTTTGAAATATTTGTTATATTTATATAGTTACAATAAATAAATATTTTTGATTTAATTTTATTATTTATTTGTAATTCGAAGACGCTTTCGGCAATTGGTGGTGTTATCGCTAATAATCGATCAAACTAAAAATGCAAATCAGTATAGTATTTGTTGTTCTATCGCCCTATACGTTAGCACATACTATTGTATAACAACCAATTATAAAAATAAAAACAAAATACTATAATCTTACGAAAAGTACATGTTACATGCCGTATTTAATTATAGTGACTAATGACTATAATTAATATCCATTATATTCATAGAAGTTTCTCAAACTTGTCATTTGTGTCACTGAAAGAGGAATAAGAAAAATACAAGCATTATTCAATTTTTAACATAATTGCTTAGCGAGTCCAATTCAGTGAAAAATATCACCTCATTTGGTAATCGACATAGGTGATAGGTCTGTAATGAAACTGTGGCGGAGTTACAAAATTGGAAAAGCTAGTCTGTGGAAGGAATCTCTTTAAAGCAATATCTGTAGTTCGTTTAGATTTTCTAGTCTGTGGTGCTTACTATGTTTTCTATTTACAAACAAAAATATTTAAAACTATGTTACTTAGTTTTCCACGAAATCCCAACCAAAAATTTACGTCTTAATAATGGAAAATGTATTACTTCCCCACCACGAGCAACAAACTTTATGTACAACACGCCTCCCGTACAGACAAGGAAGAAAACTCACCGCTGTAAAGGTAATACATATTTATTTCTATGATCGTTGCTCGTTCACAGGAAAAATATAAGGAAAATCTTTGTACTAAACTACATATCATTAATTTCATTTTCTTCAATGACTTATTCAGACACACTTGTTTGGTTTTTATAAATATATTTTACAAACTCACAATATCACATGTTTTACAAATAAGTACATTAAAATGCATTACGACTGTTGTTGTAACTCAAGTAGAGGTGTAAAAGTCGACAGATCTTATTTTTCAAGTAAATTAACAAAATAATTGCAATTACAGGCTTACTCCATTACAAAGGAATCAAATCACCTCCTAATATTTGGAGTCCCATCTCTCAACCTTCGCCAAGAAACCAAATCATTGTTCCTTAAATTTGGACGCATACTACAATTCACAATATCTTTAGATCATCCTGCTGAATCATTTACTGAGACATATCATGCACAGTATGACAAAGTGCAATCTGCAAGAGTAGCTAAGAAAATGTTAGACACCAAGAATTTCTATGGTGGCTGTTTACACGTCTGCTATGCTCCAGAACTTGAAAATATTTCTGAGACAAAAGAAAAATTACTACAACGCCAAAGAGATGTTTTGTACCGTTTAAAAAATCTAGACAAAGAAGTTGTTAAGAAGAATATTAAAGAAGATATAACTATTGTTAAAGAGACTACAGTTAAAGTAAATATGGCTGAAGAAAATATCATTTATTATGGAAACACTAAAAGAAGAAAGGTGGGAAATAAAAAGAGTGATGCCTCTAATAGCAATTCTATGAATTATGATATCCAAAATAAGAAAAACAAGATTATTAGCAGCAATAGTGACAGCCGACCTGCTGTTAATTTTATAGGACCTTTAAATAAAGGAAGTTTAATTGATGTGGTTCGAAATGCTAACAAGAGTAAAGACATTGGTCATATTTCAAATAATATAGAAAATAAAAATGAAGAAAATATAGAAATAGTAGATTGTACATCGGTTCATAATGAAACAATTACAAATATTAATGAACATTTAAATTATAAAAAATTTGGAACTGAGATTGTTAAAAAAATACCTGTTAAACCTGTGAATAAGATTAAATTTAATATTAATATCTAACAAAGTTTTGTTTCTTTCCCAGTTAATAATTTAATGACAATGTTTGTTTGACCGTGTGTCTATTACACATGCTTGGAAATATATTTTTCATTGTAGGGTATTAGCTGATGACCCTTAAAGAAATCATTATTATTTTGCCTACAATCAAATTCATTTAGTTATATTTATTAAACATCTAAGGACTTAACTAATTTATTCTTAAATTCCTTTGTTTTATTCTATTAAGAATAGATATTTATAGAAAAAGGCATTTTAAATAAAATATACAGTTCAAAACAAACAATTTTATTAACATTTGATTTCTACACAACAATATATATTCTTAAGAACTAATAAGTTTTTGGTAATAAACAGTCTCATTTATAAATAAATATCAATCCACAGTACGAATAATCTATAAAATCACGGTATAGGTATATAAGGTATAAGTAACAATGGATTATTTAACGAATTTATCGTAAAACACATGCTAAGGACAATTATAACAAGAAAGATAATAACATGTACGGAAGTTCTGATCTAAATCATCTTCAGAAATTTCATACCCAAAACAAAAACTTCGTGACCGTCATCAGGTATTTCAGATTTTCTTTTAACCATAATTCAAGCTGTCCCAAGCTTATTACCGATGGCCCGTTTTTTTCTTACTATGATTTTAAGATAATTGTTTAACTGTAACTTAGTCGCAGAACTAGTCCATTAATTTTACTTAAGTTCTTCATAATAATTTAGGTTTCAAACGCATTCAAATTTTTCATTTCTTTTCTTGCCTCTTTTTTCCCTTCGACTGGGACAGTCAGAATTTTCATGGGGTGGTGACAGGTTTTGTTCCGAAAAAATAATATATCATCACACGATGCGTCAAATAAAAGATAAATCGGCGGCAGAACACTGAATTTCAGCCCGAAGCTTCACTTTGTTACAACGATAGTAACGTTTTACTCCTTCTTCAGTCGTATGAATTTTTGTATTGACCAGGTCTTCTCATTTTTGATAAATTCCTCAGCGCTCCGCACAGTTATAAATTTTCTTTCAAAAACCCAAACTTTATTTTGCCTTCGACGTTTTTCGTATGCTCTGTGATTTTATATTCGTCTTCATCTGATTCGATGAAGTACTCAAACAGAGCGGAGCACACGAACTCGGTCCCGCTAAGTTTTCATTCGCCATTGCAAAGAAGATAGATACCAAAACACACCCAATAAAAGCAAGTGTCGCACGCGACTAAATTGGCGATCGTGTCCGGGCGTGCGCGGCGCTTGCGGTGTGGTGGGAGAGGATCGTAAGCCGCAGACATAACTTAATATGGTATCATAATGCTTCATTTGGTAATAAGCCTACATTTTATGTCAATCATAGTGGTTTATTTAGGCAGAAATAGCGCATTAATTTGCTCGCTAAGATTTGGTGATCATTTACTACATTTGGTGTTCGAATACAATTTGAAGTGCAGTCGTGACTAAAATAGCTAGTACTATTGTAATTTTAACGTTATTTATCTGGTGTTAAGTATATATTTTGGTAAAAGAACTAAGGGTATAAGCATTTTATGGTGATCTATTTAACCCAAAGATAATTGTCGAAACTTATCAGGTTTTCATGAGGTACCATACAATAATACCGACTGACCCGACTATTTTTTCATCCGTTACGTTGTTTTGACATATTTTTAATTGAATAGGACAAAGTGTGGAAGCAGGATAGATCAATTAATACCTACTATCTACTTTTATAAACCAAAGTGTCATGTGAGGCACTTAGAATAATAAGAACTCAGTCTATGTAAATTAATTATTTATTAGGTACCTACTTGATCGTGAGATTATTTGACTTCCTGTATTGGATTGGTTTTCAAAGGGCTTCTGGTAAAGTAAGGTTTCATATAAGAGACTAGCGAACTGATTCTCGTATGGGAGCGTTCAAGTTCGAGCGTCACGTAACGAAATTTGGAGGGGGGTCCTTTTGTAAAACATTACGATGCGGGGCGGGGATTGAATTACGCGTTATTGTTATATTATTTTCGACTTTCCAGTACTTTACACCACATAATGGTAACTTTTAGGTACAAAGACTAGGTGGTCACGAAACATTTTACTATACTTGGATACAGAAAAACGTTACGCCGCGTTACATGGGGGGGCGGGTCGCGTTTCGTGACGTAATACTTGAACGCTCTCTATGCCAAAACTCTGAATTATGGCATACGGGCGTATCAATATGCGCTAAATGTCAACTCTGAAATTTATTCTTCTTCAGCATATTCCTCCTCCGGTTGCGTCTCTTCTTGTTCGTCGAATTCGTCGTCAACTCCTACCTCCTAAACAAGAAGTTTGGTAGGTAAAGTAAACATGTAAGTCACGAATCGTTAGATGCACAGAAATGTCACAGAAATGTAACATTAAAGAGGATTAATTTCACTTTTACTTTTTTTCAGTACTGAGACCTAAAGATACACTTAATAACACACTAGGAAAACAAAACATTAACATTGGTGCGGTATAAATTCCTGTGTTTAAATTAAAGTGTTTAATAATCACAATTTTAAATTTATTTTTTATATGTAACAATTCCAGTCATAGGACTTAGCTAAAGCCTGCTTTGGTACAAATACTTAAATAATACTTTTACGCAGTGGCGGAACAATAGGGTGGCAGGGCTGGCAAAATGCCACGGGCCCCCGATCTAAGAGGGCTCCTGCCCAAGAGATATTAGGTTCTATGGATTCATGAGAAGTCTACAATACGCATTGGGCTAGCTACTACAGACCATTCCTCAGATGAGGCCTATGGCCATTAGTGGGACAAATACAACGTGTAAACTGAGTACAACGTGACGATTTTACTGATAGGGCCCCATCAAAAGAATTTGCCACGGGCCCCAGGTGGTATAGTTATGCCACTGCTTTTACGTTTAGAAAATCTTCGTTAATCGAAAACGTTTTTAGTAGTTAAATGCGTCTTTGTAAGATTTTAAAACATTGATATCAGCCATTGAGCTTGAGACACACCATTTTAACAAAAATTCGTGTAGCACTAGTGGGTCACGACTCACGACTCACGCCTTTCGAAAAGTGATTTTGTCTCTCTCCCACCACACATCGTGTTAGACGAATCTATATAACTGTCAAATACAATAAACTAATATGAACAATGAATGGATACTGTCTTTAAAATATAATAACTGTGATTGGCAAGGAAACGGTATCCAAATCAAGTTATTGTAATATGATTATTTTTGCAAATACCCACCTCATATTGCTGGTATTCAGATATGAGGTCGTTCATATTACTTTCGGCTTCTGTGAACTCCATTTCATCCATTCCCTCTCCCGTGTACCAATGGAGGAATGCCTGTTAGACAAATTTTATGACCACGTTACAACCATCGTATGACTTAAAATAACTAATCCTAATTACAAAACAAGTGTTGGCTAAGGGCGACTCAGTAGCTCTCAATGTACGCACGAATGACGTGTGTCAGGCATAGAAGAGTGATCATGTGACTTGTGAAGACAAAACAATCAAGATTTCTTTAACACAAAACAGTTTTCATTACCTTAATTTCATAGTAAATTGTATCTAAGACAGCAAATAGTCGCGCCTTATCTACATTTCAATAGCAAAATTATAAAATTACATATTACCGATTGGCATTGACACTCCTGTCAAACTTTAATAGCGTCAATAACAAATCTTCGGCACTTACCTTGCGTCTGAACATAACAGTGAACTGTTCAGAGATTCGTTTAAATATCTCCTGTATGGCGGTGGTGTTACCGACGAAAGTGGCCGCCATTTTGAGTCCCCGGGGTGGTACGTCACAGACTGCTACTTTTACATTATTAGGAATCCATTCGACGAAATAACTGCAAATATTATTAATACTACATGTACGAGGCCTACCTACCCTGACTGAATCTCAATAGACTTTGGTAATTTATTATACGCGAGTAATACAATTCTTTCATATTTTTGTAATTAAAAGCATTTCCCTGTAGGGATTATCTATTACAAGTTGACCTGAGTTCTTGGATTCAATTGCTGGCCAAACAATGATTGGTCGCGTTGCAAGTACCAGACGACACAGAAATTTTTGATGAAACGCACGCAAGTTTAATAAAAAATCTGTTATTTTTAGATTAATAGCATAATTATAACTGAACTTAATATTTTCGATATTAAAATTCCTAGATGTCTCGATTCAAAGATAAAAAAACTTTGAATGGCTATTTTTAAACAATAAAAATATCAAAGAGAGAAAGATACTCACCCCGAGTTCTTATCCTGAATAGACAGCATCTGTTCATCCACTTCCTTCATGGACATCCGTCCTCGGAAGATGGCAGCCACCGTCAAGTACCTACCGTGACGAGGATCACATGCCGCCATCATGTTCACGGGACTAAACATCTATTTGGGATCAAACATCGGTTTATCATTGCCTGTCCTGGGCTGAACGGCTGGGCACTTTCTTTTTTGGTAATAAAATTAGCGTAAGTGACATATCGGAAGGTCAAGGCACTGACGCAGAACCGCACTGACTGGCGATTAATCCACAGACAAGAGCAGTCTTAAATTTGAAGAAGAAGTGACTCAGCGATAAAGTTGAAATCATTTTGGAAATAGGTCCAGTTTTTGAGTATTGATAGGTTTTCTTATAGAACAATAGTTAGGGAACAACAGGCAGATGCAGATTCGTGCGTGGTGAGTGTGCATTGCCGGCATTTTTGTAATCTGGACGCATTTTTCTTAAAGACTCTTGCTAACTCACTATGAAGTTAGGTTTTATTAGGTACCTGTTGCGTGTGGAAATGTTATTCAACTATAAAGGAAGTTATGAAAGACAAGAATATAAGCATTTAAATAAATTATTCATGCATACTCATTGTTCTAATGGACAACAATATCTTAATTAACTTACAAGATGTCCACACACAATGGACATGGAAAAACATGGTCGGAATAATAAAGATAGTCAGATCGAACCAGGATCTTAGTAAAGGTTATTAGAACGACTATTTAGAAGTTGTAATGGAAGTGGACTTGACATGTTATAAGAGTTAGTATAGACTATAGAGCAGAGTTCCCCAAACTTTTTCCAATATTTTGCTTCATTAGTTTACCTCTGGCAAGAAACTCTGATAAGATGGACTTTGTTTTAATCAAATTTAAACTGTCGCCTTCTAATTGCAAATTAACCATATTAAATTTTGTAAACAAATCTGTTAAATAGGCGATGTCTGTTTTCCTCTATCAGTGTATGTGTTGAGATCCACTATTTTCATTTCATGGACCCCCAAATTTTTTTTCGCTGACGTAGACCCCTTGCAGGTTGTCATAGACCCCTAGGGGTCGATATAGACTACTTTGGCAATCACTGGTATAGAGCAATGGTCCAGTAATTTAACGCGTCGCGCGCAATGAAAGTGAATTGAGAAGAGTGAGGGAGGCCTTTGCTACTTGCCAAGCGGATACGGTGCTAGATTAAAATCTAATATTTTAACTTCTTTATTATCCGATTATTATTACCTGTTGCGTGAGCTCGGGGACGGTAAGAGCGCGATAGCCCTGGCTGTTACGAGCTGTCAATGGAGCGAAGCCTAGAAGATTTATATATTATAGAGACTCTATCTGGATCCTGGATTATTTGTCTTATTAACTAAGGTTTGGCTAAGGATATTCCGCGTCGAGACTTAGCACGTCTCTTACCCCCACGTTCCCATAATACTACGATTTTGCTTAAATATTTCTTCAATTATGTATTTAAAAGTTGGCTTTGCGATGTATTTGTCTATTAACATATTTTTACTAGTAGTTTCACGGAAACTGTAATCGTATTCGAATAGTCTTAAGACCCTGATCATAAAATTGTTTAACACATTAACAAAGTTCTTTAATACTAACCAGGCATAAAGAAATGCAGTCTAGGAAACGGCACCATATTGACAGCAAGCTTCCGCAAATCAGCATTTAGCTGTCCGGGGAATCGGAGACAGGTGGTCACTCCAGACATTGTAAGCTAAAAATTAAAAACATATATCGCAACCTCGGGATCTCGCGGTACTAAAATTGAACAATATTGGGAGTTTCAGGTTATCGTCACTACTCAGGCCAATACTACTTACTGTCTAAGTTTCGATAACGCATTTTATTAAACAGAGAGACCTCAAAAATATATCTATAATAAAAAGAGATTAAGTCAACAAGTACCAACACTGGCCTAGTGGCTTCAGCGTGCGACTCTCATCCCTGAGGTAGTAGGTTCGATCCCCGATGCACCAATGCACTTTCTTTCTATGGCGCATATAACATTCGCTTGAACGGTGAAGGAAAACATTGTGAGCGATAGGCCAAAAAAGTCAATGGCGTGTGTCAAGCAGTACGAGTATAAGATTGACAAATGAAGAAAACTGATTGATTTTCTTATTTTATTTATGTCAACGAACGTTTCAGTGAGAAATAATAATGGTCCCCCATTATACTATCCACTCTAAGAAATCTTGAGCAAAAGTTTAAATGAAATGGCCGCGCGTACGCCGGTCATAATTTATATCATCGTATACTTACGGAAACCAAATGGTTAAGATCACCATACGTCGGCGAAGACAGCCTTAGAGTTCTGAAGCATATATCATATAAAGCCTCGTTGTCAATACAAAACGTCTCGTCTGTATTTTCTACTAATTGATGTACGGATAACGTAGCGTTATATGGCTCCACTACTGTGTCTGATACCTGTAAAACACAATGTTAAATTATAGATCTATTTATAATGTTTAAGACATTTTAATAGTATAAAAAGATTAAATTTTAAACTCCATATGAATCCGTTTATACGACTCTAAATAAGATCAAAATATAATTATGTTTCAAATTACCTTTGGTGATGGCATTACGCTGAACGTGTTAACGATTCTGTCAGGATACTCCTCCCGCAGTTTGCTAAGTAATAGAGTTCCGAGTCCAGACCCAGTACCGCCCCCAAGGGAATGGGTGAGCTGGAAACCTTTCAATTAAAAAACTGTTAAATGCATTGCGTATAGATTTGTATCAAGAAACAAACAACAATTAAATTACATTGTAAACTCCATGTTACGTCTCTCGATTTAACGCCCTAAAGCGTCGAAATCACTCGGCGTTGGTTGGTTTAGCGTGTCTTCCATACAATGATACACTCTACATAGCATTACACCCCTCAATAGCGACAGTTAAAGAATAAAAATTACTTTAAAGGTCGATTCACATATATCAGTGAAGCCACAGTTCCGACACAGTACCGGCACAGTGCGAAATATTCTTTCATACATTCTCTATGAACGCTGAACTGAACTTGTCAGTGTCAGTGACGACACAGTGCTCTCAGTGTCAGTGCCGACACCGGCAATCACGGACGGATTCGTTGACAACGATATTTTTTGTCGGATCACTGACGCCGCGTTATTATTTGTTGCAATTTATTTACATATTGCAGAAGAATATTGAAGCAGCTCTCTGACATTTTAAAATATTTTCTTTAACTAATTCTTTGTATAATATGATGAATTCTCCTTCCGTCTCTCTTAATTGCCATGCTTCATGCACCCATTTTCTTTTTTTTTCTTTGATGCTGCTCTTCTTCTTCGTCTAAAGCAACAGCTATCATTGCTAGCTCCGTAGTATTGAACAGAGCCATAATCACGTTACTTGACAACGCGACGGACACGTTTTCACTGAAGCTCCGTAAACTGAGTACTGACATGTGTGAATTGAATGACTGACGCAATACTGTATCACTGATACTGAACTGAGCGGATACGTTGACGGAACCGTGGCTTCACTGATATGTGTGAAGCGACCTTTAAAGTTGCCGAAATTAGATAAAACTGCGAAGCTATATGTACGTCGCTTATTCTCCTAGCCCGTAATAAACTCGACTGTCGGCATCATACTCACCAATTTTCTAAGAAATTCATTATTTTGGTATTGGTATTGCTTGCACGTGCTTTATCACGAAGATGCCTCAATATCGCAAGATATGAATAATAAAGGTAAAAATACAACATATTTGCTGGTTCAGCAAAAGCGTTAGCGTAGCGTTCAATAAAGAATTGTTTCTTTATGTAATTATTAACACTAGTCTGAAATAAACTTTTTCTTTTTCTAATACAGATTTTCCTTCTTTCCATTTAACGACAAAATATCATTCCCTTAAGTGACGTTATATACACTGTACTTTGAAACTACAAATGATAAAGCACAAATCTTTTTATAAATTCGATTCAATACCATGGTGGGTTGATATCCTAACTACTGGAACTAGAATACTGTTTTACTTGAAACTATAGTGACTTCTAAGAACTTACCCTGTAGACAGTCGCAGCCCTCAGCCTCCTTCCTGACGACGTCCATCACTGATTCCACCAGTTCAGCACCCTCTGTGTAATGCCCCTTGGCCCAGTTGTTGCCTGTATAATGATTAGAAAAACTCAATAGTGTTCTATGTTGTTGGTGGTGCTGAGTCGAGACTTAGCGCTGCACAGTGTGTCAACTCTATACGTTTTTTACTCAACGACGACGCGCATTTGAATACAATTTATAATAATACTAGGAGACCGGCCAAGCGTTGCTGTGGCTAAGGTTTTTGTTATATTGTAAAGTAGTAAACTATTCAAGGGAAACGGTAGGAGAACACCAGTCATGGGGATTCCATGCTTTTTTGGTGGTTATGCCATTAAACTGTAGCATATGTGAAACGGTGGTACTTTCAACACAGCGCCATCCGTTAGAATTGTGACTATCAAATAATAAACAAATATTTAGCTATAAAATTATATTGCGGGTATAAATTGAGATGTAAGCTATCCTATCTTTTAAGTTAGATCAAACTGCACACGGTGTGCAAATTTGATTAAAATCGGTTCTGTTTTATTCGTACCTCATACCAATAATTAAAAAAATTATAATATATGTGAACTTTTTTGACGAAACCAATTGAACAAAATGTAACATTTTTGTCAAAGAAATAACGTGATTGCGCTACTTGTAAAAAAAACTTTTTTGCAGAGTTTAATCTACATAAAATCTACACTATTGCTACCTACACTAAATTATTCCCGTGAAAAGTCGTGTGTTCTTCTTCTGTTACTTTATTATATGATCGTATAGTGTTTGAGCACGATGCTCAGTGAAAAGCACAGTGTCAATGGTGGCAGTTCCTTACAATTTCCTTGTAATCCAAAAATTTGGCCACTATAAAGATTAGCGGAGAGTTTCTTGTCAGTGCCATGTCTCTATCTCTACGCATTTGATTAGGGAATTGGTAAATGTATAATTGTAGATCTTCTGTTCTTGTATAATTTGATGTTCATAAGTGTACATAATTATAAATTACAAATATGACTAAATAAATTTTGATATGATTTGTTTAAGATATTGTTACGAAGACGGGTGGAATGAAGTGTTTCTCGATTATTCTGCAACTGTGTCATTATCAGCAACCTAAAAAGTGATTTACGACCGTTTCAAGAAAGGCATATACTAGAAATGAAGAAAGATCCCATCATTTTCAGAAGGCAACATTTATTCAAATGAAGTACCTACAGTGACCTACAGTTTTCAGGAAACCCGTTTTCAGTGACAGTGTTTTCTATCTGATTTACCTAGCTGGTATCTCTTGTATCCATGCACTAAACCTTCGCTAGTACTCATAAAAGTAACTACAACCTTACCACAATCAATAACCTATATAGGTACCTATACCTCTGTAGTAGGTGTTTCTTTTTCAATGTTCCACTTTAGGGTTGCCTGGAAGAAATGGCTTGCTAGCGATAAGGCCGCCCGTTGCCTTATAACTTTTGTAACCTGATTTTTTTTTATTTTTGTTATTGTATGTTTTTTATTTAGGTAATAAAGTATAAATAAATAAAATAATTAAACCTAACAATTCGAGCTTAACGAATCAGTTTTCAGCTAGTTTAAAAAAAACAGTGTTTGTTAATCCAATAGGCACGTAGTATCACCTGTGCCTGACACGCCTTCAACGTTTTCGGACTAAGGCAAGCCGGTTTCCTCACGATGTTTTCCTTCACCGTTCGAGCGAATGTTAAATGCGCACATAGAAAGAAAGTCCATTGGTGCACAGCCAGGGATCGAACCTACGACCTCAGGGAATAATCACATGCTGAAGCCACTAGGCCAACACTGCTCAGCTATTTTAAAGGAAGTATTTTTATTTGATTAATAATTTACTCTTACCTGCTCCACTTTGTCCAAACACGAAGTTGTCTGGTCTGAACAGTGCCCCATAGCCGGATGACCTTATAGCGTCCATGGTTCCAGGCTCCAGGTCTACCAATACTGCCCGAGGGACGTAGCGACTGCCTGTATATAGAATAAAATCTTTCCTTCTAAAATTTATTTTTCCAAGGATCCGGTAGACCAATTTTCTGAGTGAAAAGAACGAACGGTGGCAAATCGCATGGTATAAGGACACTTATAAAAGTCCAGAGAGTGTTATCGACTATTTAAGAATTCGTCGGATTCGAATTCCGACGGTAATAATAGTGTGACACATTTTGTCAGTTTCTTTGATTTATTTCCTTATGAGACATTCCCTTAAAGTTAGAATAGAGTCATATTAGCTTAAAGTAAGATTCAGAAACGACTTAGCGTTAAGTCCGATTTCCGTACGTCATAATAGATTTTGACACACGCGAGCCATAGTTCACGATAAGGCACGATTTTGATTCTCACCGTTAGTTTCGGCTTTGAATCTTACCATGAATCTTCTTGGTAAGGTAACTTGGCTTGAAATCAATTCATTTTAGCAAGCTTACTTAGCAAGGGTAGGTACATATAATGAATAAGGTTTATATAGAGGTAGGTGTTTGTTTGTACTCTGGTTGAGTTCACAAAAGTGGCAAGTTTTAGTTAATAAGATAGATATAGTTATAAGAGGATTTATTTAATTATTTCTTTTTTATGTAGAAGTTTTCCAGGTGTAGGTATAATTAAGACGTTCTTTTTTTATCGTTTTAGGCGAACCTTATTGCAAATATTATATTTTATATAATATTACATACCTACTTAATAACCACAGCAATATTTTTACCATACGGGCGTTACATTACTACACACTGAAAAATATTTAAATAAATAAGTAAAACAAACTAAACAAATACCTAGAGAAATCTTACCATTATCCGCTTCATTGTAATACACCTGGATCCTCTCCAGCTGCAGGTCGCTGTCTCCATGATATCTCCCCGTGGGGTCAATGCCATGCTCATCAGATATTATTTCCCAGAACTAAATATCATACAATTATTACTAGATAATTACTAATTACACATGCGTAAGCGCATCTGGATACAAACATTATTCTTTATTTAACTCTATACTTTAGGATTTAAAGCCTGCGTTTTAAAATCTATGTAACATTACATTATTTTATCGTTATTGTTACAGATATTTGCTAATACGTGTTATATGACATGAATTTTAAATTTGTTCATCTATTAAATATTTTAGTATTCAGAGCGTAACGGTTAAAAATAGATTTCATATTTTAGTAACAGCTGAATGGATAACATTTATGGAACGACCTCCTTACGTTATTATATGAAAAATACCTTTGAACCTATTTGGTTGCCGCACTGTCCAGCTTGTAAATGCACAATTTCCCTCATTTTCGTAAATTGCAAAACAATGAAGTGCGAATGATTCGCGTGTAAAAGCTATTTTGAGCTCTCACACGTGGTATCGACTTTTCTATCATTATTATGAATCTATAATGAATCGCCGCGCATGACTAATGAGTAAGATTTCTTTACACTTTACAGCAATCAGATTTTTAAACTATTAAAAAAAACTTTATTTAAATGAAATCAAGTTAAAAAGTAGGTAATTTTTTTACGAGGGATATTAAGGTGTTATTATAAATATAATGCTTGTAGTAAATTACACTAAAGGATTTTAATGAATATGCTCATTTATAGCCGCAACCGCAAGAGCTTAGATTTTTATACACAAGTTAAACATTTATTTGTTATTATGTATACAGTCTGTGCATGTTGTACCAACAAATCTATATTCTGTGGCATCATAGATAAAAAGACAATTATAACTTACAAGTGTCAAACACGATTATGCCAATTGTCAAACGCTATCAATTTTCCGTGAAAAAATTATCTTGATTTTAATGTAAATTCATTAAAAATCTTATTATTTCTAAAAATTAATTTAAAAATAACTAGTTCAGTTTATTTATGTTATTAAAGTGAGTGTTTAAATGGAAATAACTTAACGTGTGGTGTTCTTGTAATAATAAAATGCCTCAGGGCAAATACCTTTTATCTTTAATCCGCTTTATTTTGTTAAGCATCGCGATTCAATAATATGACGTGTAAAAGAGCAATTTAAGGACATTGTCTTGGAAACATACAAGTAAGTAATTATAGTTAACCAATTATATTCAATGCTACAGTTTGTTATGAAAAGTAGGTTGATAATATAAAAATACGCAACTGCAAACTTCGAAATAAAATCCAACTCGTCGATTTTGCCATACACGCTTCATTATATTTTTATTGCTCATAATAAACACTTGCATTTGTTTAGACTTCTTGATGTATCCACGTCTCATTAAAAAGATTAATGTTTATGACATTTATTCAATTCAGATAAGATTATAATATAAACTCGTTATTAAACCAGTCTCAATTAATTAAGTGATACATTTTTAACATATGCATCAAAATAATGCAGTAGTGTTATTTTGGTACCATGTTTCTTTATACAACAATTTCTATGTTTCTTCATTTGAAACTAAAACTAACAGTTGTATATTTAAAAGTCATAAGTAACTAATTTAAATAACAACAGAAAGAGAATTCTACATTATCTCTTTATTTGTAAATATTTGTTATCTACTTAATTTATATTGTTCTACACAATATATATATTGGGGTATATATAATAATTTGCCTAATTTTCCTTATGGCTTTAGATTGTTATTAACTTTCATTTCATTAAAACGGTACTCTTGCTTGTTTAAAGTAAATTTTGCAGCATAAATTGCATGCAAAATATTGACCCGCTGTTATACTAATATTTAGCAAAACATCATTCCCTCTTTTTTATATTTCATGCAATCAAAATAAACAGTTTATAATACATATTATTTTTAATAAATCAAATTGGTGGCTAGTTAATTTATTTACAAATATTTTTGTTTTGTTGGTTTTAGTTTACAGCTCCTATTTGTATTTGATATTATTAAACATGCAGTCTCAATAATAGTTGATTCTCTAATTCAAATTACATTCCCCATCACGTCGCTGTAGTAACTTTCGTTTACGCACTTATACTGTTACTTTTCATAGCCAGGTATTAATTACCAAAGGGTTAACTAAAGTGGCACGAATGACTCCTGGCAAATATGTAGTATACAGTCAAAATCTATAATAACGACATCGAAGAGACTACTCATATTTGGTAGTAAAAACTGATAGTCGATGACATTGTTATTAAATACTTTTACCCGCCGGGACATTTGATTTTGGTCAATATAACCGGAATATTGTTCTAAACGATGCAGTCTTAAACGGTTTTGACTGTATTCTATATTGTGCTTATATCCAAAGATGTCACCTATTTATGCATCAAAAGTTATGAACAGCTTTGCTACCACACAAAATATACTGCAACTGTTCGATAATATTTTCAGAATAAAATGGCGGAGCAAATGCCAATCTATCCGCCTGGGGTTTCCTTTGACCAGAAGTACGCAGAGCATTACGAAGAAGCCCTCAAAATGGAAGAACAAAAATATATACAAGATCCAAAGAGTTACAACCCGAAACCCTTTGAAGCACTGCCAGAACCATCTCAGGTTGAACCAAAACTTGAGCCCGAACCAGGTAAACCTATTCGCTTTATTAGCGTCAATAGTTCACAACTTACAGACGAGCAGAGGGCTATGTATGAATCCGTGCTATCCACTTGGAAACCAGTAATGTTCCCGAAACAAGTCAAACGGTACATCTGTGAAAAGTGCAACAAAGAATTTAAAAATTACCAAAATTTATACCTCCATACGACTCGTGTACATTCGACCGAAGAGTCAGCTGTTCTGTGCAACATATGCGACAAGTCGTTTAAGAATAAGCATTATCTGTACATGCATAGAATGAATAAACATTATTCGGAGTCTGAGAAGTGTTTCTGCCAGTTTTGTTTGCAAGAATTCCGGACACGGCGAGCTTTGCACATGCACGTCAAGAGATTCCACCCAAACACCCTACCCGAGTTGAAATGCCCTGAGTGTGGAAAAGAATTCCGTGTACCCTACAAACTGCGATACCATATTGATGCCTGTCACAGGCCTGATAACGAAAAGTACAAATGCCACATCTGTCAAAAATTATATAAAAGTCACTTAAATTTAAATCGCCACTTGCACTTCCAACATTCTCAAGTGCCTCGGCATCCATGCGTCTTCTGCGACATGACGTTTAAATCTAGACATCATATGAAACGTCACATTCTTAATATACATCCTCCTTTGGAATCCAAAGTGCAATGTCCAGAATGTTTGAAAGAATTTAAGAATGACCAATATTTAAAGGAACACATGCAAGTACATTCGTCTTTAGATTCGAAGGTCAAGTGTGATTTGTGCGATAAATTCTTTCATTCTGCAATTCGTTTGAAGAAACATAAGAAAATTGTGCACCCGGATAAGCCAAAGCTTCGCTGTGAGAAGTGTGATAAGGAGTTTGCCCATGCACATTACTTAAGACGGCACCATAACTCTGTGCATATGGATGTCGACGAAAGTCAGTACGAACACGAATGTGACCAGTGCGGAAAGAAATTTAAAATAAAGAGATACCTAAATAATCACCTGCAGAGACATGAGCAGCAGCATTTGAAAAGGATTTCTCAAATGGTCAAAACGGTCATGGACGACGGAACGGAGAAGAAAGCGACAAAGAGAGGCAGACCTAAAAGGACGAGAAAAGAGATAGAGTTTGTGAAATGCGAGCCGGTAAGCTCGGAAGAAGAGACTGGGAGTGAGGATTCGGAATCGGAATAATTTTATTTTAAGGAAAAAGAATGTAAAGGGGGGACTTTCAAAAGTTGTAGACATTTGAAGGTATTCCGGAAAATTTTATGAAAGCAACGATTAGAGCCACAAAAACTTTTCTAAAAAGCATTCTTTTTCCCATATTTGTCCATATTACTTATTTACCACTTATTTTAAAAAAGAGAATCTAATTTGATTTTTTCTACAATTGTGTATTTATAACATTAACTTGCAATGATGTTATACTAGAAGGTAGATTTTCGCAACTTCATATTTATTCAACCTGAATAAATATTAAATTTCAATGTCAAGTAACACCTCCGAGTTCAGCTCTTTCACTATGGTACAGAAAATAATTTCTTTTTAAATAGTGTAATTTATTAGTGTTATCTTTAGTAAAGAAATTTCGATTTTATTATGGGGCAGTAAGGAGAAAATACTAAATGGTTAACAATATAAACTTACATTTAACATTTATTACTGGGAAACGCAAGATTTATATAAAAGAGACAGCTCTATGTCATCACTCTCCGAGTCTATGGTGTTTGCACATTGTAAAAACAAAATACTTTAAAATAAAAGAATTAATGATTTTTTATAAAGCCCTTGCGCGCCCCTATTTACCTATATATAGGCTGTTAATAAATATTTCATAGAATTTAATTATGAATTAGATATTTATAAATTAAGTTGCCATTATGTTTAATGTTGATATGTATATTTTATTTTTTTGTAAAATTTATTACTAAATTAAGGAACATGGTTTTTATTGAAAGCCGATTTATGTATACGTTGGGTGAAAAGTATAAATAATTGGCTTTAAGTTGGACGTGTAACAAAAACTCTATACATTCCCAGATGTTAAACGTATTTATAAGTTGGTATTTCAACAAAAGATGTCGTAATGCGAAACGGACCCAAAGACTAGAAGCTAGGGCGTGCCGGTGACTGTGCGTGGTGTTCTGTCAGCTAGTCTATGGCAGGTTAACATTTTTGGCGCGTATTTTTGTTTATTCCTGATACGTCTAAACAACATGTTTGGGCCGTACAAAGTTTATCTAGAAATTTTTAATAGTTTTATGATATTATAGTTTTGAGTCAAAATTGTTTATTTATTGGAGTTTACTCCTTAAGAAACGATTTGTGTTATAAGGCCCGGTACGGAAATTTTATGAGGAGTAAAATCAAGTGTAACACGAAAAGTTGAGGCGTTATGTAGAAAGAGACAAACATATAGAGTTTACTCCTTAAGAAACGATTTGAGTTATAAGGCCCGGTACGGAAATTTTATGAGGAGTAAAATCAAGTGTAACACGAAAAGTTGAGGCGTTATGTAGATAGAGACAAACATATATATCTGAAGGATTGAACGTGTAAAAGAATGAGATGGAATACATTACACAGACTTTTCTATTTTGAATTCACGTTTTGACAGCCACGTTACAACATAGTCAGTGTTGACAGGTGTAAAAAATAAAAGTAGTTTGTCTAGCGTGCCATAGAGTTTTGTCAATAGTAATGGTCAGTGAAATTAAAACTAAAAAGATTGTTCATTCTTATTCTTCTCTTACTATAAAGGTAACTTTGGTCACAGAAAGAAAATCCTATTTGGGCATAGATGATGTAGGTACGTTTTATTACTACTACAAACATTTATATTATAAAAACATATATTCTTACCACCTTTAGTATGAAAATATGGTCGACAGCCACAGAACATCGCCATTTTTTCGTTCGTAAGGAGTAAACTCCAATCGTGCGTCGTAGCTGACACACACACACTTTTTTTATTTACTAGGTAAACAAATGGGGTTTTTGTTACACAAAGAGATTTTAAAGTGATTTCGCATATATAATTGCTGTATGTAGATTAAAATTTTCATTGTTACGCTTTTTAATTCAGTGTAAATATTTTAAGCCCCTATTCCAAAACGAGTGTTAATAGTCTTAAGTACTGTCATAGGCCAAATTGGCAGAACTTAAAACTATTTTGACATTGATGCACATTCAGTTACACTTTTTGGGAGTTACCAAGAGCCAATAATAATTATATTTCTTATTATCGAATCAAATACACTTTTTAAATATATTTTTCTTATGTTGCTAACTAACTTTGAATGGTTTAATAAAATTGCACTGTTCTATATTTTTATAAGAGAGTCTATGGTGCTCTATTCTATTTTCTATGCTAACACTAATTGTTTAAGGTATCTCCCTAGTATTTCAAGTGCACATGTAGCTTAATATGTTGATCCCTATCTGAAGTTTTATAAAAAACAATGTAATGTAAGGTCAACTGCACATTGTATACATAATATCGGTATCGGCGCGTCATATAGCAAGATTTGGCGTGGTTAAAGAAAAAAAATCTTACCCTATGTCTCGACCCAATATTCACTTAAAACCAGTTTGATTGTAAAGTACCGCTGTTCTTGATATATATTAAAGTAGATTATTAATCTATTCAAATATGGTATTTCTCGTCTGTATTTGTTTTCTAAGCTCGAAAAAGGCATACAATGTTCAGTCGGCCTTAACATTCTACTTAGGGTGCTTTTGCAATGGCAGTCTAAAACAAACAATAAATTTTACATAGGAGTTACGACTTTAAATTAATGGGTTAAGGTTAAATTTTTCAATAACTTCTTTCACTGAGAATCGCTAGTTAGATGTAAGCTGGCTTGAAATTGCATAGACAGCCCTAACACAATTTCCATAGCCATAGAGTGACTTAATTTTATGTCTAGAAATGAAATAATTAAGAACCTGAATCACAGCTGAAATATGTTTTTGCTACCATGGTTACTGTTTTATAGTAGAATGACAGCCATGGAACAAATACGATATCTTAAACCCGCGTTTTTAAGGGTTATGTCTATGGTAAGAATTTTATATAGGCATCGGTTCGTAACTTAGCAAAATTTTGTGTAGATAATCAAACTACTTTCTTGTAGTCGAAAAAGACCTAACGAATACTTTTACGCACCCAACGATACTCGCTAAGTTACGTGCCGGAACCAAACAACCTTTTAAAATAATACATTTGAAATGTTTTCTTAAGTAAGAGTTTCGTCGCTAGATGGCGTTGTTCACTATTGGTTGGTGTAAATATATTCTCGTTTAAAGTGTTTTTGAAAATTTTGTAAAATCTATTTCATTAATAGAAATTTATGAAGGCACATAATTCAATAGATTGTAGTTTTAATACAATAATTGATAACAGAGATTTTTATTGCCATTTTAAAAAATATTCACGATGTATATATGCATAATGTCTTGTGCAATATAACACTAATTTTAAATATTATGCATTATGTTTGTTAATGTTTTTACTAAACCAATTGGAATATGGAATTAATCCCTTAAGTTTATTCTTGGGTCTAAAATATAGATTTACTTTCATTTAATTTAGCAATACTGTGTCAGTTTTATTTGTTACATGAAGAGCAGATGAGCAGACGCATTTTAAGAGATTTTAAAACTGAAAGTGATTTATATTTAAAAGTTTGCGAAATATGACTCTCGTATATCAAATATTTTTGACATTAGAGAGTCATCCTTAGCGAGACTGAATCTTACATGTTTGTGAATTGATGGTGATCACGTTTTGGAATACGAGCCTAAACGGGACGGAGCCGTCAGTTCACGAATTTGCATAAGGCAAAAATTTCTAAAGGCTAAAGTCTGTCTGTCGCTGTTGTGTTGTGTAATTATTTAGTTAAGGTTTTAAATTTTGTAAATAAAGAGTTATTATTGTGCAATTATATGGTTAAATGAATTTGTAGTTTTATTTACCTTTAAAAACGGAACGTCTTAATCCTCGTATCCACTTGAGCATGCTCGGGCGAATGAGCGGCTCATTTGGCCGAGCCGCTCAAGTGGAGACGCCTGAGCACGCTCGGCCCGAGCAAATCCGGGCGCGCTCAGGGCGAGCGCCGAGCCGGCATCTGTCGTTTTTGTCCGTGCTCAAAGGCGTTCCGCGTTAGGCGCAGTGTTGCCAACTTAGCACTTTCGGTGCTACATTTAGCACTATTTTCGCAATTCAAGCACTGTCATTTAACATTCAGCACCTAGCACTAAACAGCCATCATTCGGATTTCTCTGGTTGCTGTAACAAAACGCAGCCACGCAAGGTGTAGTAATAAAACGCTACTATAATTTTTAAATCGAACGCGCCCATATCTGTCTAATCTATGTTAGGGGTAGAGGTATCTGAACATAAAGATGCAAACGACGAAAATCCCTTTAATGAACTAGTTTCATTGGCATTTATATTACTATCATTGCCGCATTCTAACGCCGATATTGAGAGGGTGTTCAGTTCAATGAACATTTTAAAAAATAAACAGGAATAAAATGGATTTGGACACTTTGAATGCACTTCTTCATATCCGAACAGGGCTCAAAAACTTAAATAAAAATTGCCATACATATGAAATTCCCCTAAAAGTTCTTAAAAATAAAAATTGGCAAAAAAGATATGTACTCATTTAAATTGAAAAAGTCTGACAGCGAAGAACCTTCCACTTCCACGGCGGCTTCAGCGTCAGTACAACGAGAAGCAGAATCAGCAGTAGAGACAGACGATAGTGAAGATGATTGGATGTAGTTTTAAATAATTATTATCATATTAAACCAAAAATAAATTAATTATATATTTTTTTTCATGTCTAAAAAAATAGCACTATTTTTGATACTTTTTATCAATCTAGCACTATTTGAGATGTCATTTAGCACCTACCTAAGAGATCGAGTTGGCAACACTGGTTAGGCGCTCAGTATTCGCTCGGCGCTCAGTGTGGACGGTTGTTTTTGTGTTTGAGGCGAGCGCGTCGAATTCCCCGAGTTTTAATTTCGTTTACTTTTTCTGTTATTTTAAAAATGAGTGGCTTGTGGGATAACGAGACTTGTTTAACATTAATTGATGCGTATGATTCAAAGAGGGTGTTATGGTATAGTACATACGAAGAATACTATAATCGCATAAAAAAAGAAGATGCTTGGCGTGAGCATATACTAAGCAGTCTGAGCACAGCTTTTTCAATGTTGAGGCTCGTTCGACCAAAATATTCATTTTGTTCCTCTGAGCATGCTCAGGCGAATGAGCGGCTCATTCGCCCAAGCATGCTCAAGTGGATACGAGGCTTTATAGACAAATTCAGCTGAACGTTGTATGCAAAAATTGTTATGTAGCTTGTTGCTTCAGAACCTTGTAGTGTGATTCTACGTACACTCAGGTTGAAACGTCACGTATTGAGTATTGCGGGACAAAATGTTTCATATAGTGTATATCGCCTTGCTTTGAGAAATAAGACCATAAGGGGATTATTATGATTAAAAGTAAATAATTTTTCTGTCCTGGGGCTAGACTAACATATAATGTAATCCATTGTTGCCAATCCATATTGTATTGAATAAGTAACGTAAGCCAATGTCTTTCCTAAAAAAAATATAGGTCGATAACGCCGAAGCATTTTGGCCTTAAGCACTATTTCTACCGGTAACATTTCTGAAAAGCCATGTCATTCTTTAATTTGGAGATATTATCGTTACCATTCAAAAAGATTCAAACTCTAAATCTCGTTTTAAAAAGCCAGTTATGTTTGTAATAACTGCAGAAATGTAGGCAATTGCATAAAGCAGATATCGATGGCTTAAAGATATTTGATACTTTACTCTATGATATAAATCTTTTTAACAGGTATTTATTAATTATTTATTAGTAATCTTACAGCAGCTAACATGTACATATTTTAAACAAAACGAGTTTAGACAATATACAGATTACATACATATATAATATATGAATTACAGAAAACATACGTTTGTAACTACATTAATAGACAAAAATATAAAAGAAATTAAATTTAACATTGAACAAACGACAATTAATACTTAATATTTCAAAAAAAACTAGATTGTTATTGCTATACAAAGCCTTCCCGCCTCTTCAAATATTATGGGTTGATATTTCTACTTAGTCTGTGGTAGATACAAGTTAATAGAGAATAGACGAGAAATACACAAATCCAGATATTTGTTGATAAAGTAAAAAGTTGACATGTCCCGTTCGACTATGCATTGTTGTCATTGAGAAGCTTTATTTTTGTAATTTTGTATATAAATTATAAAACCAACACATAATGTGTACATGGGAAAAATTTAAGTAATTGATTAATAATATTGTCCAAACAATGGATAACTTAGATGTAATAAAAGAAGAGTTTGTTCATGTTAATGTTAAAATTGAACCATGTGAGGAAAACTATTCAGAATTTGATGGTGTTGTTGAAGACAATATTCCACAAGATTCATGCGACTACGAACCTCCTGAAATAAAGGTTAAGGTAGAGATCGTACAACAAAACTCTGAGGACCAGCATGAAAGTAATCACTTATTACTAGAAGCTGATAGAAAACCAGATTTGCAGGAGCACTTTCAAGATAGTAACATAGGTGGAGACATAAAGTATAATAAAAGAATTCCGTGCCCGAAATGCGATCGTACTTTAAAAAACCGGGGAAATCTAAAACAGCATCTGCGAACTGTGCACTTAGAAACTTCCGAAAATATAAAATGCCCAGATTGTGATCGAGTTTTTAAGTCGAGGGAGTATTTGTGGAATCACCAACATTCTGTACATTACAGTATTGAGGAAATGCCCTGTCCTGAGTGTAACAAGACTTTTACTAATAAAAGACGCTTAGACAATCATTTCTACTACACTCATAAAGATAAAACTCTAGTAACATGTCCAACGTGTGGTAAAAACTTTCAAGGACAGCGAAAACTGAAACTGCACATGAAACATGTCCACACCTTTAATGAAAATATATTATGCACTCACTGTCAAAAACGATTTAAAAGTGAGTTACTGCTTAAAAGACATATGGCATATCATCATTCTGATGGTCAGGAATACAAATGTGCCTTCTGTGACAAAATGTTTGACTCAAATATTAAGTACAAAAAACATTTAGAACAAGTTCACCCTGAGCAGCGTATACAATGCCGCATCTGTTCCAAACTTTTAAAATCAGTGCAGATTGCAAAAAAACACTTAAGAATTGTTCATCAATTGAAGGATGGAATCCTTGAAGAGAATTTAGTAAAAGTAGCTAATGATACTATAATAACAAATTTCATTAATGGTGTTGATAAGGCAGTGGAAGTTACTTGTGACTTATGTTTCAAAGTATTTTCCAATCAAAGTGTATTTTATCGACACATAAGATCAACGCACCCATCAAAGGAGCAAGAGGTTTCCTGTGATGTTTGTAATAAAGTGTTTAAATCGCCTCATCATCTAAGAGTTCACAAGGCAGCTGTACATTCCATTAACCAATTTACATGTAGTCTTTGCAATCAAACCTTTTCTTCGAAGAAGTATTTAACAAGACATGAGAAGAGGCACAATAAGATTGAACAACAGTTTGAATGTGATATTTGTAATAAATTTTATAAATGCCGAGAATATTTAAAGAGGCATTTAAGACGTGTGCATGACAATAATATTTTAGGTATTTAAGTTTGTTTGCACTGTAAGCTGGCTGTTAATAGTATGAATATTTGAATAGATTAAAAATGTTAGCTGTTATAAGTGAAGCCAGATGTTCTGTTTGAGAAAAGTATCATAAGAACATTTTAGAAGTCATATAATATGATCAATATGTTCACAGATTAATCAATTAATAATTGTGTTATTATTGCAAAAAAATCAACCGTGTTTAATAAGGTTTAATGCTATTTCTAGACTGCAATATGTTATTTGACATATTTAGTCCTTAGCCTAATTTTAGATCATTGGATGCACCAAAAAGCAGAAATATCCTATAACAGCACTCGGTAACTTTATAAGCTTCTGTTGTAGTGATCTAGTAAATGAAATTGTTAATCATGAAATATTTTTAATGTATATTATGAACTTTATAAATTAAATGTAAGTATAAGATACAATGAATTAAAAAATCAGTTAAGTAAAACTTTCTCTATTGCACTGAAAAGGGTCAAGAGATTTTACAGTATTTAGATATTAGATAAGGAGACACACTTTATTTAATTGTATATGTTATGAAATAAAGAGTAAATAGTTTCAAATCTTTTATTTTGTCAAAAAGTAATCTAAAATACTTAATAGCCTCTTATACACCACTTTCTGGATCTTATTAAAAAAACTGGTTAGATTTATTAACCTTTGAGTAAGTAGAATTTAGTAGGAAAGGTAAAGATCAGTATAAGATTAGCTCGATCGAGCTAAACTGTCGAGTAAAACCATGATGGTTCTCACACCTATTGAGATTGATTATCGATGAAGCGTGCGGTTAAGAATTCACCGAACTATCATTACACCCTATAAGAAAATAAAGAACATAGGAAAGAGTTTAAGGGGGCAGAATTTAACATAACATTAATTATTTTTGGGAGTAAAAAAAAAAAAAAAAAAAAAAAAAACCCCCCCCCCAAAAAAAAAAAAAAAAAAAAAAAAAACCCCGGGGGGAAAAAAAAAAACCCCCCCCCCCAAAAAAAAAAAAAAAACCCAAAAAAAAAAAAAAAAAAAACCCCCCCCCCCCCCCCCCCCCCCCCCCCCCCCCCCCCCCCGGGGGGGAGGGGCCCCCCCCCCGCGGGGGGGGGGGGGGGAAAAAAAATTTTTTTTCCCCCCCCCCCCCCCCCGCCGGGGGGCCCCCCCCCGGGGGGGGGGGGGCCCCCCCCCCCGGGTTTTTTTCCCCCCTCCGAAAAAAAAAAAAAAAAAATCCCATGGTGGGAACTGCCCTTAAGAAAACCACCACCCATAAAAACCCCATGGGGTCATAAGGAAGGGGGTTCGGTTTAGCTGTGCCTGCATAAATTAATTTTGGGCATTATACCAATCTTATTCTTTGATACAAATAATCCTATTTGTACAGCATGAGTACCTAAGACACTTAAGAAAATGATTGAACTTATACATTTAATGTCACAAAAATCAAATTATAGAATATCGAGATGGTGTAAAAAACCACCTGTACACTATTTATTATCTATACTTACTCACACAGCGTTACAGAAAAAAAAGTTAAATCTCAGTCTCCATTAATTCTGTATTACAAATTAAATAAAACACAGTATAGGTACAGGTGGATTTTTTTAATGAAAAAAATACGATACGACTTAGCACACACAGATTTCTTAATCTTATATACACATCTTAAAAATATATTTACCAATTTAAATCTCATGCTTTAGATAAAAGAGTTGCACTTTCGAACAAGATCTTTAAAACTTTTTTGTTCCTAATAAAATACGAAATGGTATTTCGTAGTTTATGACCGAGAAAAATTATATCTGAGCAACAACAGAAAAACCAGAACTACCTTTTACATTTGGGGCTCAGATTTCTCTATCTGTTTTCTGATCATTTATTTTTCTTAATAAGCAAGTAGGTGATCAGCCTTCAATGCCCGACAAACGCCGTCAACTTTAAAAGATAAAGTAAAACCATGGACAGAACCACAGCGCGTATGATTGTGATTGGTCATCTTTAGTAATAAAAAGTAGAAACGTTTTGTAGTCAGGAGAACCATTCCATATAATTATGCTGTATTCGGTGTAGGCTCTTAATTTTGTTTTTCAACAATTACGATTTTTGTAGAGATCTTTATTAAACGCAGACGCATATAAATATAGCAAAACATAAAATAATAACGACGTTACAACCCGATGTGGCCTTTGATCTAGTCTTATTGTTTCTTTGATCACTAGGGAATTAGCATTGTGTGCATATTTTTTGTTTCTCACGATGTCTCCATACTTCGTATTAATTACATATAAAAAATAATCCAATGCCGGGATTTCAACGCAAAAATCCCAGCGGTGAGACTTGCACGCGTCAACATTGCAAAAAAATTATAATTATAAATGTCGGAGGAATATCGTCACTCCATCAATGTTGACCGTTGATTTTTATAGTTGCTTTGGTTAATCATTGAGTTTCTTCTTCAGTTTAAGAATCATAATTTGTTTTGTTATTATGTTGTATATATGTTTCATAGTTTGGCCCATTACTTAACGAATAAATTTATGAATATTGTTACAGCCAATCAGAGCAGAGCAAATGCCTCGAGTGGGGTCGAGGCGCCATCTTGATTTTGGACATTACGTTCAGAGTACTCAAGACAGTACTGATTGAGTATTCAGTAGAGCATTGTGGTGATGAGAAGTTGGACCGATTTGGGTTCGGTAGATTGTGATTAAAAATGAGATCGCTGCTCGATAATTTAATCACAAGTGTTATTTATAGGATTAGAAGGAATTAATCTAAAATCAATATTGTACGATGATTATTCATGTATTTTGTGCTCGCACCTTATCTACATAACGCCCACTAAACCCGCTAAGTCGATGTCCATATCGATGGAGTGACGATGTTTCTCCAATATATATATATGTGTGTTTTGGTCCTACGGTCCGGCTGTTACGGTAAAGAATTCGCAACCGGGCGCACTCTGACGTGGCCATTCGAAAACTAATGGCGACTCTTCTTTGTATTTAATAATATCTTCAGGTTGTTTCGGTTTTATCTGAAATATTAAAATACGCTTTAGCACAAATTACAATAGCTTTCTGACCATTTACATAATAAATCTCGTATGGGTGAGTTGTAAGAACCGATAAATATACATAATTCAAAAGGAGATTTACAATTCCATGTGAAGTCTTATTTTTTGTATAAATCAAATCAAAATCATTTATTCAGATAGGTAAAACAATTAACACTTATGAACGTCAAAAAGAAATACATATTAAATGCTTCTAATTTTACATTTACTGTCAGTTCTCAAATCAAGGGCGTAGAACGGAAGAGAAGAATTGGCAATAAACTCTCCGCCACTCTTTTTAATCGCCAAGATTTTTGTTTTACAAAATGTTTGTAAGGAGCTGCAACCATCACACCATGTTCCACATCTTAAGTAATTAATAATTAAAAATAAGATTTGTCCTCTATCAGCAGGAGGCATGGTGAAATAGGAGCACGCACTTACATTCTCGTGGGAACAACACGCAAACACATAGTCGAAATAACTACCATCACCGCATACACGAATTCAAGTCCGACCAATCATCACAAGTAGCACCCGTTCACGAGTATGACGCATGGCCAGCCATCGGCCCCCTCGCCATATTTTAGGTAGAGAGACAACCCGATGCATGGACGCCGCCACAAGCAATGACATTTAAGCGAGCATGACTATCCTTGAAATGTGGACTTGGCTATTCTTATTTTTGTGAATATTCTTCTAACACCACTCCCGATCTCACGGGAAAAACTAAACATACATACATAATTCATGCGTGATAAACATTACCTTAGCGTTCCTATGAAGTTTCAGATGCACGAGTTTGACGTGCGTCTTGAGTGCAGTCCGTTGGGCGAAATGTCGTCCGCACTGCTCGCACTCAAACGGCTTTTCGCCCGTGTGTGTGCGGATGTGGTTCGTGAGAGTGCTTTTTGCCTGACAAGAATACATTTTTTTAACAATACAGACAAAAGAATACTGAGAACAGTGACCGCGATTGAGGGAAAATTGTACATTATTTTTTGTTTTGGTAATTTCCTAAAAAAGAAACAAAAAAGGGGGAATGTTAGGTATGGTGAGGAATGAAATCGTTGAACTATAAACGCGTGTCTTTGACCTTGAGTTATCGGAGAATGGATTTGGTAGCTGTTTCAGTATATTATAATAAATGGGGACTACCCCATTTCGTCTCTTACCTTGAGTTTCTCGGTCTGTTTTAAGTTAATTGATCATAGCGTTAACTTTGTATAAGAAAACTTCGTACCAGCTTTTATTAGACCCTAAAAATTAGCATCCCAGACTCTGCCTATTCTAAAGTATGAAGAAATGTGATCAATAAAAAAAAAGAGTGTGTGTACTTATGTACACGCGTTAGAAGTTATACTTCTTTGGCGAATGGAAAAAAAATAACTGAAATGCAGTAGTGATTAACGATAAATATTAAAATTAATCAAAAATATTTTATTTAAATAAATAAAAACACCAAAATAATATTTGTTGAATCACACTATTTAATTGTACTGTTACGAAACACGTGTTCTAAATAAAAAAATACTAGAATATACAACTTGAACATAGTTATTATCGATTTTCATGCCACCTAGAATCTTATCATTTTTCTCCATCGCGCCAAAAGAAGTATAACTTCAAAAATAGATCTGAAAATATCTAAGTACAGATTACACAAATGCAACACAGAAATCTGTCAATCCCAATCATAAACTTATTACTCACATTAAACACACGTCCGCACGTGTCGCACACGTGTTTCGCGTGCACCTTAATACCGGAATGCACCATTCGCACGTGTTTCTGTAAGGACGATTTTGTCGCGAGCGCAGCCGGACACGTCGGACACCGGTGGGCGCGAACACCGTCGTGTTGGACGGAGAGGTGGTGAGTCAATTCTGATAGGTTTGTGAAGCGCTTGCTACAACGGGGACACGGGTGACTGAAATTATACGTAGGGATTAGTATATGCTAAGCCAAAAAGCGTTTTAGGTACCGCTTTTCATTTGTTTATTTTTACTAGTGTTTACTGTAATTGGACTTTTATGATTTGTGCATCTATTCGATTAATTATAATTAAAAAATAATTAATATTATTTAAAAACATACTTTCATATTTTTTTTAAAGTAACAAAAGGGCTATCGTATAACTTTCTAAAAAACACATTTATAGAGTAAGCCTACTCTTTATCTTGGCGTATAAATCAGATAAAAAAATTGATTATTACTTACATAAGACTTTGTTCATCTATGTGTTTGGCAGTCTTTTTGAGATGTTGATTCAGCGCGTGCGAGGTTTTAAATCTGAAATTTAATATCACCATAACAACATTTTGTATAGTGCATTAAAAATATATAAAGATATAATCTAACAAACTAGGTTTTTTTTTTTGTAAGTGTACGAAGGCTGTATGATCGACGAAAGTATTTTTTTAAATTTTCTTCTAAAAAAGTACTTTTAAATTACGGATCATGTCTACAACATCCAGTTTCCGAGAAATTTATGGACATACATTCACGATTTATTAAAATTAATTTAATCTACGGGCTTGCCCAAATCATACACAAATATTTACAGTTTTGAACAATTAACCAACTTGAAGTTGTTTAAAAATGAGGTTATCACATATGTATCGATATAATGTAATATTTAAATATGATCGTATATTCCGAATTCCAAGCACGTTCCAATTTCGTTAAAAGGAATTTACACTGGACACTTTCGATATGTGTGTGACCACAAATTTGCCGCGAAATTCCAGCGATGGTTGAAGTATCAAAGGTATTTTCTAAAATCGCTTTATTAGTTCAGATATGCAGACATTTACAGTGTAAACCCTTTATAACGAATTTCAAGGGACCGAGATTTCATGTATGGGTATTGGGTTAAACCAAATAAATTTAACAGATAATGCGTTAAACCGGGACGCTTATTTTAGTAATGTTGTAAAATAAGTATTGTTATTATACTTTAAAATGTTATTTTGAATGAGAGTCTTGTAGAATAAGTAAGGTAAAAACTTATGTTTAATTCATAAAAAACTAAATCATTTTTTGTGATTTTTTAGCTAAAGTACTTTTTCTGGTCAATTATGTTTACACTAGGATGGAAAGAGATAGATGAATACGTTATTTGAAACTATATACAATATATTATTAAGAACACTTTTTTGGGCAACAGGCATTTGACAGAGATCCCTTCATTTCAAATTTCAATGCTTTAAGTTTTATTATTATTTAGTCAAAATAAAAATGTCTCACCTAATATCACACTCCACACAATAGTAATTCTTAGCATCGCTATGCCTCGTCTGATGATACCGCATCTGTTGTCTTGTACGAAACCGCTTGCCGCAAACACCGCACGCGTGCTCCTTTACGCCTTGGTGGATCCTAAAAACTCAAATATACCAGCGTCGTCTACGTGGTACCACCACCCACAACATAGGGGAACATGTGGGTGGTCACTTCTAGTCAGGACAATTTTTTTACAGATGGGGGCAAACTGGCAGGAGGCTCATCTGATGTTAAGTGGCAATCTCTAAGAGTGAGGTTTAGAAATGACAGCCTTCATCACATTTTTGACGTGAAGCAGGGTCCACACTATGCCGGGGTAGGCCGGGCGGGCTGACCCGGGCGGCCTAAGCCGCGTTGATGTAGACGCCCCGGGCGGCTTTGCCGGGTTAGAAAATGCCGGCCCGGGCCGTGCCGATCCCAACCCGCATAAAGTAGGTACAGATCAAAGGAAGCCGAGCCGAGCCGAACAAAAATATAGAATGGGGACGTGCCGAGCGCCCCGAGCGTTCGTTCGTTAAAAAATTGACATAATTGTATTTATGCGTACAAATAAATGTAACTTGATCAATTCAATTGTGATTACCATTTACCTCCCCATATCCATACAAATGGTAGGGGAGCCCAAGAGGGGATATCGGGATTTACTAAAGCGCGGCAGATTAATATATAGGTGGATACCTTGTACCCGGTTAAGTACCTCCACAAAATATGAGGCCCATATATAAGGCCGCCCGTGAAGGAGACAGGATCAGATTAGTAAAAAAAAATTGACCATCAGAAATTCCCGAGCGCGGCAGATTAAGGTAGGGTGAGTTAATTACATCCTAAAAAGTGTATATTCCACTAATCTGACAATTTGAAAGTGACGTAAAAAAAGGGGAGGGCAACAAAGTTGTAAAAAAAAACGTCATCTCGACATTCTCGAGCGTAGCTAATTTTTTTTTATTTTGAAGGAAATAATTCAAGAATAATGAAAAAATATATAATCTGACGATTTCTGCAAGCCGAAATAACAAAAATTCGTCGATAAAGTTAAAATGCGTGCAGCTGCGTGATGCCTACATTTCCTTAAACCGATCGGAATCTACTAAACGGCGTTCTAAATATTTCCCTCAAAATTACATTTCCTGTGAATTTGAACCGATTCGAACCGATAGATTTTGAGAAATTTTGAAAAATAAAACACTATTTTGACCGGATTGAAGTTATGTATTATTATAAATTTACAACTAACTTCAATCCGGTCAAAATAGTGTTTTATTAAATGAATAAAAGTTATGTTAATCAAAGACAATTTTGAAAAATCTTAAAAAAATAAGAAATATTTTTTTTAAAGTGGTTTCTTTATCGATCAACTTCAAAAACTAATCCGCCTTTGAGCTTGAAAAACCACGTCGATCGCCACCAAGCTGGTCAAAAGCGGTTGATTCGTTCGAGAGATATCGTGAACGAAAGAAACCCGAAAAAGTGTTTTTTCGGGATTACTCCGAAATTTGTGGTTCGATCAATTAAAAGATGATAAAACTGCGTCGAATGCCGCCAACCGCGTGAAAATTGCTTGATCCATTCAAAAGTTATTGCGGTTTGAAAATTCCAAAAATAGTGTTCTATGAAACTTCTATCAGACTTTCGAGCTGGGAGAGCTCAAATGCATAGAAATATTATTTCTTTGAACTCAGCGAGCTCAAAATATCAATTTTAAGCGCCCAGGAATGGAATTAGCGGGAAGTTGCAGGGATGGCCCTTTAGGTGAACCGTTTTTCTAAAATTTTTTTGTCAGATCAGGCGAATCCCTCTAGATAATCGTCAGATTATGAGACAGTACGTTTGTTGTACGTACGTTCATAAAGATGAACCACATATATCTTAATCTGACGCGCTTGAGTATTTCAAAATTGCGATTTTTTTTTGCAAATTATGAAAATGGCCGTGGGTTTGCGTCCCATCGAAATCGTCAGATTAGTGAATGAGAGCTTTTTTTTGGTGCACTTAACACTCCCTTAGAAAATCTGACGCGCTCGATAATTTTTAATTTTTTTTCATTTTCAACCCTTAAATACAACCACCCGCATCATGCAAACGATCAGATTAACATACGTACATTATTAAAAATACGTAGGGCATTGATGCTATCAATATCTGACGCGCTCGAGGATGTCCATGCAACAGTTTTTTTTACATATTTAACAATCTATAGCCGCTTCCCCCACCGATGAAAAGGTATATATCATATAACATTTTTTTCTTCTTATTATCTAAGCTTTGCATCCCAATAGGTCTCTACGACGCTCGAGTAAATCCCCATTTAGCATCGTGGGCTCCCCTACCAAAAATATCTATCAAACAAATATAATTAATTTTTTTACAGACAACCGATTTTTTTAATAACAGGGGCCAAACTGGCATTTCAAGTGAAGTGACACATTGCCAGAAGGCGACAGTGCCTTTTAAGAATTGGTACGATCTTTTCTTGAAGGACCCTAAGTCAAGTTAGTTTAGAAATACTGAGTGACCAGCTGGTATCACCAGTGGCCGTTCGCGGAAAACACTGAAAACACTCAGTGGAACAACATACGTCGAGGTGATATTCTACCTCGACGTCCGATATTGAAACTTGTACATAGACAAAAAATATAATGTTATTATTTTAAGGTATTAAATTTTGTTGAACATAAATAACTGTCGGTATTTTTTTATTAAACGAGTGTCCGCTAGAATCGCATTAATTTAAGCCAAAATATAAATATAAACAAAAGTGATGGATTTTGAGAGATTTATAGTAAAGTCTCATTTCTGAATCTTAACCTACGTCTCGAAACAAAACTTGGAGAGATAAACTTTAAGACTTGCAGGGCTGATGACAGAATAATGTCTCAATAATAAATTGTGCGTGTACTAGGTGTACACACGTAAGAAGTGAAACTTCTTTATGATCTTATTTTTCGAAAAATGATCTACTATATGCAACTTTACAGAAATTCGTTAAATTAGATAAAGTTTAACAAAAGGCTTTTATTATCATAGACACGAATACAAATATTTCATTTTACCTTATTACTACGAAGATTATTATAGAATTTCATTAATTGTAATAGAATTATTACTATCATTGAAAAACGTGACGATTTGCTACAAAATTTCTCCCATACGTCGATAAAGAAGTTTCATTCCAACGCCGATAAAGAAGTTTGACTTCAAAAAGCAACATGGCGCGTAACCGAAAAATGTGACGCGTAACGAAAAAATGTTACACTAATTTTTTTTCCAACCTCGATAAAGAAGTTTCACTTCAAAAAACTTACAATTTATGTTCAGCCAATGCGTCAGCATTGATGAGTGTCTTGTCGCATTCGTCGCATTTCACCCGCTTCAGTGTGTGAAGATTACGAACATGGCCGCGAAGCGTTTTAGAATTACTGCAAAGATTTTAATGTCTCAGTTTCGGGAATTAAAATTGGCAATTTGGGTAAATATTCCTCTTTTCACAATAGACGAAACAAGATGTTAAGAACCATTGCTTGTGTATTTATAGAAAAAAAAAATACTCACTTGAATATCTTTCCACAGACATGACATGTGAACATGGATATAATACCTTCGTGTTCTGTTCTGAAATAATAAAATCCCGTTTGATTACTTTAAACTAAATATCGAGTCAAGACTTGAGCTTAAGACCTAAATCGATTTTTGACACATGTGAGTCGTACTTAGCGCTATGTTTCGACTCTTACTCTAAAGTCTAATATATAAGATCACAGTTATTTAATAATAAAATTCAAGTGATTTATGTGCTTTAAAGAACCTCTAGGCAAATCAACGAAATAATAAAATAATGTTTCGTTTAAGTTATTTTTTTCCCCACAAATTGGGGCTATTCCTCATCATTTCATTTATCATTAATCTATATGCAAGTAGGTGATCAGCCTTCTGTGCCTGACCCTTGTAAATTTTTCAGCCATTTTGCCCGTCAAAGCCAGACGTTTTTGTAAGCTAGGTGTAGTTCTCTCAGTCTACATAACTTCATTATTAGGATTGGGACGCTCCATTATACTCTGATTTTTCATTCCGTAGAATTCTGACATTTCATAAATGTTGCTACTAAAATAAAATGCTACGTGCTATTTATGTTTTATCTACAAAAAGGTAAATCTTAATATTTACTTACACAAGTGACCTAATACTAAAATAAAAATTATTTTAATATCACGAACAATATATCGACGTAACTTTAAATACTTTATTTTATTCTTTAGCTGGCATCACTGCCCACTAATTCCAGGTTTAGTACCTAAACCTTTTTAAAAAAAATTAAATGCTATCTTTACTTGTGCGTTTTTTACTGTTTGTGATGAAAAGGGACGTAATTATCAGTCGCCGTAAAACCACTTTTAATGTTGAGCACCGCACTTAACAAACTATCAAATAAAATGTATGTATAGAGTCAGATGTTCAGACTCGTATTAAAATTGAAAAATGTGCCCGGCCAAAAAGGTTTGTAATCTCTGACATGTCTAAAAATTATAGCTGTCAGAATTCTACGGAATTAAAAATCAGAGTATAGTGTTAGAACATAAATCTCATACTCAATACTCTTTCTCTTACCTATAATGATTAATAATAGAATCCTTGTCGGTCATCTGTCGTCCGCATTGCAAGCATTCGAACCGCCGCGTGTGTATCAACATATGTACGGACAGACTGTAGTTCGTTGGTAAATACATAGAGCATATCTCGCATTTGTACGAACCACGTGACTAAAACATAAAATTTGAAACAAACGTCAAAACCCTCTTTCAAAAATTGACATTGATTGACAATTGACACTCGAAACGTCAAGATATTTGCAATATAAACAGAAAAGATTTGTATTTTTCTTTGTTTTATAAAGTCAAAGACTATGGAGCGATTTCGAAAAATTATTTAACTATTATTTGGAAACAGAGTCGACATACTACATTCCTGAGTAACATATTACACAAAGTATAGAACCTCAGTCTGTATATGTGTCATCTGTTTTTTTTTCTAATAGACAAGTATGTGATCAGCCTGTGCCCGACACACGTCGTCCAATTTTGAGTCTCACATTCCTCACAATGTTTTCCTTTACCGTACCAGCAAGTGTTAAGCATAAGTGCACAGGTGAGTTCGAACCTTCAACCTCATAGATGACAGTCGCACGCTGAAGCCACTAGGGGCCGTTATAGTATTACGTAAGCAGATTACTGCAATTTATCCCCCCCTTGTCATAAAAAGTAAAAGTAAAAAGCAAAAGAATAGTACATAAACGTACAAATTTTTTGTAGGAATACTCGAAAATGTATTACGTTTTCAAGCATAGACAATGTGTGGGTAGTATGTGTAAAAAAGTAAATAATTACTGTCAACGTAATCACCAAATAAAAAATCAAAGAACAAACTCACCACTGTTAACATACACCACTTGACCCTGGCCCCCCTACATAGTAGAACGCCCGCCTTCCACTGCGAGCGGAACGGACCCATTACGGACTCCGCTATACACGTAACGATGATTTTCATACATGTGCTTCCACCAAAGCAGAGACGAGCGCAGCGAGAGCGAGTTGAAAGAGTCACATATGAGGTTGACCGAGTTTCCCACGGAAATGAAAATGTATGAAAATCATCGTTATGAGTAAAGTCCGTCATGGGTCCGTTCCGCTCGCAGTGGAAGGCGGGTATTAAGATTATATAAATTTAAAGAAGTTGTTATGTTTATATACTCACAGGACTGTGTTTCTTCATGTGATTTTGTAGTTTAGACTCGTAAATAAAACCTTTGTAACACAAATGACATACATATGGGAAGGTGAGTGTCTTTTTACATTCCTCCTGAAAAATTATGGTTTAATGACTTAATGTAACAAATTACGACTAAGAGAGCGTTCAAGTATTACGTAACGCAATTTTTGGAGATTACTTAACCCCCCCCCAAATGAACTCGCCGTAACGTTTTTCAGTACCCAAGTACAGTACTGTATCCAAGTCTAGTAAAACGTTTCGTGACCACCTAGTGACTCTTTAGTTACTATTATGTGGTGTAAGTATAGAAAATAATATTAAAAATAACGCGTAATTAAATCCCCGCCCCGCATCGTTTTACAAAAGGACAAAAAAATTCGTTACGTATTACTTGAACGCTCCCTAAATAGGTAGTAGTTGGAACATCAATGTTTTAAATTGTAATTTAATTTTTGAGATATTTCTTTGAAAACTTTCGTATACGAAAGATCGTCGGGCGATGACTCCACGCGGCGTCGTTGACCGGTGACCGAATTATAGTTCAAGGTTCTTATAAACTTAACAAACAGTAACCCTAATATACGGAAACGATTCTTCGTGAATCAACAAAAACCCCTCTTGTTTGTTTTCGCGATTATATTATCAAAATATAAAAAAGATTAAAATTATTAACTAATAACAATTCTTTTATTACATACCAAAGTCTATTTCGCTGTCTTAAACCCCACTAAAAAAGAAATTCCAAGGTTTTGGGGAAAAATTAAACCGTGCTGTTCCATTGGATCTAATCGTAAATGCGTATCTTAGTTTCATAAAAAAAACATTTAAAAAGACAAGAAGCTATGTCCGGCTTACTATTTTTGACTCTACGGTTAACCTTCACTTCACTAAAAAATACAGCTTATCAATATTCTATAGTTTTAGATTAACATTTTTAACCTATTTTTTGAATAAGAGTCTAAATTGCTAATGCGCTGGAACTTAAGCATATTAAAGTCAATAAGAGTAAAGTAATCTTGGAAATTATCAGTCACAGTGGCCCAGTGGTTTACGTATGTTAATGTTACTGTTCCATTCGCCAACCGATGTTTAACCAATTCTCTTGAATTATAGAAGCGAATGTTGTTCGTTATTCATTTTATAATATTGCAGATCTGACACATGTACACGTTATAAATAAAAAAAAATCTAATCGAAACCATTCTTGAATCAACACATACAAAAACTTTAATCAAAATCGGTCCAGCCGTTTAGAAGTTTATTAACCAATTGACATGACGTTTATATTTATAGGCTTAGAGAAAGTTCGGGTTTCAAGTGACAATCGAACAATCAAAAAATTTACAAAATTATAAAAAGCTTTAACATGGAAAGAAATTTAATTAAAATGAAGTTCCTTACGTTGTATCTTCTTTATTCTTAATTTTCACTCTCTTTCTCACTCGTAACTTCTTAACATCTGAAAGACTTTCATCTGAATCATCTGTATCATTCGTTCTGAAAGGGCAAATTAGTATATATAAATAAGTTTCCTACAACTCAGTAACCAAATAACTCAAATTAAAATCATTTGCAGTGGCGCTGCGACGATGTTGAAGTTTTCGCAAGCTTGTTTTAAGAATTATGTACTATCAAAGAGCTAAAAATCTAATGACTTGATGCAAATGTTACTTTAAAGAATACCTAAGCTGGGGCCTATTATGCCGCTCTTAGCGCCTGTGACAAACACATTTCTACATCTGTTTATTTTTTTATAAGTATAACCCGAAATAATAATCTTTTCAGCAGAAATAGGTCCATTATCTCTGTTATTTAATTTAAGAATGACACCAAACTTATTCATAGAGAGCAGAGATGTTAACCTGGTCAACAGCAGTCTCAACTCTGAGTCTTGATTTGAAACCACAATTCTATTTTCTTGTACAAATAAGGAAAACAATCGACCATTTGCCACTATTAAAAATTGTGGTTAAAGTCTAAAAGAGTGATCTGAGGCTCAGATCAATTAACACTTGTGGCACCAATGGATTGTTATTATTTCATATTGAAATCGATTTTACAACTATCCATATCCTTACCTATCACCATTATCAGGTATATAGTCTTCCTCATTATCAGTCTGAACATTTTCATTCTTGATTAAATCACTAATTATATTATCATTGTCAATAATGTCATGTTTTATCTCTGCACTTATATCCTGCGCTAGAGGTAACAACTCTATGCCTAGTCTTTGTGTCTCATGCTAAAAATATTATACAAGATATTTAAAAAAATGAGAAGTGTTGGCGTAGTGGCTTCAGCGTGCGACTCTCATCCCTGAGGTCGTAGGTTCGATTCCCGGCTGTGCACCAATGGAACTTCTATGTGCGCATTTAACATTCTCTCGAACGGTGAAGGAAAATATCGTGAGGAAACCGACATGTCTTAGACCCTAAAAGTCGACGGCGTGTGTCAGGCACAGGAGGCTGATCACCTACTTGCCTATTAGATTGAAAAATGATCATGAAACAGATTCAGAAATCTAAGGCCCAGACCTAAAAAGAGGTTGTAGCGCCACTGATTATTATTATTTTTTATTTAAAAATATATGTAAAATTGTATTAAGCATATGATTTCAAAATAAATATATATATTTGTTGCATATATTCAGGAACTTGTTATTCCTAATTTTAAAACTTAAACTAGTCTTTGATAAGTATGTATTTAGCATTTAATTAAATGATGTATATTACAATCACAATTATAATAACATTGAAAAGGAAATGCGAATTATTTTCAAAGAACAGACATTTTAATTTCCCCAGTGTCACCATGAAAATTGTTTCAAGGCAAGCAATAAGTCTTCTACAAATACCAACCTGAAACATTAACTGTAGTAGTTTACATACCTGCAATACATCATAAAACCCAGTTTTGCTCTTTGGATTGTTACAAAATGACAGTGTGGGTGTTTTAACTAAGTATGGCATTGAGTATTGAGTAAGCTCTGGGTCTTGGCCATCTATTGAGAACTGAAATAAAGACATCAATAAAAAAAATCAAGAATTGGGCCATTAATATGCTAGAGTAAATTGTGTCCCATCAAAAGTGGATAGCAAAATTTAATATTTAATAGAAGGGTCAAGATCATCAATGGGTATTACATAAAAATGTAACTTTTTGGATTGACATATATCCTATTATTATAAATAGCTAGTCAATCTCTAGATTTGAAGATATTTTAGTAGATAAGACAGAGCTACATTATGTATAATTGTAAATTATATGCTGAAATTAACGAATTTGTGAGATTACTTACAGGAGCACATCTATTATTATAATCGCACAATGCTGAATGGATTTGTAATACTTTCTGTTTGAACTTCACAGATTTCCTAAGCAAAGCAGAGCACTCCCAACATACATATTTGGGAAGACCATCTGATTCTGATACCTGTAAATAGTATTCATAAATTGAATTGATATTTGTATATATCAGCAAAATTAGCTATCACACAATTGGTTGTGGTGCTAGTTAACTATTTATAATTTGTATCTATATTTATTATTTTCATTTACTTATTAATAATAAAAAAATGTGACGGAGGAACAAAAATTGATTCAAATTGACTAAACTATAAATTAAAATCATACTCTTAAAATTAACTTTCCATCTAATATCAATATATATTCCTAGAATGCAACAGTAAATGGTGACCAGGTAGACAATAAAACACTGGATAGAGAACATCATAACTGTAACAAAGCAAAAGATGGAAGTAACACAGGAGCTGAGGAGCAAAGGCTGCAGAAGGCCTAAAGTCTAGGTAAGTCCAAGTCATCATAAAATATAAACATACAATATCTTATTTATAAGGTTGGCAAAATAAATATGCCTAATAATAATAGTGTTTCTTAGCAGTGGGGACAGATGATTAGGAAGACTGTATCTCTTCTTACAACCAAGACATTTTATTGATTAAACTTAAATCTAGACATTTATAAAATCCATATTTTAAAGATACTTACAATAATACCAGCCAAATCCAGAAGAAGGTAGCAAAAATTATCAATTTTGTTCATACGCCGGTCCGTAGATAAGCAACATCGGCAAATCGGTGCATTATTATTCTCTACCTTTATTTCTTTGGAATCTTCGGAATCCATTGTAAAAACTAACAGAAAGGAAGTGGAAAGGACTCAATATCAAAGCTACTTGTTTTTCATCGAAAATGATCGAAATTGAGAAAAAACATTCCAATGCATTACTTAATGATTGTGTATAACAACAATGGGATTATGTATGATTTTTAATGGTATTGGAACTTAAAAACTATCGTATTTTTGTTTTAATATCAGGCCGTTTGTTTGTATTTTTTCTGAAAGCTTCAGTTTTTGTTTTCAGATATTCAGTATTCACATTTCACAGTTAAATAATAAACTATTCCACTATTGACAGTTGAGTTAAATCACAGATTACATACTACTTAATAGTGGTATACTAAATTGGTAGAATGAAGATCTACGCATACATTGAATAAGCATATTTCAGATGAGATAGATATATTTGAAAATAGTGTTCAATGTATTGTTATTTTGTGTTTAAACATACATTTTTAATAATTCATTAAGATAGAATTCAGTTACTTTCTTATACTATGAAGTTTCAGTTTCAATATACAGCCCTGCGATTCTGTAACTCACTTTTCGAACTCACACAGCGGTTTTCGCTCTCAAATCAGTCGTGAAGCAGTCATTTTATGATTTGGCATTCTGAAAAGGTGGGAACTTGTAGTTTATTGATTATCCGCTGTGTGAGTTCGAAAAGTGAGTTACAGAATCGCAGGGCTGTTTCTGTATTCGGTTCATTTATTAACGAATCTTCCTAGCCTCTGAAAAACTACTATAATCTATGCTGGAAATGTTGAATAGGATCGATGTAGTGAATAGCGATACGTTATTATCTCTTCTTAGTCTGTGATTTTGATAGAAATTTTAGCTAATAGAATAATAATAAAACAGATCCTTTCTATAAATTTATTTAATAAAGAATTAATCAAAATATAATTTTAAATTACTTAGTCAGCTAGTGATGCTCTCCTTAGTAGAAAATAGAACTTTGCTTTGTTATTGTGTAGTATTTGACTCGTAAGGTGTAGTCCCAATAATCAACTATTTTCTCTGCATAATGGCTGCTCTATGTTTTTTATTTTGTTTTCAAATTTTAATAACAATTATTGATTAATAAATAAAGAGTATTTTTGTGCAAAATGAGTGGATTGTTAGTGTGCCGCATGTGCTTGGCATCTGAAGATGTCAAATTGTGCTCATTGTCTAAGTACAAACTTGTAGAAGCTTATGAATTTGTTATTGGAAGTCAAGTAAGTATTTTTTGTAAATTTACTATGCTGTATATGAGAAATGTTAAGAGAGGAAGAGAAATTGATAATATGATAATGAATAATTAAATAATTACAGGAAATTAAGTTAAATTATTAATTTAATTGAGAATATATAGTTTTTTAAAATTTCCCATTAAGTTTCCATCAATCTCTACTGTCCCCTTATTTCAAAAATCAAATAAAGTTCCAGCCACTGGAATTAAAGCTACGCTTTCTGGCTTATACAAACAGGCATAAATATAATATTAATTGTTGCAGATCTTAGATGATATGCTTCCATCATACATTTGTATGTACTGCTCAGCACTTTTACATAAACTATTATCATTTAAAGAGATGTGCCTACAATCACAGGAGTTATTGAAATATTTCTGCAATGACTTAAAGGATGGGAAGGTTGGTTGTTATCAATACATATTGGTATCATTCAAGTTGCATTAAGTATTGTAAGTTGAATGATACCAACAAAATGTCATATTGTTACCTCTTTATTGGTGTAGTATTTTATGAGTATGTCTAAGATTACTTGATAATATTTGACTTCAGAACAAACACAATTAAGAATTATAAAAGTTAATCTACATAACAGTTACTTATAGATATATATTATAGGATAAGTTGAATGTGTAAATTAATTTTCATTTAAAATTATTTTGCTTTTGCTGATGCTGTGTTAACTCTTGTGATTGAAATTAACATGAAAGTTTGTAAAATTATTACAGTATAAGAGTGTAAACTCATTACTTAAATTATATTGTAAATTCTTATACTTTTAATTTTTTGTTTTCAGCTCCAATTGACAGAACTAAAAAAGCTATCACCCACTACAGTTAATCAATACACAACTATCTTTACTGACCACATTATAAATATAGAATATACAGAACCTGTTATAAAAGAAGAATTAGAGCTAAAGGAAGAATTTGAGCCAAAAAGAAAGAAAAAAAGAAAGTCGCCTAAAGTGAAAGAACTTCCTTTTTTAAAAATAGAAGATGATGACTTTCATGATGATTTTGAAGAGAAAAATGATTGCGATGATTTTAATGTAGAAATGGTTATTTTGACTAAACAAGAGCAGATTGCAGAGATAGAAGCAAGGAAAGTGTCTGTGAACTATGTAAATTCTTTGTACCAATGTGATAAATGTTATAAGGGATTTATTACCGAGGCTACATATAAAAACCATATGGTCAGACATGATACTGTAAGTATTTTTAGTAAATTGTAATTATTACTGTGAATATATATATAAATAAATATGTTACATGTACTAATGTAACATCAAAGTTAAAAAAAGTCCAAAGATAAGCTTCAGAGTTTTAAATGTTAAAGTCAGAGGACAGATAAATAAAAAACATCAATCAATCTCATTTTAAAGGCATGTTTGCTAATCTATATGTATCTATATATATAAAAGAAAAATGGTCTTCGTTTGAGGCTCCTTCACGCCTAAACCACTGATCGTATCGACATGAAACTACCACCATTCGATGCGAAATTTTTCCTAGATGGTTTATGGCTATTTTTTATTTATTAAATTCCAACGTTCCTTCATTTTTTTTTATTGCTGTTTTACTTTTGTGAAAATTTATACATACGGACTTCACCGCGGAAACATTAGGGGAGGCTTCCTAGAACCTCAAAACGTCAACATCTGTTAAAAACTCGATTTTCGAAAATTTTCAATTTTCTTAGCGGGAAGTTAAAAAGAAGAATAATAAAAATATGAAAAAAAATAATAATGAAACATAAAATTTTATTTATTTTCTATTTTAATTCGCCCAGCAAAGCAGGCGGGAAACGGCTAGTTTTATATAAATAAACATACTAGGACAAGGTGGTGTGGTCTGAAAACTAGCCAGACTGAAAGGCGATAGTAAAAAAAATCTGAATGTTTACCTGAATTAATTTATGTATTTGTCAAAAACTGTTAAAGGATCCTGGTTGGAAGGACAAAATTATTAACATTTTAGTCTTATTCCTCGTCTGTTTTTGGTTAATTTTTTTATTGTTATGACAATAGAGTCTTAATGATATGTATAGATAGAAGAAAAACCTGTACAGGTGGATATTTTTTTAGAGCAGAGGCGAGCATATATGTGATGTGTGTTTGTGTGTGTGGGGTGAAGCAAAGTCATTGCGCAGTCACATGGTCACAGCACATGAGAGGAAATATATTTGCAAGCTTTGCAACTATGTATCTAGGTCTACGTGAGTATATTTTTATGGCAGATTATATATTATGTAAAATAACACTTTTGATCTCGCTTTTAAAGGAATTATTAACCAATTAGTTTTATTAGCTGAGTTTCATCATCGGACGTCGAGGCAGAATACCACCCGTATCACCTCGACGTCCGCTGTTCCACAACTGAGCGTTTTTCAAGGCAGTTTTTGCCGCGCACCACCACTATGTAGAACCAGCTGCCCACTAAAGTATTTCCGAAACAATTCGACTTAGGGTCCTTTAAGAAAAGAGCGTACCAATTCTTAAAAGGCCGGCAACGCACTCGCGAGCCCTCTGGCATTGAGAGTGTCCATGGGCGGCGGTATCACTTAACATTAGATGAGCCTCCTGCCCGTTTGCCCCCCGTTCTATAAAAAAAAATTCACGAAGTAAATTTTTGTATGATTGTAAAAGATCGACTTTAAATCCGATTTCAAACATTCTTTCACCATTAGAATATACCTAATAGGCAGTTTTATCAAAAAAATATTAAAAACATCTTCAAGAAGCTGGGACATGTAAGTTATAAATAAAATGATTAATCCAATGACGTAGAAAAAATTTACTTTGTTGGTATTACTGTTGGTGTTTTGTTTATTTAAAAAAAATTATTAGCCCTGCCAGAACACAAGAGACTGCTGCTAAAAAAAAAGGGTGCGTGTACTTATGTACGCGCGTAAGAAGTTATACTTCTTTGGCATTATTGAAAATAGTTTTTGATTGCATGCAAATAATTAATTACAATTAAATAATCAAAGACTGGAAAAGGAGTCATTATAGTCAATAAAGTTCAGTTTACATTTGAAAAATTAAATAAATAAATATTTATTATTATTCTCTTACATTAAGTGTAACATAAATTCTATTATTATTCGAATGTTGTTTTTAAATTATGTCCAATGGCGTAGCATCTTCCGTCACGGTGCGCGCTCATCGTAAAATTTCACTCTCATCAATTTTTCATAACGCGCCTAAAGAAGTATAACTTCAAAAAGTTCTGGTTTTCGAGCGTGTTATAAACACAATTTTTAAACAGTAAACGCATGCTTTGCGCCGGATAAATGACAATATTTATACAACATTAATAATAATATGCAAAATTTTTTTTAAACTTACCTTTATTTCTTTTTATCGAATAATATATTTTTGCTTTGTGTGTTTTTAGAAATCGCGCGAGGGAACACAGCCAATGGCATAACGGACGAACCTTTGACTGTAAAACTTGTGGACAGTCATTCTCGTAAGTATGTTGTATACAAAACAAAAAATCGTAACCATGGAAACGAACATCTTTAGTCTACGTTTTATAATGAGGCTGATGCAGTTCATGTAATATTTTTTTCATAATACCTATTTAATTGTGTATTCCGTGGACGTTTGTGTGTAATATTCAAATCATATATAATGTCTCTTATAAACCGTATGGAAATCCACAAAGAAGACTGTTGAAACAGTGGCGTAACTATCTGGGGCCCCATAGCAAATTCTTTTGATGGGGCCCTATCAGTAAAAATCGACAAGTTGTACTCAGTTTAGTTTTATTAAACTTCGAGATGTTTAGCGTACTCAATTACACGTTGTATATGTCCCACTAATGGCCATAGGTCTCCTCTCTTAAGTGAGAGGGAATGGTCTGTAGTATCCACGCTAGCCCAATGCGTATTAAAGACTTCACATTCATCCATAGAACATAATATCTCTTGATTAGGGGCCCTCTTGGGTCGGGGGCCCGTGGCATTTTGCCAGCCCTGCCACCCTATTGTTACGCCACTGTGTTGAAACTAAATCGTTTTTGTATTTATTTTGTATAGAATACTATTAGGTCCTTACATTTGAAATTGACGATTTGTCGTACTGGCTACTTTGACATCAAATATCTCCTCTTTGGTTAGGAATTCCAAATTCATTTTTTTACACCTATTTACTCGTGCCTCTGTTATATTATCTTATTTATATTTTTCTTTATTTATCTTTTTGTTCCTGCCATACATGTTATCACAAACATTACAAATTCTGTAGAGATGTAGTCTTTGGTACACTTGTTACAGAATGAGCTCATAGGTGTAGAAAATAAAAATAAAACTTTGTTTTCCTTGACAAATTAAAATTTACATATGTATTTAATTCACGTATTATTCCTCTAGTGTTTCCTTATAGTACCCATATTAATAAGTAACGTAAGTGAGTGCTGCTAGATTGATATTCAGAAACGAAACTTAGCGCTTGTTCTGAGTACGTGAATATATTGGATTTTGACATACGGTTAGAACCCTTCACTTACCATTCAGTACTCACTCCTCGCCTATTACTGTTACAGACTATACGTTTTTATTATAATGAATTCAATATATCACGAGGAGCATGGTTTAAAAACTTTCGACCACTCCCTAAGCCCCCCCCACACAAAAAAAAAAAAAAAAAAAAAAAAAAAAAAAAAAGAAAAAAAAAAAAAAAAAAAAAAAAAAAAAAAAAAGAAAAAAAAAAAAAAAAAAAAAAAAAAAAAAAAAAAAAAAAAAAAAAAAAAAAAAAAAAAAAAAAAAAAAAAAAAAAAAAAAAAAAAAAAAAAAAAAAAAAAAAAAAAAAAAAAAAAAAAAAAAAAAAAAAAAAAAAAAAAAAAAAAAAAAAAAAAAAAAAAAAAAAAAAAAAAAAAAAAAAAAAAAAAAAAAAAAAAAAAAAAAAAAAAAAAAAAAAAAAAAAAAAAAAAAAAAAAAAAAAAAAAAAAAAACACAACAAAAAAAACCCCCAAAACAAAACCCCGCTAATATGTTACAAGAGGTATTTTTAAAGAAAAATTATGTCAACAAAATATTTTTCTTTATTATTATCAGCACTCGAGTGCTTTGCTTTTTTGTCTTTAGTCTTCGAAGAATTGCACTGGGGGGGGGGGGGGGGGGGGGGGGGGGGGGGGGGGGGGGGGGGGGGGGGGGGGGGGGGGGGGGGGGGGGGGGGGGGGGGGGGGGGGGGGGGGGGGGGGGGGGGGGGGGGGGGGGGGGGGGGGGGGGGGGGGGGGGGGGGGGGGGGGGGGGGGGGGGGGGGGGGGGGGGGGGGGGGGGGGGGGGGGGGGGGGGGGGGGGGGGGGGGGGGGGGGGGGGGGGGGGGGGGGGGGGGGGGGGGGGGGGGGGGGGGGGGGGGGGGGGGGGGGGGGGGGGGGGGGGGGGGGGGGGGGGGGGGGGGGGGGGGGGGGGGGGAAGGAAAAAGCAAACCAAAGAAGGAAAAAAGGAGGAAAAAAAAAAAAACCCCACCCCCCCCCCCCCCCCCCCCCCCCCCCCCCCCCCCCGGGGGGGGGGGGGGGGGGGGGGGGGGGGGGGGGGGGGGGGGGGCCCCCCTTTTGGGGGGGGGGGGGGGGGGGGGGGGGGGGGGGGGGGGGGGGGGGGGGGGGGGGGGGGGGGGTTTTTTTTTTTTTTTCCCCTTGGGGGTTTTGGGGGGGGGGGGGGGGGGGGGGGGGGGGGGGGGGGGGGGGGGGGGGGGGGGGGGGGGGGGGGGGGGGGGGGGGGGGGGGGGGGGGGGGCCCCCCCGCCGGGGGGGGGGGGGGGGTTTTTGGCCCTTTTTGGGGGGGGTTTTGGGGGGGGGGGGGGGGGGGGGGGGGGGTTTTTTTCTTTTTTTTTTTTTTTTTTTTTCATAACAAAGCATGCCTTCTGGGGCGGGCCCCCCCCCCCCCCCCCCCCCCCCCCCCCCCCCCCCCCCTCCCCTCCCCCCCCCCCCCCCCCGCCCCCCCAAACCAACCCGGGGGACCCCCAACCCCCGAGGAAAAGGGGGGGGGGGGGGGGAACCCCCCCCCCCCCCCCCCCCCGCCGGGGGGGGTTTTTTTTAAAAACCACCATAAGGGGGGGTTTTTGTTAAAACAAAGGCCCAAATTATTAATTATTTGGGGGGAAAGGGGGGTTCTTTCGCGGGCCCCCTTTTGGGCAAAGGAAAACCCCCCTTTTTTCCCGCAAAAGAAAACCTTTTCCTGCAAGGTTTGTCAGATAACGCCCTACCCTAATAAAATATAATACTTATAAATATCGGTGTGCGTGTTTTTTTTTTTTTCTCTCCCCCCCCCCCTTCCTCCTTTTCCTTCCCCCCCCCCCCCCCCCCCCCCCCCCCAAACCCCAAAAATTTTTTTTTTTTCCCCCACCCACCCCCCCCCCAAAAACCCCCCCCCCCCACAACCCCCCCCAAAAAAAAAGGGGGGGAAAACCCACCACCCCCCCCCCCCCCCCCCCCCCTTAAACAAAAACAAAAAAACAAAAAAAAAAAAAAAGAAAAAACACCAAACCAAACCAAAAAAAAAACAAACCAAAAACAAAGCGCCCCCCCCCCCCCCCCCCCCCCCCCCCAACAAAAAACCCCCCCTTTTCCCCCCAAAAAAAAACCCCCCCCCCCCGGGGCTCCAAAAAAACCCCTCCCCCAAAAAAAACCCCCCCCCCAAACCAAAAACCCCCAAAATTTATAAAATTTTTAATATTTTTTTGAAGCATTTTTTTATAGGACGATAGTTACCTTTATTAATAAATGCGTTTATGATTTTATATAGTCTTTTATCAATGGACTCTACACATTTATTATATATAATGCCTTCAATCCGAATTTATGAACTATTTGACAATTTACCGCCATTGCTTTCAGAAAGTCAACAAGCTACCTGACGCATTCCCGCTTACAACATCCCACGAATAATTCTTGTGATATCTGTGGGGAATCTTTCTTAGGGGAGTATGGGCTTAATTTGCATAAGAGGAAGGCTCATGCCGATTCAGATGAGGTAAGGAAATGTTTTTATCAAAACTGTAATTCTATATATTTTGAATTTTTAACGCTAAAGGAATTTGTATGTGAATGACATCAGCTCACGTGGTGATTTTCATACTAATCGATTGGCAATAATTCGGAGGTCACGACTGTCGAAGATGGCTAAACCAATTCGAGATTTTTTTTAAATAATTAATTTAATATCAAATTCTTGAACTCTACTTGTTTTTATGGAGGGAAAAATTGCACGGAAAATTCTAAAAAAACAGTTTTTTTTCGGAATAGCGGACAGTCTTTTGAAGGTAGAGATAGAGACAAAAGCGTCTAAAGCGTCTTATTTAAACTTGTTTATAAAGAAATAATGCCCAAGGTACAGATACAGAAATCTGATAATCTGCATGCGATATATAATAAAATTTATATTAATAATTATTGTGTTCAAAGAAATAATGATGACGGCTCATTGATCTAGTGGTTAGTACCCCTGACTGCGAATCTATGGGTCCCTGGTTCGATCCCCGGCTGAGACAAACATCGATGTGATGAGCATTTGGTGTTGTGCTTAGGTCTTGGGTGTTTAAATATGTATTTATATGTGTTAGGTATATCTATGTATAATATGTATGTATATCCGTTGCCTAGTACCCATAACACAAGCTTCACTAGCTTAGCATGGGACTAGGTCAATTGGTGTGAATTGTCCAATCATAAAAAAAAATGTGAATCAATAAAATGATTTATTTATTTTATATTAAGCTACCCCCGCGAACTCTCGATTTCGTCGTAATATGATGTTTTACTTAGCCTTCATTTTTAATAGCTACATATACCAACATATGAAAAATTTGCTAAGAATAATATAAATAACATGTTCAAAGAATAAAAAAAAAATACTCAAATGGTCCAACCGTCTTCGGGTGAGCTTAGCAACATATTTTGCGATTCATTTTTATTTACATTAAATTATTTCAGGTGATAAATGACAATGAATCATGTGAAAGCTGTGGAGTCGAGTTTGCAAGTAAAGAGGCTGTTAAACGGCACCTAGAATGTTCTACGAATGGTGAATGTACCAATTTGTGGTAAGTTCTTCTTTTCTTCTTCATTATTTTTGAAGTTATACTTCTTTAGGCGCGTTATGAAAAATTTATGAGAGTGAAATTTTACGATGCGAATTAAGTTGCCCACGGAAGATGCTACAGCATTGGACATAATTTAAAAAAAAAAACATTCGAATAATAATAAATATTTATTTATGCCAAAGAAGTATAACTTCTTACGCGCGTACATAAGTACACGCACCCTTTTTTCGCCAGGGTCAAATTTCTGAATCTGTTTCATGATAATTTGTCAATCTAAAGCAATTATTATAATCTGATTTTTCATTCTGTAGAATTCTGACATTTCATAAGTGTTGTTACTAAAAAAGTTTTCCACCGAAAAAGGGACAAATTTGAACCATTTGAGGGCAATAAAAAGTAAAATGCTACGTATTTTTTATGTTCTATCTACTAATAGGTAAATCTAAATATTTACTTAGTCAAGTGTCCTAATACAAAAATAATGAATATTTCAATATCACGAATTAACTTTAATTACTTTATTTTATTCTTTAGCTGGCATCACTGCCTCCTATTTCCAGGTTTAGTAAACCTTTTTAAAAAATAAAATCTTATCTTTACTTTTGCGTTTTTTGCTGTTAGTGATGAAAAGGGACGCGCTTAATAAAATGGATACATTTACTTACAAATAAAATGTATGAATAGTCTCGACTTGTTCAGACTCGTATTGAAATTGTAAAATGTGCCTGGCCAAAAGGTTTGTCATGTCTGACTTGTCAAAAAATTATAGCTGTCAGAATTCTACGGAATTAAAAATCAGAGTATAGGTTATCAGTCTCCTGTCACACGCCGTCAACTTTTTGGGTCAAAGGCAAGCCGGTTTCCTCGCGATGTTTTCCTTCGACGTTCGATGAGGATGAGAATCGCACGCTGAAGCTTCAAGTTTCGAAATTAAGTTAAATTGCTTTTCCATTATTTCAGTTCGTGTGTGAAATGCGGTGAAAGTTTTGAAACGGAGGAATTGCTGGACAAACATATGAAGGAACATCCTGAGGAGGGTAACAAGTGTCTTGAGGTAAAATCAAAAGCGATTTAAAATAAATTTCACATAAATTAAGTCTTACTTTCCCTTTGTATTGTTAGTCATATAATTATTTGCGTCACGTTAATCATCTTAACTACTAACTGATTGAGGTCGGCAACACATCCGCTAGCTCCAGCCTCGTGTATCATTTAAAAAATGAATGTTTTTGTTTATAGAACAACGGGCAGGAGGCTCATCTGATGTTAAGTGATACACAATGCCATAGGGCTTGTGAGTGCGTTGCTGGCCTTTAAAATATCTAATTAGAAAGGCATTATAAATAGTGAGTTACATAAACTAGTGGCGCTTTAACTCTATGGCCTTAGATTTCTGTATGTCTCCTCAGAAAAAAAAAGGAAAATAGGTGAACCTTTCGATTTTTGGTTCCTCGCGATGTTTTTCACGAGCGAGTGTTAGTGCGCACATATATAGCCGTGATGCGAACGCGTTACCATATTATACAGTGTGATTAATTTTGAATTCCAACAATCTATATTCAGGCATTTTGTTCATCACGTGATATTCTTTGCTCTTTCTTTTGTCTATGGGTCGCCTCATGGTTTACTCGCAAAACTAATTATAATAAATATAGGTCAACTTCTGCTTTAGTTGATTGTAATTTTGCAGTGTAATAAAAAATTCGCTAACGAGCGCTCGTTCTCAACACACGTGGAACGTGTCCATCTTGGTATCAAAATGAAACAGACGCCGAAACGCGTGACGCGCGAACGACGTCTCTGTGCTGCCAGATCTTGCGTTTGCGAGATTTGTGGGAAATCGTGTACTGTGAGTACTTTTGTTTGATATAGAGTTTGTGGAGGAAGGTAGGTGCTGACCTTCAACCTAAAAAGAAGGACCCTGGGCAAGTCTAACTACTGATTGGCCCGAAGGCCCCGGTGGCTAAAGCTTAGGTTTCCTAGAAAAGCGGTGCCGTTATGTAACGGCCGTAATGTAACGTTGGGTGACCTCACCCATACGTTGTCTATAAATAACATCGGAGTAGGTTTTCTGTCACCTTAACGGCAAATTGCGGTGCTGTCATTTGCATGACGGCCGTCATAGTGGTGATAAACATTAGTTCAACGTTTTTCGCGTGTAGCGGTGCCCATATTTAATTAATATAATGATTGGAAACGTGATTTTGACGAGCTTAAATGATTGTTTTTTTGCATTATGGTAAAAAGTAAAGACGGCTGTTATTAACAACCGTAAAATGACGGCCGTTAGTTAACGGCACCGCTTTTTTAGGAAACCTAAGCTTTATGTCCAGAAATTGTATATTTGCCATCATTATTAGGGTAGAATAAATTCAAATATTTAAGACAAATATCGTTTCCGGGCCGACTCTCTCACGGTGCCTATCTATCTATTGAGACTCACCATTGCAGGAGGCATTTATAAAATAAAAAATAAAAATCGATCTTATTGCGTACCGTTCACCGTTCATTTAATTTAATGTATATAAATTTAATTTTTGAAGTGAAAATTCTTTAAGCGCATGAGGGTAAAGTGTTTACGGATGTAACGCAATAGTAATAATATTAGCGTCACGAGGATGTGCAGCGTTTTTGTCGAATAAAGGGGATTGAGACCGATTGAGAGATACTGAAAAGGGCGATTTATGAAATTCTATTTTAAAATTAAAATTTCGTAAAGAGAATTTATGAAATTTTAGTATTTTATGAAAAATAGTTTATTAAAATCTCAAATGACAAACTGTAAATTAAAATGCCACGTGTTTTTATTATCAAAGATAAATAAAAAAAATATATTTTATAATTTGTATTAATTTTCGGCACTTTTAATATTTTAATGACCATTAAATTCCTAACATATATTAATTTTAACCTCCCTCTAAGTATCGGAAATCTAAAGTTTTAGATTTGTATAAATATGAACAAGACATAAAAATTAGTTTGTCAAAGAATTTTTACTTCTGACATGTGTACTTCGTACGCACGCACTTTTTTATTGACTAAGAGGACACGTGTATATACGTATATAAGCATATATCTATAATATATATATATACGATGAGAAGGCCAAGCACTAGAACTCAGTACATAAGCGGAATAATTTTCTATAGTTTCTCTATAATCGGTCATTTACTGAACAGATTAAAACGTTAGCACAATTATGTATATGCATTTGCGACATAAGTATTTCAATGTTTGTGCCTAATTGTCTGTATAAAATTTTCTTTAGAATAACACATCGCTTGTGGCGCATCAGAGAATACATTCCGGTGAGAAACCGTTTCACTGTAGCGAGTGTCCCAAGAAGTTTAGTGTCTACCAACGGTTGCAGGTAAACAATTTAAAATATTTTTTGTATTTTTTGTTTAAATCATTACAAAAAAAATGGCGATAAATGGTTCTTCGTGGCTCTCAGTCTTGGGATCAAATTTCTGTGTCTCTTATGATATTTTTTTTTTAATAGGCAAGCAGGTGACAAGTCTTCTGTGCCTTTGCGTTTTGGATTAGACTTGCCGGTATCTTCATGCTGTTTTCTTTCACCGTACCAGGGAATGCTAAATTTGAATAGAAAGATGTCCATGAACTCTTAAACATGAGGTCCTGAATCAGGACTTGGACACCAATGCTTTCTGTGTGCATCTATATACTCACTGGTACGGGGTAAAACATCGTGAGGCCAGCCTTAGACCAAAAAAGTCGATGGCGCGAAAAAAATATCAAAAAGCAGATACACAAATCATGCCAAGACCATAGCTGTAGCGCCATATTTTTATTTAATGGTGGAATTAAAAGCGATGCAGGTTTTGTAATAAATTCAACATTTTAAGAAACTTTTAGAATATACCGGGTTGTCTGGATGTGGTCGCTTATACATGATTGACCTTTGCAATGTTTTTTAAATTGGTTCATGTAATAAAGTAAGTAATAAGAACTGTCGAAATTTTTACAAGTACAGGAAATTTAACAATTTTACAGATTCATCTACGTACGCATACGGGCGAGTGTCCGTACCCGTGTACGCAATGCCCGAAGGCGTTTAAACACAAAGCTGCGCTCAATAGACATTTTAGAGTAAGTATTATATAGAAGTCTTTTACAAGATTTAAACGTATAGTTATAACAATTATTTTGATTTTGAAATTATCCCGACATTAGGCATTGGTCCTTTATTTCACCTAGTGCATCGCCTTGACGTCCATCATTCCACCACTGTGCTGAACCCGCTGAAGTATTTCCGAACCAATTCCACTTTGGGCCTCAAGAAAAGAGCGTACCAATTATTAAAAGGCGACAACGCACTCACGAGCCCTCTGGCATTGGAGTGTCTATAGGCGGCGGTATTACTTAACATTAGGTGAGCCTCCTGCCCGTTTGCCCCCTGTTCTATAAAAACAAAAAAATTGGTGACATTGCATGTTTTAACAACTATCAAATTTGTGATAATTCTACTGACATATATCATGTCATAGGACATATGACTCAAATAAAACTTTTTATGGCGCGAAATAGTTTTGTGTAAGGTTAAGAAATGTCAATGTCAAGTTTTAGTGAAACGTCAAACTTACAGGTCCACAGCGGGGTTAAGCCGTACGCGTGCTCGTACTGCGGCAAAGCGTTTTCGCAATCGAACTCGATGAAGATGCATGTCAACACCGTGCACTTGAAGCTGCCAACGCCTTACAGACGGAAAAATCGAAATACACACCCTTTTTGATAATAAATTATTAGGAACTATGTACTTGTTTTTTTATTTTACCTGTGAAAATATCTCAAGTTATTTCTAAAATAAACACGATCAGCGTAATTTACTAGTTACTTGTCAACTGAATTGAGTTGCGTGACATATATGTACATTTAAATACGTTTTTTTTTAATTAACTAAATTTCAGATTTCGCTTGCCCTGGGGAACAAAGTCGTAAAAGTAAAATCTATTTTTTTTTCAGGAAAAATAAAAGGTAATTAATACTAGTACTCCGTACATCACCTATGCAAATACATAATATATATATTAAATGAAAGCTATCTTTTATATTTAACGATTTAAACATTGTTGCTATGTATTTAGTGTAAATAGTTAAAAAATAACTAATTGTATATTACATTAATGTATCATTAGCTGAAGAGCAAAACTGTTTTACGATTGTTTCACTGTTTAAACAATAAACATAATGACGGACGACACAGTAACCGCACATTTTGATGAATGCTTAGAACGTAAGAATGTATTACCGCTCGTTTCGCGGAAAAGTTTGACTTATATTTGAAACAGAGTTATATTATTCACTTAACTCTTTGTTTGTTTTTAAACTAACGCATTAAATTATATAATTATTTGGTAGAATTAAAATAAAATTTAATTAAACTGAGCATTACTAACATTGTGCACAATTTTTTTTACGTAAAATAAAGACATCCTTGTGTTTTTTATAATAAAATATTTTGCAAGAATTAAAAAAAAATTACAGTTAAAAAAAGTTTAAAACCTAAGGAAGTCAAAAATTACAAGACATTAAAACAGTCGTAACAGTAGTGCTTTACGACTTTGTTCCTCGAGGCAAGCGATTTATACTTAATTGTTTTCGTGGCCGCGACTGAAGATATCGAAGTAATTAAAATTAAAATAATTCTTTTGGATAGAAAATTAAATTTTATTTATTTAAATTTAACAATTTATCTAAAATTCAGATAAGATTAATTATTATGACTTATTTATTTCTAACACACAAATATACAATATTTTTCTTAACCTACATAGTAATATTAAAAATAATAAAAAGAAAATTAAAACAAATATAAAAAGTTTGGTCCCTGTGGAAGTGTACCTTTGACGCTGGCAGCATTTCCTTGCTGTATTGCGATACTTATTCCTTGAGCGAAGAAAGCACTGCGGTCACCGGTACTATCTACCAGGCGCTAACTAAAATCTTTAATTAGCGCCTGTGCACTTGAACCCCACGGCCCAAGAGTCTCTACATGCATACAGTCTCTCTATATTTTAGCCGTTTATTTTCGGCCTGATTTGTGGCTACCCCAGCTTTTTTGCTTTTCCGAGGGAGGTGAGACGGCTAACGTGTCCCCACAAGTAGCATTCCATACCAAAGCCCGTCCCATTTTCCAAAGGATCAACGACATCCCATTATTATGTCTTAGTTTATGTTTTGTATTAGATTTATTTTCTTTTAAAGGGTTGCCTGGAACGGATCGCTAAGTAGCGTATAAATATTTTTTCAGTTAAATAGTATTATTATTTAACTTTTGTTTGTGCAATAAAATGTGAATAAATAAATAAATCGAGCCTATTCTGACGTTTATGTAATACACGCGATAGTCAGACAATATTGAAAACACCTAGCATAATTTAGTCTACGAATATACACCATCTTCCGCCTCCGTACCTCCGTACTTTGTTTATGGAAAAGCCGTAGGCCTTGGCTGCGAATAAATAAAATAAAAGTAAAACAATAATTTTGTCAAAGAAGGCCAATCGCCTTCACAATTCGCAACGAGAACGGTGTTCCATTTCGATCAGTGTTCCTAGATTTGTATTATGGGGAAACTCTGCCCAAAACTATATTGGAATGTATTTAACCACAAGGACATGGAGATAGTTAAATATCATCCGAATCGCTGATGTCGTAATATTGAAAGCGTGAGGTCGCGACATTGAATTGAGGCTAACTTGTTTTCTAGTGATGTGTGTATATCGATAGTTTGAATAAATAATCATGAAAGTCTTTTTTACGGATACAAAAGTTTTTACAATGAAAACCGGCAACGCACTTGCGCCCTCTGGAAATGTGAGTGTCTATATATAATGTATAACAGATACTCCTAAGCCGCTTGCTAAGTGGCAAAGGTTTACCCCACCTCTCGCCATTCACTTTCATTGCGCGCCATAAATTTCCCATTATGTCGTCTCAGCACTTATGTGGTCATCCTTTACTACGCTTTCCGTAACGTGGACACTGTTCTGTCATATTTTTGGACCATTTCTCCTTACTCTTATAAGTTGCCCCCACTTTAGACTTAATAGTCGTTTGATGACAGTTTATACCGAATCTGTAGTCTAATACAGTCTTAGTATGAATTATGGACTTAAGATGGTATCGTGTTTGTTGTTTACTATGATGATACCATGTCGCGTGAATGTTAGCAATGTGCATGGAGTAAAAATCGTTACTATGGTAACAAACGGTACTCTAAGAAGGCTGAATTTAAAAAATGTGATTTGCTTTAACCAAAAAGAAGTTTGTATAATAAACTGTAATCAAACGTTAGCAATAAAGACTCACTGGACAACCATTTAATTATATAGTATGTATTTTACCTTATAGTAAACGTTAGGAAATTTTTAAAAATACATTTTTAGATTGATATCGTAATCGACGAATCATTTATCGATATTGGCTAACACATGCTTATATGTTGCCAATATGTTGTTATAGTATCGAAAGCTTAGTGTGATCGAAGTCATTAAATAAATACCTTGTTTTTTTGTGTTAAAGTTCTTTTGTTTATTCGAATCAGGTAAAAGTATTTATAAGTTACATTTTGTAAATACGGCCTTTGCACGAAGGTCAGAAGATTTTGAAAATAACATGCAATTGAATATTTACTTAAATTAATAGTTTAAAAAAAATTGTACAAAGTTAAATTCAATACTATGTTATTGTTTATGTAAACTTTATTTATGTAATTTTTATGTGTATTCAAAAAAAGCAAATTATAATACACAACTAAGAAAGACAATAATAATATCTACAAATAAATTTTAGAAGAATGGAAAGACACTGTTGTGAGCACCAGGATATTGCTGGAATACGTCTTATAGTGGTAAGTTTTTACATAATGACTTATCATTTTATTTATCACAAAATGGAAATAGGATTTATTATCACAGACAACCATACCGCAATCAATAATTAAGGAATAAGTGCTTTAGGGTAATATAGACTGCAAGTAAAAAGGTTGATCACAAATTCATATGATTATTTTGCATGTGTGAAAAGTTAAACTCTCAAAAAACGCGTCAAAATTCAAGCACATTATAATAATAATAATGAAGCCCGTTTAATTTCCAAATCATGACAAAAAAAAATATATACAGCTTATATTTTTTACATCTTATACAATAGGTATTTTAATCTTGTTATCCTACATCGAATCTAATTTCTCTGTTCCGTTGTTTATGGTTCTAATCTATTTATATTTCTTGTCTTCGATGATTGATTAATAAACTTGTTTAAACAGTAATTAAAATACTTTCTATATTTACAGTTAAATCTACCCGAAGACGAGGGCGAGGGTCTGGGTTTTCGACTGACGCGAACTCTATGGGATCCGTATCCATGGGTAAGTCAATTAATAACTAAATGTGGCTTTATATGTCAGGAATTTATTATAATTAGTATGTTTCAGTAATCGGTGTTAGTGGTTAAGCGTTCCTTTTCAAATGTTCGTACCTAATGGTACGCCTTTTGTTCTTTCTATCGGAGAACAACACGAGCTAAAAATCACAAGCGCAGAAAACGGATAACCTACAGAATTAGAAGAACGCGGCACCTTATCTGTCCCTTCATACGGGATGATGATGAATGATACAGGACGTATAAGATAGACTAATCTATGTCCTCTCCTCTTAGTTTGTAAAACAAATATTTTGATACATTTTAAATTTATATTTAGGGCGAAATAAATTCCTCTGGTTGTTGAACCGTGTGCATTTTAATCTGTACTGTACTTTGTAATTTTTTAAGGAAACAACCTTTAGGTCGAAGTTTTTCACATATTCCACTTTATCGACAATTTTTTAGAATAAGTAGAAGTGTAAATTATGGCGAGTTTTAGAATACGCGATAATTTCTGTTGATTACAGGTCCATGATGTGACGTTAGGATCAAGAGCAGATGGTGCTGGCCTCAAAGCAGGAGATTGCCTTCTTCAAGCTGATGGGAAAGATTTATTGGGCTTGCCAGTACGTAAAAGTTATATATATAGGTATACATAGACTAATGTTCTCGGTAACGGCGTTTAAGGATTATAAATATTTTAGGAGAACAAAGTTTTAGTTCTATTGGAGAAGTGGCTACGCCGGTCCGCTAGCGATTTTTCTTAACAAAATATGTGAATAAAATAAGCACCACAAGTGTCGGGGAGATTAGAAAATTAAAAAAAAAACAGGATGTTATAGTACTAGCGGACCCGTACAATAAAAAATCAAATGTGTCCAGCCGTGTAAGAAGAGTTCCGAGACATACACACGTACAGTAGAATTATATATATAAAGATTTGATATATATTGGCAAAAGTAATTATAAACCCTAAATTCTTATTAAACTTTAATGATGTGTTTAGGTCGGTCAAGTGGCGGGCATAATAAGAGGTAATGGCGACAGCCACGGAGTTTCTTTACTTGTTTGGAATTGCGGAGTCGACCCCAAAGATGATCCAGAGGTGAGTGATACTTAATACGGTCTTAATAAAATGAGAACTAAAGTATAAATAAACATGTTCATTTATGTTACATTGGAAGATTCTCAGCCAGCCAGATTAAAGCTAAGTAAGAGGATTTGTATAGTATAATTATTGTATCTACTTACAACAGACTACAGATATAAAAGACAACGAATGCACACGTAGGGTAGCACAGCTCTTATGGGCACTCTCAAGACAAACTTTCCGCGACCCAAATTGCCGCTTGGTAGCGTGGCAATCTCGCTGCGGCAGCTGTCTCTCTGTCTGTGTCTTACGCATTGCAAAGCGAAGAAGAGAGAGCGAGAGAGATGGACGTTTCCCCAGTATATCATTGGTAAAGAGACACAAAGTCTTAATAGAGTACAACTTTTACAGGGAAAAACATCGTTACAAAAGCAACAAATACTTATAGTAATCCACATCTATTAAGATGGACGTTTCTCAATAATTACGTCGCTTTATAATTTCATATGTACCGATGTGGATGCATTTCCAATAGTTTTATTTCAATTAACAATAATCTATAGAACGCTCAAAGTCAAACTTTTAGGAGAAAAATGAACACGTCAAAAGTGAATTAAAGTCGATTATAATTGAACACTTAAAGCTTTATTCCATGTATAGCAAGTATTATAAATGTTTTACGCTCGACTCATGATCCCCTTAAAATTTGCTAACTTCAAATACCTTAGGATAGAAAAATCGTTCAAGTAAAAAAAATCCCTGCTTTCTTCTAGTTATTATGGAGCGTCGGTGGAGGCTCCCGAGGCGAGAAGTCTCGTAGAGCACTCTCTGGCGTTGTTAAAGCGTTATCGTGTTGCGTCTGCGCAGCAACTGCTTCTAGCGCGCTAAACTGCGCTCGGTCGCACTTATATTGTGAAGGTTTGTCAGCAAACTAATCCAATTGCAGCTGTATGTATAAAGTCCCGCTAAATAAACACAGCAGTCCGCAACGGCATATTATTTCTGCCGTTGTTCCATTGACTATTTGAGTAAGGGAGCGGTCAAGTATTACGTCACGCAATTTTTTGGAGATTACTGGACATGTAACGCGCAGTAACATTTTACTGTACCCAAGTATAGTAAAACGTTTCGTGACCACCTAGTGACTCTTTATACCTAAAAGTTACCATTATGTGGTTTAAAGTACCTACCGGAAAGACAAAAATAATATTAACAATAACGCTTAATTCATTCCCCGCAAAATTCGTAACGTAATACTAATTGAACGCTCCCTAAATAGGTGATAAAATGATTTTCACAAACCTTCATCAGGGTTTTAAACAGCCACTGCATAATATTCGTTGTTTACCAAAGCCTTTGTTTTTTTTTTCAAAATTATTCGTGTAATATTTTAGAAAAATATAAATGTTTAGTGTGTACGTGTTTTGGGCAAAAGGTTTTCATCCAATTGTCTTCATATTATTGCAGGTTGCTGGAGTCGTCTAGAAAAGTGTGCGCTTTGTAGAGAACCACTACCAGCAAAAGAATCGCCATACGCTAAAAATTTAGTCGCGGAACAAGTAATATATTTTTTTTAAACGAACGAGGCGCGACCTTAGTTATCAAAATAATTTATTATTTTTTTAAAATTTCAGGTATTTGAAGCAATAGCCGTAGAATATGAAATAAAAGAACCGTTGAACAAAAATAAAACATTATCTGCATATAATTCCCCAAATCGATCACCACAAGTTTCCCCATCACCCCTCCGGAAAGGACAATATCAATTATCAATGATGAACAGAAAATATAATACAAAATATTCGTCCGATCCGAATTTAAGAAGATCTATAAATGATTGCAAATCAAAAACTATCCCTTTGGTAGAAAGTACTAGCAATTGTAGATGTCAAAATCATAATGTTGGTACAAATATATCACACAAATGGCGGGAAACACAGGGTTGCCATAATGAAGGAGAAAACGTACCGATAATTAAAATTGAAGACGGATGCGAATCAAAGTGTAATTTATTACAACATAAATTAGTTACCCGTTTGAGACAAGCATGTTCGATGGCTGATTTGCAGAATTTTGCTATACAGAGTTGTCATCTGTCAAAATCTATGAATAATATAAATACAAATGAAAAAAGGTAAGTGTCAAGTCCATTTATGAAAATTATAGATACATTTATTATAAATTTTATTAATATTTGACATAATATACATACATAGCCGTATAATATGATAGCCTAGGTCTAGGCCATAGACTTGAATTCGTGTATGCGGTGATGTTAGTTATTTCGACTATGTATTTGCGTGTTCTTCCCACGAGAATCTAAGTGCGTGCTCCTATTTCACCATGCCTCCTACTGATAGAGGACAAATCTTTGTTTCTAATTTATTTTATTATTATTAATTAAGTATTAATTACTTAAGATATCATGTGGATCAGGGTGTAATGGTTGTAGCTACTTACAAACATTGTGTAAAACAAAAAACTGGACGACTAAAAAGAGTGGCGGAGAGTTTGTTGCCAGTTCTTTACTTCCATTCTACGCCCTTGATATGTGAATCTAAAATTAGAAGCATTTAATATGTATTTCTTCTTGGACGTTCATAAGTTTACATTGTGTTACCTATATGAATAAATGATTTTGATTGATTGATTGATACTGCCAGAGGGAACTTTAGGAAAGTTATATTCTTTTTTTTTTAGTCACTCAAGTGAACAACATAGCAGTTCAATGGATAATCTCAAAGCGAATAACAATCATGGGGGTATGTATCAATTTTATATTGCATCGCATATTTTAAATACAAAATATTCATAGAAAATCTGTATTTATAAAGTATTATTTTTCCAGATACGCCGGTCTATCTATTGTCACCCCCACCAATATACGTGCTGAGTTGTGATCATTAGTCAAGGGGGTGTTTTTCAGAGGCTAAAGGTCCCATTTTTACCTGGTTTTCAAAAATAAACGAATTCACAATATTATATAAATAAAAGATTTCTATTGTTGAATTATAAAATGGTGTCATTTTTTACCCTTGGAATTACTATAAAGAAAAGTCCGTCCTTTAATATTATAATGGTTTTGGATCAATTATTTACTCAAATTATTAGAAATTTTCACTTTGATATTTGGAATAATTAGATAGAAAGATATCACATTAAGAAGTCGTGTTTCTCTGTCAAATAGAATACACATTAAAATACCGATATATACTAGCTTCAACACGGCCCTCGATTGCATCCACGGTAAATGTTAATTTAATCAACCCATTGTACATATCGTAATTAAGAAAATAATAAATCTAATAAATTGAGGTACCTAATATTACTAACCGAACATAAGTAAGAGATGTGAATGCAAACAAAAAATGTGATTGGTTCAACATTTATTTAATGCCAACCATCTTAACACACAAAACCACAGTGCGATGGTTATATATTTAGTGTGTATTTAGGAATTATTTAAAAGATACATTAGAAACGTAATAGATTACTACCTACTTAACTTTTTATATAATAAATAGTAATATAGAACATTCAATGTCACATTTGTGAATTAAAATTCTATTTAATTTCTGCATCTTAAATAGCCGTTTAGTACAAATAAACTGAGTTTCTGCAGAACACCAGGATTATTAATAATTCCCCATAAAACTTAATAAAACGTAGCAGGCAAGCTGCAACTTCTGTCTGGTTTGTAGCTTATTGTATCCAACCATCCATTATATAAGGAACATTGGATACAAAGGACAGCCGTTGGTATAAAAACCGTGTAAATTTAATCTAAATACGCTTCAGCATGTTTATTACATAATAGTAATAAGAGTCAAATTGATCAAAATCGTGGCGCTTCTAGCGTTTTGTCCCGAGAAAAAGTTTACACTTTCCAGCGGGCTGCACTATATATTTATAGCATTGTCTATAATTATCAAATGTCTTCAGGTACAGGTAGGTTATCTTTGCAAAATACTTACGTAATTTACAAGCCTTCATTACTAAATCATATTTTCATAAAAAATTATGATTTTGTGGAAAACTATTTATGGTATGGCAACAATACCAATTTCCGTCTTTACTGAACCTTTTTGTTTTTGTTTATAGTATGTCTGCCACTCTAATTTTTTCGTACAATAAATCATTATACGTCTAATTAAGATTTAAGTATAAATTTTGTTATCAAGTTTTCGAAAACTTTATAAAAAAAATAAACCTAGATATGTATATAAATAAAATTGATTATTATTTTTTGATAATGAAAGATAAATTCTACTAGTAAATATCAGAGCATTTTTCTTTTTTGTCATATAACCATATATTTGTTTATAATATGATGTTACATGTTGGGTACAATAATCGATTTAATTACTCAATACCGGAAGTGGCAATATCAAGCGACGCCACGCGACGACGTGGTGACGCACCCACAGATAACTGTCATGGCGGCCATTTGTCAGTAGCTCATTAATCTGTGATGGCGGCGTAGTATAGAAAAGTATTAAAATAAAGCGTAGGTAACCGGGTAATCTGTGGCTTCCACTATGAGTTCAAAACCAAACAACACATTTTATTGTTCATTTGTTAGCATCCATTATATTATCTGTGAGTGCGGAGATACTTTTCCTACAGAAGATGAATTAAAGTTACATTTGGAAACGGATCATAATCGGCTGAAAATTGAAACCTATGAATTCAAATGTGCCACGGTAAGTGATAACATCGGTACAAGATTTCAACTGAACCTATTTGTTACATTAGTAGCACCATATTACATTCTTTATTTGTCGCTATTTTAATATCCACATACTCTATATTACCTACGTAATCTACGCTTTTAAAATTTTGCTATATTGCCTTTTGGGATATCTATGTCAAAAAAGGCGGGATAACCTCAACCTGATGCAATAAAATATACAAAACATATAAAATGGCGGGAGTTATTCCTAAAATAATTCAAATCACCTCAAAAACGTAGGTCATTTATAAATCCTATGGACCAGTCAGGTTCACAGGAGTCTAAAGTGGCGCTAGCGTCACGTCCTTATTGTCATAGCAAAATATTTAATTATGAGTTATAAGATATAGTTTCTTATGTTCTTTTCATACATGATGTTTGTAACGGGAGAAAAATCCAATTGAATGCATCTTGTATGTCAATAATTATATTGAACTTTTAATTTTTCCACAGTGTGAGAAAGTATTCTCATCAGAAAGAGCCTGTTTGTCTCACCAACGTATTCATACAGCTCCTCAGCCTCGCGTATTCCGTTCTCCAGACTCTTTGGGAAAGAAGAAGTCTAATGGTGTTAAAAGACATGTCTGTGAGAACTGCGGCAAACAATATGCTGTGAGTATACTCAATAAAACATGATTATGGTGTATAAAACCAAGATATATACTTTTTTCAGTGTTTCAAAGTTTCACCATATATTTAACTTACCTTTGTATATTTTGTATTGTAACATTCATAAAGTAAAAAATAAAAATTTGATTAAGTATGTATTATGTTTCATCACACATGTATGCATAGAAGATGTTTGTATGTTGTTTACAGACAAATGCAGCTCTCCGCTATCACCAGCGTGTGCATACAGGCGAGCGCCCATACAAGTGTTCTTTATGCCCTAAAGCTTTCACTATGCCACTTTTCCTGCAGGTATTTATTGTTTTTGTTTTTTTAATCAAGCATCACATGTTTAGTCTTTTAAGAAATTTGTTGAATTCAGAAAGTTTCCTACAATATTTTTTAAACTTTGATGTTTAAACTTGACTTTCAAAAATTTAAGTGTGAAGTTATGGTTGTGAAAAAAATATCTATTAATTTTTATCAAGTCCAAGTTTATTTAGATAAGGTTTACCATCATTAAAATAAATTATTGTTTTGTAAACATGTGTTTGTATTTCATTGATTGTGATATTAAATGTTGTAGATCCATGTTCGCACGCACACAGGTGAGCGTCCATACCAGTGTCCACATTGTCCCAAAGCTTTTAGCAACAAAGCAGCACTGCTTAGACATGATCGGGTGAGCATTATAAATATTATTAACACTTAGAACTGTATCTTTCTAATTTTTCCATTTAAACTGAAGTAATTTTGTTACTTTGAAAATATAATTTATGTACTAACAATTTTACAAAAACTACTATTTATTTCTTTTTACTACTATTTTTCCTAATTAACATTTGTAATGATGGAAGACATTGTGAGGCATGTCTTGCAACCAAAACTTTATGTGTGACGGCCCAGTAGGTTAATCACCTCTAGACTATAAATAAAATGCTCAATGTAACAGAAATATGTCTGCCCCAAGAGTTTTGGATCTTCTTACTATTAGAGCCTACCAAATAGAGCATTATCTATTGAAGTCTATTAAAAAATGAGATGAATTTTGCGGTTAAGTTTTTTCATGGAATAGTTTATTGCATTTTTATGTGACAGAATTTGTAAAGTGTGGCAATTATATAACAATAAAAATTAATTAAATAAATGCAAGTTACATTTTATATATTGCAAAATATAACCAATTATTATTTATAATTGAAATATTTCTAAGTATTATAGACAAAGAGCATTCTTAGGTTGAATTCATCAGGATGTACTAGTAAATAAATATCAAGTTTTAATTATTTTTACATTGTAAATTTTTATTGAACCATAGGTATAATTTAAAAAAAAATCTTGTGATTGTGTATTTGGAATTATTGTTCAAAGAACTACAGTGAAATTAGTCTCGAGAAATTTTTGCATATGTAGTGGTGTGTATATTACTCAGATCTTAGGCGCGTTTCCACTATATCGTTCTGGCCTATACAAAAATGTTTCGATATCCTAACATTACTATTTAATATTATACTTATCCCTAGCAACACTCTGATTTTTGTTATCAATAAAAACAAGTTTTTATTTAAAAAAAAGGTTTTGACTTTATAAAAAAAGGTGTGTGCGCGATTCACACACGATAGAAGTGAAACTTCAAAGAGGAGAGACCGATATATATTTTTTTTCCTTTCATCTAGGTTTTTAAAACTCCGGGGGTCTACGGGGGGTCAAAATTTATTTTTGGCCTAGGACGCACCGTTTCCGAGATATTTCAATCTAAAGCAAAAAATCGTCACTTGATAGTGGAAAGTGGAAACACGCACAAAACCAGAATAAACCAGTTTACGCTGTCCGCAGGTGCCACGTGCAGTCCGGCGTCAGTCGCTTGGTACTGTTAGAACATAAAGCACACATTTCATTCAAAAATTATAATTATTACGTTAATTGTTAAATTTTGTATTTGTTGATTGTTGTTATTGTTTGTTATTATTGTTATAATATTTGTTGAAGTGTTTAATTTGTGTGTAAGTGTTGCAACTTTATATTGTTAATTAAAAATGGCTCCAGTGTTAAAACATGGTCGAGGCAAGCCTTTGACTTCTCAAACTAAAGAAGTTTTGTACTGTTTGTACAAATATTTCGAAAATGAGTGTATTAACAACCCGAGCAGTATTATGACTCCCACTCAATTAGTTGCTAAATCAACGGGAATTTCAATAGCATCCGTCAGAAAGGTAGTATCAGAAAGCAAATGTCGACCTTCAGATCAGGAAGTAACATTTAAATCTCCTAAAAAGAAACCGAATCGTAAACCTACAATAGTAATCGATAACTTTGATCAGCAAGTTATCAGAAGAACAATTCATGACTTCCACATCACAAATAAAGAAATTCCCACTTTGAAAACTTTGCACGCAAAATTAAAAGAAGATATCGATTATAAAGGTTGTGTCAGCACGTTACGAAAACACGTCATGTCATTAGGTTTTAATTGGAAGCAAACAGAAGATAACCGGAAACTTCTTATGGAAAAACACGAAATTAGATACTTGCGAATTAATTATTTGATGAAAATTGCTGAATATCGTGAACAACGCCGACCAATTGTTTACACCGACGAAACATATATACATACATCACATACCCTCTCGAAATCTTGGTCAGATGGAAGCACTTCAGGTTTGAAGCAACATATATCGAAAGGCAACCGCTTAATCATTGTTCATGCCGGTGGTATGGATGGCTTTATACCAAATGCATTGCTTATGTTTAAAGCCAACCAAAAAAGTGGAGATTACCACGACAATATGAACTATGACAACTATTCAAGGTGGATTCAAACTCAATTAATCCCAACTTACAACCAAATAGTGTTGTTGTTGTTGACAACGCACCATATCATAACTCAATACAAAATCCTGCACCGAATAGTAATTCTAGAAAACAGCAAATGATTGACTGGCTGACATTGCGAAACATTGAGCATTCATCCACGTTGCTTAAGCCTCAATTATATGAACTGATTCTGCAAAACAAGGCGAGATTTGTAGAGTACAAGATAGACGAAATATTACGACAGCACGGTCATACTGTGCTGCGTTTACCACCATACCATCCGGAGTTTAATCCTATAGAAAATATATGGGGGATAGTGAAAACATATGTCGCAAAAAAGAATGTCGCAATGAATATGAAGGTTATAATGTCATTAGCTGAAGAAAAAATGAACGCCATAACTGTAGAGGAATGGAGAAAAGTTTGTCTGCATGCTATTGAGGAGGAAAACAAATATCAGGGTAGAGACGCAGCTTTAGACACAATATCAGAACGAATCATAATTAATTTAAATAATTCATCTGATGAAAGCGAGGATGGGGATGATTGTGATATGTGGGGTTGATGAATTATTAGAATAAAACATTTATGGCCGGAGAACACCTAATTCATACACGTCTTCACTGAAGTGAAAACCGGCATTCACTGCTTGTAATATTTGGAACTGGCTTATCTGCCTCATACAGTTCCATAGATTACAATGCAGTGGATACACATTTTCACGTCCGTATTAGTACGTAGGCGATGCGTAGACGTGTACGCATTTGGTGTGCTCAGCCACAAACGTATATTACCTTTAAAAAAATAAAAACTAAAAATAAAATGTTGTTTTTTTTTTTTGCTGACCATACACTACTACAAACGCAAAAATTTCTAACTATTTACCTGTTACTTAATGAAATTTTTGTATGATTAGCTGAATATATAAATTGATTTAGAGAAATTGGCAGAGTGGCAATTAATAGGAAGCTTTAATTTTAATTACTACAAGGCCTGTGATGTCAAAGTATATAGATTTTTATTTGTTAAATGAAGTTAGTAATTATATTATATATAAGAAGAGTAGTCAACTTGAAACATTCTTTTATTTGATAGTCCATTTATATAATAAAAGTATTATAAAAACTAATGACTTCCAGCTTTATATAATGCCATGCCCTAATTCAAAAGAAATCAGAGGGGTAATTATTTAACTGATTTCAGGTCCATACAGGTGTGAAACCCTATGGCTGTCCCACATGTGGCAAGACCTTTACCCAATCAAATTCCATGAAACTTCATGTCAACACTGTGCACCTTAAAATGCCTGCCCCTTACAAGAGCAAGAGCAGAAAGCTGAAGGATGCTGAGAGAGAACGAAGACGTAAGTTTTCTTATATGTATTTTGACAAACTACATTGTGTGACAGATTGCAAGCCGTCGATAAAAATAGCTTCTGTGTCTTCTATAGAGTTTTGAGTTAATGGCAATAACGTACAATATTCATTAAGAAAGAAAATATAGTATTTCTCAGATATGAAATGCCCTAAAAAATATATCGTCATTGTAGAATAGTGACTGATCTGACAAACAGTAAACTTTACAGGGCAGCCATTTTAAAATTATATAATCATGTTAGTTTTTGTCATGACTATTTTAATTCATATTCTGTTATTATGAAAATGGGCATACAAGCAAACAAAAGGGTTTGTTTTGAAACAAAATAAAAATAATAACATTAAATTACACAGTTTTCTAGAAAAATCACATATTTCTATCAAATCCATCACATTACCGACTGATTAATTTAAAATTTAAAAGTAGCTATAATGTTTAGTCAATGTAGTATCCAAATATGATAAAAAGTGGGTTTTGGATTTTTTTTAATTCAATTGTTCTACGATCATGAAGATATAATTGTCATATAGCTGAACTGACCGATTTGTACTAGTTTTCTCTTGATTGGGGCCTCCCGAAACATCTTTTTCATTCCATTGTCTGGCCTCTCCACGTTATTGTTTGCCTCACCTACAGTTGCTTCTATATTAAAAATGGTAATCATGGCAAATGTAACTCTAGTTCACTTTTGAAAATAAGGCTTAGTGACTTTGTATAAAAAAATCAAAAATGATTGCATTCAGTTACCATAATAAACTTTACTTTTCAATTACAATGGTTTTTCGATTTTACGTAAAACAGGTATGGCAATGCAAGCTGATGTTCGTATTCAAAAGACAGCAGTCCAAATCGAAAGTCCACAGAACTTGCCAGAAGCAATCAAGACCGAGTTGGTCTACGAAGATGATATTGTGTACGCAGAGGAAGCTGATGCTCAGGAAATCTATGAAGAGGTAAAAATTGTTAACAAATTTTTATATTTTTTCTAAAGGGGAAAAAGGGGTCAATTTACAATATATAAACAAATTGGTACATTGGTGGCTAAAGCGTTGTCGGCCTTTAGGAATTGGTACACGCCTTTGAAGGAATTTTTTTCAGAAAGATTTTCATAGCACTGATGACGCGATCACCTCTGTTACTATTATTTATATTATTTTGTTTACTTTAATTTTAACCCAATTCTAATGTGGTCCTTTAGTTAAGATAATTATTATTATTGAACTATATTGAAATTTAAATTTTCTCAGTTACCATATGATTTTTTTTTGTAAAATCATTTTTACAAGTGTTTTTTAAATAATTTACATATTTGTATAGTTGTTTTGGTTAGTTTTAACCGCTGAACTTGTTATATTATGCATTTTGTAATTTTTAACTGACCAATTCTATACAGTTGCCATTTTAAATACCTACTTGAACTTAAAGAGTATGACGATGATATTATGATCATAGATATAAAAAAAAATACGAGACAGGCCGCTAATTATGATTTTCCCCTACAGTCTGAAATCCCCGTTTATGCTGGCGAGGAGCTCTTCCACGGAGTAAAAGAAGAGCAAGAGGAAGAGATGATCTTCTATGAAGAAGACGTAGAATACCCTGAAGTTATGTATGAAGAAGTTTATGAGGTCACAGAGGCCTATAACTCATAGGAGTGAGAAATATTTACATAAAAAAACTGCATAATGCCGAGGTAGAACTCTTATCTTTAAAATATAAGGTTCAATAGTTAAAATTTAAGTTTGTATAGAATTAAAATAGTCTATAATCACAATTTAATTTAGGAAGTCATACCCGTGAGTAGTAATATCAAAGAAATTGTAATAAACGCGTTTTAATCGGTTCAATTACGTTTTAAAAGTTATTCGAAAATACAATGGCATATCTTCTCGAAGCATTCTAAGCTAACATTTCATTCATAATTAGTTCCAGAAAATTTTATTATAATAAAACTAAGCTACTGTGACCGTATGAATTAAGAACTCGGACACTCAAGAATAAAATTAATGAACGTATTTTGTATGCGAGTTAGAAATTATCAATCACGCGCCAGCTATTGGTGATTAGGCGACTTTTGTGATTTAAGTCAATTTTTTTTTTAAATAATTACTACACAAAATAACGACAATGTTTAATATAAAATAAATTATCTATGAAATATTCGTTCTATTATTATTTAATATCCATTAATAAAAATCTTAACAGATATTTCACTGATAATTTGTAACCAATATGATCCAAAAGATTAGAAAATGCACTTTAATATGTAATACAGAAAAAAGCAAGTAATAAGGAAAGAGAAATGAATCTTATTAATAGTGAACACAGTCAATATTAAATAACTGTTGAATAACTTGTCGATGATATGCTATTGTATTTATAATGAATAACATACAGTGTAAACTCTATACCGACACTCAAGGGAGTCCTTATTCTAATCTGTATTAGAAAAAGAAATAGTTAATTTCAGACTAGTGTTTTTGCTGCACCAGTAGTTATGTTGTATTTTTTTACTCATTTTATTAATATCTTGCGATTGAGGCATCTTCGTGATAAAGCACGTGCAAGAAATCCCAATTTGTAAACATTGAAACAATGGAGATTTCTTAGAAAGTTCGGTAGGTATGATGGCACAAGTCGAGTTACGAACTAGAAATTAAAGCGACAAAAGAACGTACACAGTTCCACAGTTTTAACTAATTCGGCAACTAAAAAGTCTTTTTAAATAAATTGTTGTTATTGTAATGTTGGTGTTGTTGTTGTAATATTATGTAGAGTATCATTGTATGGAAGACAAACAACCAACAAGACAAACCAACCAAAGCCGAGTGATTTCTACGCTTCAAGGGGTTTGTCGTTAAATCAAGGTACGTTACAGATACCGGCAAACTTCTTGAGCATTAAACGCTGGGAGTGGGGGAAAGTTTTCGCATCGCGGGACACAAACGTCAACTGATTTACCAATCACGCGATCGACATGTCACTCTCCCGCCGCCTCGCACCACCGCAGGGCAAGGACATTTGTTCAAAATGTTTGCCGGTATATATAATGGAGTTTACACTGTATATAAAAAAATTTAATGAGCAAGATCTAAGTTTGACGTGAGCAAAGCCTTAGTTTAGAAATCAACTTTAGATTCTGAATCTTCTTCTCCTTACAACCGTACTCAGACTCGTCCGTCAAAATGTTCTTTAATAATAATTCATACAACGCTTGCAAAGCTTCGGCATTTAATGCCGTCATTAACTACTGACTTAAGGAAGCATGAGGCAAATATTTAGCATGCAATTAGTTTGTTAGTTAATTATTGACTTTGAGTACGGCTGTTAGTTTCTTTAAGATAAATTTTAGATTTAAGTTTACATAAGTACTGTATATAAAAATTATAAGTGAATTATTGATTTCCGCACAATGTATTATGTTTGTTTAAACGAAAAGCTGTTTTGTCGTTTAAGTCTATCGCTTTTCGATATTAAGCAATCGTATACGTCAAATTGTTAATAGTAGTTTTTGACAGCCCAAACCTTGTGACTTGATACAATTTGTCTAGTTATCACATGTATTCTATTGGTAATTCGTTTTAGTTCCTAATACGACCACGAAACAATATTTTTGTTCTACAATCTATTGTTACTCTCCCATTGCGATAGCTATTCGAATATTGGTATTGTTCGTGCTATAGTCTGATTAGTCCATAATGGTTGTACCCATAGATAAACCGAAATATGAAGTTGTCAAATGTGACAGTTGTCTTTTTAGTTTAAAAATAAATACAAATGGCCTTAATGGCTCTTGGCCTGCCTTACATGATTCACTTTCCATGTTTCGTCAATATTGAACATTACTGTATGTGGGTGATTGCATAAATCTAATGCATAAAAAAATGATTTTTGTATAGTATAATTATAAAAATATGATTTTCATTGTTTTATTTTACCCTAGTTTTCAGCCAATTGCTAATGAAATTTGAGTTGAAGTTAAAATCTATTTTTTTAGGAATCTTTATATTAAAGGATTTTAGAAAAGGTATAAATTAGTTTTTTCGTAGTATTGTAATATTGCCAGGTAGGTTGCTGCCGCCTGCATGCTTTTTGGGGCATGGAAAAGACATTTAGGGTTTAGATACTTTAAGTTAAGTAATAAAAGACATAAGTAATAAAGTTACACGATTTATTACTACAGGTCGGTTTACTGAAAAAAATTCAAAAACTGCCAATCTATAATATTTTTTACAATCTTATATAATTCTAGATTACATGCTACTGTTAAATTACGGCCGATAGTTTGTGTTTAAGTGTAGCTTAATATTAAACAACATATTTTCTGAAATTTCTGATACAATAGGCAATTTAAGTTAAAAATAAAATTCAAATGCAACACAAAGTATTCGTTTTTGCTCGTGTTTGCTAACTTTTATAATAATTCATAATTGAGGATAGCACAATATTTTCTATTACCTTGAATTTTTACTTAATATAAGTCTTATTTTTTTTTAATAAATTAAGTGACCATTAAATTAAATTGCTTATTATTAAGATACACTAAACCTTATGAAGCGAAAGTGGCAGTGGTGATTTAAGAGACGGGTGTGACTAATATTAAGGGATAACGAGTTCAATTATTATAATTCATATTCTTAATTATATTCGGGTGTAATTTAATTGTATCGATTACAAATTAGATGGTTAATAGGAGTAAGGTAAACAATATTTAATCGTACATTATTTATTTATAACTTTGATAGTAATTGCTAAAACTTCGACTTCTGACTTACACACCGGAGCAAATTATTATCTATGTATTGACAGAATAATATACGCCATAGAGGGCGGCATCCTTAAACATTTTTCAATTTTTTTTTTATAGGTTTCATAATTAGTATCATAGTTCCCCCTAGGGATGTGACATTCTGCATAAAAAAAACGATTTTTTATTAATCGATTATTTTTGTAGCATGAATAATCGATTTTTCTTTAAAAAATAATCGATTTTTTTTTTATTAATCGATTTTTTTCCTAATTTTTGAATTAATTTCAAAATCAACACCCTAAATATTTTATTTTTCATAGTTTTTTAAATTAAAAATAAACAATAGAAATTATAAACACTAATTAACGTTTAAGAATAATCAAAATCGAAATTAACTTAATCTCGTTTTGATAAATGTGTGTGTATGTGAGTGTATTCCTTTTCAGTAGCACATTGCAGTATTTTTGTTGTCTTTTTAATTGTATGTAGTCTTGTGCTGCTGAATAAATTTATTTTACTTTTAAATTATAGTGTTCCATTCAAACTAGAGTTTTTGTAAAATTAACTTCTTTTATCATCCTTTTGATGTTTTACAAAAAAAAACAATGTATCAATACATCCCATCACCTGCAGTCAAACTGCGTAAGCAGTTTTGCGGGGCATGGTTTGATTTAAGGTGTAACTTTTTTTGTGAATAAATATATTTAAAATAAAAAAATAAAAATCTTCAAAGAATCGGATTCAATGTATCGCATTGTAAACATCGTTGTGTATCGAATATCCCTAATAGTTCGAGGTCCGGGTTATAAAAGACCAGACATAATGTCGGGAGGTGGCAGATAAAAAATCGATTATGACTGATTTTCAATTATAAAAATAATCGATTATTAATCGATTATTTTAAATATAAAAATCGCGTAAAAAAATCGATTTTTACTTTTAAAAAAATCGATTTTTTTAATAATCGATTATTTTTTCACATCCCTAGTTCCCCCGCACGTAAGTTGGAAAGCCTCGTTGGATACGCAAAAGTCGATTAATTTTACTACTAAAAGTACAAATATCTATACAATAATAAAAAAACACAATCATTTATACTGCTCTCCTGAAATAAAATTTCAAGCTATTAATTTATGACAAAATAATAGTTTCACAACCGACTCTTATTATAATAGATTATAAACTAATGATGTGTTTAAATATTGCTTTTAGGACTTAAAATAAATATTGCACACATACGGTGTAATGTTATTCACGTTAATAAATTAAAATCAAGAATTAAATCAATAGTATTTGCCGCTTATAACTATTGCCGTCTTTTTTTATACGTAGTAGATGAAAGGAACAGCTATGTGTTTAGCCGTCAAGAGTAGATTGACGTTTGAGTATTTTTCAGTTTTGTCATATGTATGACAAGAAGGGCTTTGCTTACTTGACAAGTTACGCCGTATTAAAAATGTACTCCAATTATACAGACAATTCTCTTTGTTATTAAAGAAGTTATTAAAATTTTGCTACCCGGCTTGTGGAGAATGGTCGTTAAAAAGAGTAATTTTAAAAACGAATAGCTTGTGTAAAAAAAACATTTTATGAATGTTATGAAAAATATTTACAAGAGCTTGCAAAATATGTTATTTTTAATTGGCAAGTGTATCATATTTGCTAATGAACCTATATAAGGATTGACGTGTGACAGTTGGTCAAAACTTCAAATCAATTCACGAACAACTTTAGAACAAAATGACAACTATTAGTGGATTAATGTTATTGTGTAACTTATTATATTTTAGTGAAGCATTTACTGTTTTTTTATTGAATCTCTCAAGACGGGATACTCGCTGTCGCGATATATCTGGGGGTGGTTCAAACTTGTCACGTGACTATCTATGATTATGACTCGGATAAGTCCAAATCCAATTCGTTTTTGACATAAGTCATACTAAGCGCAAACTCATGACTCTGAATATTAAAATAAGTTATAAGACCCCTACTATCGTAAGAGGACAATGCGACGCCGTTATTGAAAGTGTATGTGAAAATACTAGCCAATCACGGAACTTCATAAGCAAATATAGACAACCTGCCTTTAGCCTAAGTCTAGATTAGCGACACTATCACTAACACTTTTATTGCTTACATTAAATATGTCTAGATATAAATTCATTCATATGGATGTGATGTTTGAAAAGTAATACTATCTGTTGTCGAGAGACACTTAATAGAACGAGACAACGCCTTGTTCCAATTCTTAAATTCACTGACAACTTTGAATATTTTATTATTAAAAAAAACATTATCTATAGTCTAACGCTTATGTCGAGAATATCAAAATTTTATGAAAGTACAGAAATAAAACCATGTCTACCAAGGAGTAACACTAGGGCCGCTATAATTTATTTTATATAATGTTGAGAAAAAGATTATTCTATATACAAAACTTAATAGGCCGATTTACAAACATACAAAATTGGTCAAATAAGTAAATCTGTCTGAAATGTAAGAGAAATTACGAAAGTTGGATTTAAATTAAATTTTAACTGGCTTAATCACAACACTTAGAAATTGTATCTGTCATGTTTTTGTAAAAGGAAATTTGAAATCATAAAGTATATTAGTCTAGAAGCTTTCACCGATGCTAGAACCTTAATGTTAAATGACTAAAGACTTGTTATAAGATGAAAATGTGTGAAAATGTTTTAACAAAACCATGACAGATATAGAAACTTCTACCTTAGATACTTTGGTGTTATAGTAGTTATCGTTTTACGATAATTATTTCTACATATTACATGGATATAGTGTAAGAAATTCCTCAAACTCTATATCCATATAATCGAAATTACCTAGACTTAAAACAAAATATACATTTAATATAAAATATCAAAATTACAATTCAGGTATAAAAGTTATTCTGCGGGAATAACGAACGGAAATGTCAGAATTGATGTTGTCTATTACTAGTCATCCGAAGGCGTAAAGGGAGCAAACTAGCAGCGAAAACGTCAGTCGTATTTGAGATGCCGATGAGAACATAGGCGAGAGCTCATTCGCGTGTACCGAGTGCCGCCCACCCAGGGTGTGGAATTGGAAGATGTCACTTACCTGTTAAAGAATGATAATTAATTTACGACTAATGTTATAAATATATAAGTAAAACGACATAATACTGATTTTTATAGTAAAACTAGCTGATCCGGCAAACGTCGTTTTGTCATGTATATCATCTACAACAAAAAATAGGGGTTGATCGTGAGGGGTGAAAATTGGGTATGGTTTTTTTTAATGCGTTTAAAAATAAACAATGTGGACTGCCCTTAAATTAGAGTAGTGTTGTCCGATTCTCAGTATACCCAATCGCATATATTACATAGAATCGCAAGGCGTTTGGGAGTTTAACACAAACACCGTGACACGAGAATCTTATTATGATATCAGCTTTGGTAAGTGAACATAGTATGGTAGGTAATTATACTCAAAAACATGTGCTTAAAAAATGAAACAATAATAACACATACCAACACATGAACATAATATAAAGAAAAATTAAACAAACAACCACAAATAAAACAAAAATTAATAACTAAAACTAAAAATAAACAATAACAATAATAATCATTATTATTTGCTCAAACAAAACATCTGTGAGCTGAAAAGTGTAATTTCAGAAGAGCGGGAACGTAAGGTGGGTGGACCATGGAAGGCCATGCTCCCTTGAAGGCCAAGTACTAAAAAATCATAGTTATAGTCATGTGATGACAAATTCCTTCCATTTACACAAAGCTCCATCAAACCCAAGGACACAGACGCGGCGACGAGTCGCTCGCGTTGCTATTTTGTCAGTGGGGCCCCTTACTACGTAGACTTCGGTCATCGATGTTAAAATTGTAATTTGCGTGGTCATCAAAAGATAAGTTTTTATATGAATATCCCATTATTATCATATTCTTTTTACTGTAAATTGTCATATATGGATTTTTTTATAATACTAAAGAAAAAAATATTAATTTTACTTTGGTTTCAGTTAAAATATCGATAGTGTTCCTATAAAAGCCGGTTGTTCCTTATAAAGCCAAACAAAAATTTGACGGTTGGCCTTGCTAGGGTACATGGGTCTCACTAGGAACATTTACGAACTATGAAAATATGAACTCTTCGTTTTTAGTTAGAAATACGTACCGGGAGTAAGAAAAAAATGAAATGTACAAGTAAGCGACGACAAAAAAAGAAAAACATCAATAAAAATGATTCCAAAGAACTGCTGAAAAGAAAAGCAGAAGGTGAAGAAAAAAAATGGTACTGTCACGCATGTGGCGAGTGTCAAAAGTGGTATCACGAGGAGTGTATTGGTCTCACTAAAAAGGATCTCTCATTTTTATGTTCAGATTGTGATTAAAATAATAAAAATTATTATCGTAATTAGAGTACTTAGTCTGTAAAAAAGGCTGTCATAAATGATAATTTTTAGTTTGGCCTTCTTAGGAACATTTTGGCCTTACAAAGAACGGACCCATTCGAAGGCCATTATAGGTAAAAAAAAATTATATAATTTCATTGCAAAACGAATTGGTAACTCATTTGTTATCGAAATAATAGTCATTACTATAATTTTTGAATAATATCCATTAATAAGTTTCTTAGTTATACGATAATGTTCAAGGAATGTTCGTTGAGTTTATTAAACAAGATTATAATATGTTAAGCATTTAATTTTTCGTTTAAGTGAAAGAGCTTTTTATGTAGTTTTAGTAAAAGCGGATATTTTGATTATTACAATTCTAGTTTTAAGTTGAACGGCTGATTTAAAATATTGGCCTTGTATGGAGCACTGTTCCTTGCAAGGCCGTTCAGAAGAGCTTTATAAAAGTTAAGTTTAAGAAATAGTGATAACGTCTACAATAAAAAAAAAACAATTTATATGTTGCACAATAAAACAAAGTGTTAGTTAATAATTTGTTTCTTTTATTTATCTAGTAAATTAATGAATAAAAACTGTTTATTCGTTACAGTGGCCTTCTATGGTCCACCCACCTTATTACTAAAAACATCGCGGAAAGCATGCCCAGAAGAATTTATGCTGTGATTTTCACACTAGTTATTAGGTTTTGAAATTTGTTAAAAAAGTAAAAAAAAAACCTCTTGTCTTTATTGCCGACCACTTCGTATTGTTTTTCAAATTCGTAATTTATCAAAAAATATTGCCTGAATTCACTGTACGCCTATCAATTTTACCTGAAATCGACCTAAAACTGAAAACAAATTTCCTTAGGTAAATTTTTCAATAAAACGTATTTTTTGCCAAAGGGCTTATATTGATGATATCGTAATTGTTACGTATTTACGATTATATATATATATATATAGTTATATCAATCCGTCAATTGTTGATCATGCGTGCTATATCGCGAGCACTTTGTTGATCCGAAAACCTATGTTGATCCGGGTGGTTTTGTTGATCCAATATAATATTTTTCATACAAATGTGGTTCCGACCGGATCAACGATTTACTCCGTTGAAGTTTAGGAAACGCAACCGAAATGTTGATCCAATATACAAATCCACTCCGATAGTTGTTGATCCGATTCAAATGGGCCAATCAGAAGTCAGCAAGTCCTCCTACTGGACTTACCTAAGGTATTTGGATGGTTTAATTCCTATAATTTATTGCAAACCCACCTAATCAGTAACTTTTCTTTATTTATTCAGTTTTTATGTTTATAGGTATGATATATATTTATGGTAAGGAAATTTATGACGACACGCGCTTGTCGCTTACCCGATGTTAAGCTTCGTGGCTAGCTTCATGCATGCCAGCAGCTTTATGTCATACAGAGTATGTGATATTGTATTGCACTCAGTAACCCTGAGATATAAGATCTAGATCTAGAGTCTCGAAGCCCTGTTATTACTCCGCAAATAATGCCCTTCATCCCGGGACACCGTAGCGTTGTTTAGCTACCGCTTGGCCGTTGATTAACTGACAAAGGTCTGGCCTTTCCTCAGACTGGCCTTCGCAACAGTCCTACCAATATAGTAGAATAGATATAGTCTTATATAACTTTACGTATCACACAGAATCTTCATTAAAATATATTTACTTTTTTATAAATATTGTTAACATACGTGTTAAGTTGCATCCAAGTCCTATTTTGAAGAATAGGTTCTTTATTTAAAACTTCCATACATTTGTTTTTGCCTGGATTTATCTTTTTATTTATGTATGATTGGAAATATTTTTTGACTAATTGTATCTCTTCATCCGACCACTTTCTATGACTTTTTTTTCGTTTCTGAATTGGATTATCACTATCACTATCGCTTAAACTTGGGCATTTTATTTTTGTCTTTCTGTTATTTGGTTTAATATTGATATTTTTATTTTTAGAATCTTTATGATATATATTATTTTCTTTGGCTCGTCTAGTTTTACTTCGTTTCTGAATCTGTTTATCATCATCAACATCGCTTTCACTTGTACTACTTGACCATTTTCTTTTCGTGTTGGTTCTGTTTGGCTTAATTTTGGGGTCTTTATTTTTAGGATCTTGGTTGTAATGATTGTCTTGTTTTTATCGTTTACTTCATTATAGTCTCCAATTTCTATATCGTCCATGTTCTTATTGACTGTAGTTTCTGGTGTTTCGATAGATATTTTGGGGTTTGTAAGTAAGATGTTAGATTGGTCGCTTTCTATTGCCGAATTTTTTGAAGATGGCGTCTCTTCCTCAAAGTTTTTAGTTTCTTGGTATGATTGAGACCTAATCGTTTCTATTATGTTACTCTTCTTCCCCATTAATGTATTTTCATATTCTAAGAGTTGAGATCCTACAACAGCTTTTTGGAGTACCTGCATAGGCAATCTATAATTTTGTGCATGAACTGATATATTATGCCCTAGAAATCCTGCCAATTGCTCAGTATAATGATCATTTTGTTTAGAATGAATTTGGGACATTGTAGCAATATGATGTCTCATTCCGGTTGATGTAATCATCTCGGGGCGTTTCAAATTACACTGTTTTTTTATCATATCTAAACACTTACCGCCCTCAAAAGGTTCTTGTGTACCAGGTCTTGGAAATAAATATTGGTTGGAGCTTGGCATTTTTAAATCTTCACGGCAAGCTATTTTTAAATCTATGTTTTCTCGCATTATTTTTGTTAGTTTAGTTAGTTTGACCATGCCTGTTTGTTCATTAAAGCCACACATTTCTTTTATGGCACTTACAAATGTTTCATTGTTTTCAGGATCAATTGCGTCAGTGAGATTTTCAATAGTTGTGTCTTTTTCCGCAATAAAATTAAAAGAGTAGCTAAATCTCTCATTTTGGAGAAAATCGCTTTACGACTTCGTCGTTCTTTTTTCTTCTTCAAGAAACGAGCACCGTATGCTATGATTAATGGATCATTTTTAACTACTAATGAAATTTCATCAGAACGAAGATGCGACAGTATTTTTTTCTTTTAGCTCAATCGAAGCGTTCGCCTATTGGGAACGATTGTTAAGCTGTGATTAAACAATGCTTTTCTTTTAAGTGACGGAAGAACATGTTCAGAAGCTTTACAATTTCTTAAATGTCTGAAAAATGAAGATCTTTTAAATGTACCCAAGCATGTTTTACAAGTAGCGTAAGTTGACGGACTAGAGTTGCTTCGTTTTGATGGTAATAAGGTTAAATGAGCGTCCCGATCAATGCTATTAGAATTGTGTAAAAAAATTCCCTTGTTTCTCAATTTATCTGTAATTTTTTGTCGTTTTAGCTTTTGTATTTTAGGGTCTGTATCATTAATAGCTTTATACTGAAGAACTTCGATTTCATCTGCGTGGTTACGTAAAAGATGTCTAGAATAATTACGTATAGTTACAATTGCTTGACAGTAGAAACATGCATTTCTTCGGTACCAGTTACGTTTTCTCGCCGTATTATTAACGCTTTTTACAACTTTACCTCCTCCAAAACCCGGAATTCCTTCTATGAGTACACTTACGCCCTCATTAGTCGATAAGTTCTGGCTACTTTCCCCACTATTGACTTGTGTGTTTCTTTCTTGTAACTGTTTTACTTTTCTATTGCAATTTTTTTCAACTGAACGACTGGGTCGTCATTATATTCATCGTTAAAAGACTAAAAGGTCAAGGTCAAAAGCCCTCGGATCAACGTTAGTTAGTAAGATTTCGCATATAAAACGGATGCACATTTGACTCGTCGGTATAATATTTGCGACCGTTACGGATCTACAAAAACATTATTTTAATGTATTTTTTGATGGCAAGTATGTTGCAAAGCGACCGATGCAGATCCCCAAACAAGCCTTCCATTTCTAATTCGGATCAAAGTATATCAGTTATATTTGTAAAGAGCCAATTATACACTGCAAGAAGGTGGATCAACATTTCTTTTAATATCTTACTAGATCAACATTTACATAGAACGGATATATATATATATATATATTATATATACGTTTTACGATTTTGTATTTTTTACCTAATCGAAGTGAAACTTAATGTCAGTAGTTATTAATATGTAATAGTAGTGTTATGGACACATTGCTACATTGATTTTATTTAGGAAATTTGGCTAGACTACCCCCTTCACTCGCTATTTAAAACTAAATACGAGAAAAAATATATACACTCGTTTTAGTCTCACCTCATTCCACCCATATCGATTCTTGGCCTGAACAATAGCTTCGTACACCGCACCTGGCTCCAGCCCCTTCAGCTCATGGGAGACGCGGTGTGTCAGGGACCCCGTGGGCTCTGGAGCTGGAATAACCACATCGTGCCAACGACCTGGCTGCTGGAAGGACTCGTTGATCTGGAATTATTTAATGTCTTAATGATTCACTGTTCGTAAACCAACATAACAACATATGGAACATTTTGCTATACTACCCAATAGAGACTGTTCACTTTTCCGAGATAAATACCTACGTAATAAATAAAGCAACATTAATTTTTTTTAATATTTTCCAACTTTTTTCCTCATAAAAAAACATTTCTCAGACTTCAAGGAATAAATTAAAACAAAACTCGAATTGGTCCAGCCGTCTTCGAGTTTTGTGCTTAGAACATATTGTTACGAGCTAGGGGATCGGATAGAAACGCCGTAGATCTCTTCTCCTTAGACATGCTCGTCCCGAGCATCATTAGTTCCTTTATAGGGAGCCAATCGATTTATGTGAACGACTTTCGGTTTGCTTCTTAAACCACTCATTTTCTTTATCCGGTAAGTAACGTCATTAATCTTCGTGATTATCGTGTATGGACCATCCCAGTCAGCTTGAAGCTTTGGTGATTTGCCTTTGCGTTTTGTTGGATTATGGAGCCATACTTGCGAGCCTTCTTTAAATTCTATGTGATTCGTCTTTCTGTCATACCTAATCTTCGTAGTCTCACTTATTTTGCTTTGTGATGCTCGTACGTGTTCATGGATTTCATGCAGTTTATTACGCAAATCCGCAGCATATTCTGTAACACTCTCCGGGGTGTCAGGTGGTCGTCCCGTTACAATGTCTGCTGGTAATCTAAGTTGTCTCCCAAACATGGCTAAAGCAGGTGTAACATTCGTGGTTTCATGAACCGCAGACCGGTATGACATTACAAATAATGGAATATACTTGTCCCAGTCTTTTTGATGGCTGTCCACCAGTTTTGCCAAGTGCCTTTCCAAGGTTTGATTAAAGCGTTCCACCATTCCATCTGACTGTGGGTGATATGGAGTAGTCCGCGTCTTATGAATTCCCATTAGTCGGCATACTTCTTGAAACAATAAAGACTCAAAATTTCTCCCCTGATTACTGTGAATCTCCAAGGGTACTCGAATCTAGAGAATACGTCATTTACAAGTATCTCAGCTACTGTAACTGCTTCTTGATTGGGAATAGCGAACACTTCGGCCCACTTCGTAAAGTAATCCATAACAACCATGATGTACTTATTTCCTTTTTCTGTTAACGGAAATGGTCCAGCTATGTCAACGGCTATCCTCTCCCATGGAGCTCCGACATTGTATTGCTTCATACCAGCTCTAGTTCTCGTCTGTGGGCCTTTGACTGCTGCACAAGCCTTACATTTCCGAATTAAGTCTTCCACATCTTCACGGCAATGTATCCAATAAAATCTCTCTTTAATTTTCAGAAGAGTCCTTTTTACTCCTAAGTGTCCGCCCGATGTGCCATCATGAAACATCTCCAAGATGTTGCGAACCTTGGATCTTGGCACAACTAACTGTAGATGAGAAGCATCCCCTCGAGTGTTTTCCCATTTGCGACATAACACTCCATTATGAAGAACTAAGCTATCCCATTGAGCCCAGTAACTCTTGGTCGTGGTGCTAGTAGATGCAACATCATTCCACCGCGGCTTCATAGCTGAAGATTTCATCCAGTCCAGAATTGGTTTAATGTCAGAATCTTGTTGTTGCTCTTCCTGAATTAATTTCCCACACCAATCTGGACTAATGGTGTCTGTCCTTAGTATCCTTACATGGGCTACCTCTCTACCTTCGTGTCTTGTACAATGTTTGCAATCCTCCTCACATGGCCTTCGAGACAATGCATCTGCGTTCCCGTGGGCTCTGCCCTTTGCGATGTTCAGTAGCAAAGTCATACTCTTGCAGTTGTTCGATCCATCGAGCCACTTGTCCTTCCGGATTCTTGAACTGAAGTAGCCATTTTAATGCAGCATGATCTGTCCTAAGACGGAACTTGCGACCTAGCAAGTATTTACTGAAGTGCTGCAGCGTCTTCACAACAGCCAGTAGTTCCCTCCGAGTGACACAGTAGTTCCGTTCTGGTTTCGACAATGACTTGCTGAAGTAGGCTATTACTTGCTCGTGCTCACCTTTTACTTGTGATAGTACACCTCCAATGCCAATTCCACTGGCATCTGTATCTACCACATATTCACCATCTTGATCCGGGTAGCCTAGTATTGGAGTCTCACACAGTCGGTTCTTGAGCTCATTAAACGCATCTTCACACTCTCCATCCCATGTGAATTTCCTCTTCTGTTCGGTGAGTCTGTGAAGTGGTTTTGCAATATCCGCGAAATTTCTCACAAATCTTCGGTAGTAAGAACATAAGCCTAAGAAAGCGCGGACTTCAGTTTTATCTTTAGGTACTGGCCAATCCTTCACCGCAACTATCTTCTCAGGGTCTGTTGGAACTCCATCCTCTGATATAATGTGCCCCAAGTAGCTCACTGCTCTCTTGAAAAATAAACATTTCTTTGCACTTAGTTTCAGGTTGGCTTTATGCAGTCTGAGAGCACCCGTTGCAGATTTCGTATGTGATCATCAAAATCCTTCCCAATGATGACTACATCATCCAAGTACACTAAGCAGGCTTCTCCAAAGGAAGGAAAGGAAAAAGTGCTGTCAGGACTGATAGTCCTGACAGCACTTTTTCCATTAGTCTTTCAAAGGTGGCAGGTGCATTGCAAAGCCCAAACGGCATAACTTTAAACTGCCACAGTCCTTTACCAGTTGAGAACGCTGTTTTCTCTTTATGACTTGAGTCTATTTCCACTTGCCAGTACCCACTTTTCAAGTCTAAAGTTGTAAACCATTTTGCCCCACTTAAGGTATCCAAGGTGTCATCTATTCTAGGTAACGGATAACTGTCCTTCTTCGTGATATCGTTAAGACGACGGTAGTCGACGCAGAACCTTAAACTGTTATCCTTTTTCTTGACTAAAACTACTGGAGAGCACCAAGGGCTGGAAGATGCTTCAATAACATTATGGTTTGACATTTCTGCAATCATCTTGTCTATATTCTTTTCATATGCGACAGGTACTCGTCGCGGTCTTAAACGTATAGGTGCTTCGGTTCCAGTCTCAATTCGATGTTTAACTACACCTGTCCTTCCTAGATCTCCATCGTGTGTAGCAAACATGTCAGAAAATGTTTTTAATAGTCCCTTTGCTTTCGACATTTCTTCTCTCGTCAAGGTTTCCTTACAGTCCTCAAGTATTGCTTACTAACTGTACCATCTTCAATGATAGCTCTATGCACGTCGTACCCGTTCTTCAATGTGTTATCTTTTAGGGAAACTACTTCATCTCTACACTTGAATGTGCCGTTCTTCAGGTCAATCTTACAGTTGTAATGCTTCATGAAGTCTAAACCGATAATACAGTCATCCACGATGTCAGCAATAACCACCTCATGTCTGTATGTTCTTCCACCAATCTTGAAGGTAGCGATACCTTCTCCTCGAACGGTTATGTGCTGACCAGTAGCTGTAAGGAGCTGTACATTTCCACCAGAAAGGCTCTTGTAAAATGACTTCAGAAGTTGGTATCTGATTACTGTCCGGGAAGCTCCAGTATCAAGGGTTAACTCACACCTAGTGCCGTTAACTTCTCCGTCGATGACAATGGTATTCCCATCCTGAGTTTGAGAGATCATAACTTTTGGGGCCTTCCTTACAGAACCGGCCAGCACCCGCCCCGTGGTCCTGGCTTCTATTCGTTTCCCTGCCGCTGTTCAGCGGCAGTCACATCCACGTCATCGGGCTCCCCACGTCTTGTCTTCATTTCACCTCAGAGATCTCTCTTAGGGCATGAAAACCTCATATGCCCTACTTCCCCGCAGAGGTAACAGGTGGGTCCACGTTGGGAACTACGTTTTTCCGAGACAGCCCTAATGCGGTTAGGTCGAGAATCCTTGCAAAATGCTTCCACTTCCTACGCATGAGCAAGAGCATTCTTGAGGTCCTTATGGTGACCTAGGTTCACAGCCATTCGAATTTCACGGTCTCGAATACCGTCGACGAAGGCTTGAACCAACATCTTGTCTGCAACTTCTGGTGAGGATGCATAGGCTTTCCTAACCAGCTTCTCTATTTCACATCCCCATTTTTGCAAACTTTCATTTGTCTGCTGTATTCTATCCTTTACTTGAGCCCTATAGACGTGCTCTAAATGTGCGTCTCCGTACCGTGATTCTAGGATTCCAGCAGTTGCTTTAACGTCACTTTACCTGTCTTGGTATCTAATATGGTGAGGGCTTCATCTTGCAGTCCCATAATAAGGGCGGTGACAGCCTGATCGTCATTCCACCCGTTTGACTCTGCCACAGTCTCAAACTGTATTTTGTACGCGCCCCAGGAAAATGTACCGTCAAAGGGAGGTACTTTCAGATTTTCAGATGGTGCTACAGTCGTTACGACACCTTTGGTCTTCAGGCACTGCATCTCTTGTTCTAATCCGAGAATACGTTTGTCCTGTTTCGAAAATTTGCAGTCCATATCAGATTCCAAGTTCTCGATTTTTTAATCTACTTCTTGTTTTAGATCTCCTAATCTTTCTCCGATACGGCAAGCCTGTCCCTCCATCAAACGGCGTGTCTGAGCCTGCTCTTCCACGATTTGGCGTGCTTGTTCCTCTTGACGTCGTGCCTGTTCCTCTTGACGTCGTGCCTGTTCTTCCATCATTTGGCGCAGGGCAAGGAGGATGTTGCTATCGTTGCTTTCGCCCATCCCGCGGTTCGCATCGAAACTTTGTCGCCGGGCGGCGTCGCGTGCTGATTGTGCCCTTGTCTGCACTCCCTCCGCAGCTGGAGACTCGGCCACAAACTCCTCTTGATTCTCCCTCGGAGTAATTGGCATTTTTCTATCCCACTTCTGACACCAAAATGTTACGAGCTAGGATCGGATAGAAACGCCGTAGATCTCTTCAAGGGTTTATTTCAATTAAATCTACGAGGAATTTGTTAACACTAAAAACTGGAATTTGTTAACACTAAAATAACAATTACGCATAAAATTTCACTAAATACACACACAAAATACTGTCACTTATTACTCTAATTACACGCACTTCACACAGTACTTGTATTCACTTGTCTTCACTATATTCGCACTTTGTCACTTCGATGTTTATCGCTCGATATCGCATTCAAAACTGAACTAATCGCGGTCGCGTTTCGGCTCGCTTATATATCCCTGGGAGCGATGTTCGAGAACATTTAGGCGGCAGTGCAACTGAGTAGCGATCACACAATTCTAGAACGTGCGTACTAGCTATCTCTTTCGCACATTGCTCCGTCCTTATCGTACGGCGTTCTAGAGTGCTCGGTCTAGCTTCGAGAAGGTTCCGATCTTCCCTCTCTCTCGCGTATCGTTCCGTCCTTGTCCCACACCTAGAAAATTCGTTCTAGAACATTCCTTCGTAAAAGGGGTATAACCAGGCCTGAAAACGCCTGAAAACGGGTTTCCTGAAAAGTGTACCATTCGACTACACGTGTTCTGAAACGGCCTGAAAAATGTTTCAGGCTCCTGAAAACTAGGGTAACATTATGTAAATTGAGATTTTCTAATATGTAATTGACCCTCCCCTGAAACGGTCAGAAATCACATTTCAGCCTGCTGAAAAGTCTCTAAGTAGTGGAAAAATCTAAAAACATTGCAGTTGACCCGTCTTCGTAACAATATTTTGCAATTCAATTTTATTTACACAGATTGTTATTACATTTAGTTCTTCTGGGAGCAACTAACAACTGAGGGCTGCCTCTCAGTCTATATCCTTGCTTCGTTATTTTTTATTGTAGAGATCAGGGGGAAATGGGCAGGAGGCTCACCTGATGTTAAGAGTCTCGCCGCCCATGGACACTCTCAATCAGAGCTCACGAGTGCGTTACCGGCCTTTTAGTTGGTACGCTCTTATCTTAAAGGACACTAGGTAGAATTGGTTCGGAAATACTTCAGTGGCCACATAGTAATAGCTTTTTTTATATCTATCGAAGTTACTTACAGCGAGCTGACGGTAGAGAAGTCGCAGTTCATCCAAAGGAGGATAGCTGTCCACTGCAAAGGCCAGGGTATAGGACGTTGGTGCCCTCGCCAGGGGAGGAGACGTGAATCTGGCAGGACCAGGTCGACCTGATACTTCTACATGTTGGCGAGCTCGGCCCAGACTGTTGTCTGCTACACAGCTGGAATTATATTTACGATATTTCAACACAAACTCTGTTACAGCAATAACACTAAAACAACATCTTAATGGTGCTCTATGCTTGTCTATGGCTCAAAGATTCTGAACCTTTTATAATCAAAACTATACCTCTCCGTAGATAGTACAGATGTATAGAAAGCTGCAGCAAGAAATAGATTGAAGTAGGTATAATTTGTCAAAATCTTTCTCGAGACCACGATTGCTCGCCCATTCGATATATTACCATTATTTCAATTCAATTATTGATTCAAATAGTTTAATTCTTTTTATAATTTGTATTTTTTCGGCAAGGTCAAATGTTCATTTTATTTGCCGTTTTTGTATCTACTTGATTTCTATGTCGTGTCCGCATGTTATAGGGACGGCACCACTTTTCATATTTTTTGTGTGTACGTCAATTTGTTTGTTTGTATCGTGTGTTCGTCCTAATTTATTCTTATAGGTCGGATGCATAATGGATATAAAAGAGAGACTGGGTCTACCGGTTCCAAGCAAGAACACACCAATACGCACACTTCAACATAGGTAGGCACCGCTCACGCACGATACATGTGATTGACAAGATTCTATGTAAATAGTAGGTCTAGAGCTCTGGTTAGTTCACAAGAGTTGCTTGTTTTATTATTAGTTATAAGATGGTTTTATTATTTTTATTTTTAACTGTAGAATTATTTAGGTATAGGTTTGATGTTCTATCACAATTTTTGTGGCAATTTTTTTTTAATTTTCGTCGATTATAAAGAACATCTAGTTACTCAACAAAAATCCCACGTGATCTAGTTTTTAATCCGCCCAAAATTATTTATTTGTCTATTTCTTAACAATTATTCTTATTTTTATTTAAAATATTATTACTATTACATTATTTTTATTTTTTTGCGAATGAGGCGCAAACTAGCTGCTAGCTAGCACAACTTGGCTGTGGTCTCTGGCAGGATGACCAGCGCTGTGGAACAGTCTGCTCCTCAGCATAATGCTGAGCCAGTACCAATTACAACCACAGCACTCGCGCATTACACATATTATGTCCAAATAAATAATCTTTAAATGAAATTAATATATATAGTTCTAAAAGTGTTTATTAAATGTTTATTCTAGGTAATTCGTAGATAGTTCAACCATCAATTTATTCCGAATTAATTAATTTGGTCGCATGACAAAGTTAATTCACATACAAGTCCCTTAAGCGATGATGGGTCACGCCTATCAACCACGCTTACTATCAGCGAAGTTTACCCTATGGTATTATATTGTATGTTAATTATGATGATGACTATATTGAATATTAGCGGACCCGATAGTCGTCCCATACATATCTTAAATACAAAAATGTATTTAATTGTAAATAAACTGAACAATTTTTGAATCCACTTGAATACTCATCAAAATCGGTCCGTTTAGACTTAAGGAGGTTTTTAATTACTAACACAGAAGATTTAAATTAAAAAAAAACATCAAATGTTTGGAAGCTAGAAACGAATCGTATTGGAAAATTAGGTGTTTGCTTTGCTGAACTCGCACCAGCCATTGTCGATTTTAGCGAGACAAACGTACAGAAATTTATATATCATATGATGTGACTTACGTGTAGTTCCCAAAGTCCTCTGGTTGAACGTTAGCAATGAGTAGGGTGTGGTTATTTCCACGGACCGACATGGTGACCCTCTCACTGGCAGATAGTGGAAACGAGTTCTGATACCACAGTACCTGTAATAAACAGAATATACTATGAAGAATAAATTGCCTATAATGGCAAGGAAAATGACTTAATATCTGCTTCCATATTAAAGCTTTATAAATTGTTTTTTATATGTGCGAAATTAAAGGCTACTGAGAACGCAAACATCGTGAACCGGCAGACAGAAGGCTGATCATCTACTTGTCTATGGAAATGATCAAAACGGATGCAATCTGAGGCCTACTCAAACTCAAAATAACTTTATTCATATAGGTATTTATTTATTTATACTTTATTACCTTAATCAAAAACATAATCATAACAAAAATAAAAAAAAGCAGGTTACAAAAGTTATAAGGCAACGGGCGGCCTTATCGCTAACAAGCGATTTCTTCCAGGCAGCCCTAAAGTGGAACAATGAAAAAGAAACACCTACAGAGGGTAGAGTACAAGTAATGCAAAAATTATTAACAAAAAAAAAACTCAAAATAACACGAAAACACACTTATGAAAATTAACAGTAAAAATGTTAAATTGATATTTACTACCAGTTCGTAAGTTAAGGGCGTAGAGCGGGCGAGAAAAACTTTAGTTATTTCGACTATATATAATAAATATTTTATAACTATTTGCATGTTGTTGCCACGAAAATGTAAGTGCCAATTTTACCATGCCTACTGCTGATAGAGGACAAATCTTTGTTTTTTATTAATTAATTATTAATTACTTAAGATGTCATGTGGAACATGGTGTAATGGTTGCAGCTCCTTACAAACATTTTGTAAAACAAAATCGTGGCGATTAAAAGCAGTGGCGGAGAGTTTATTGCCAGTTCTTCTCTTTCTACGCCCTTGATTTGGGAACTGGTAGTAAATGTAAAATTAGAAGCATTTAATATGTATTTCTTTATTGATGTCCATAAGTGAACATTGTGTTACCTAAATGAATAAAAGATTTTTAATTTTTGAATTTTCAAGAAACTCTCCACCATTCTCATTAATCGCCAAGTGTTGAGTCATACAAATTGTTTGAACTGGAGCAAATCACCAAGGATTAGGATCATTTAAATAATTGTCAAATTTAGGATTGCAACACCATAATATAAATGAAATGAACTGATGAAAGTCATGACACGGGGTTTAACAGGAAATGCTACCAAAGATTCGTCTATTATTTATATTACCTCAGCCGGAGGGTCAGCCAGCACCGTACACAAGAGTTCAGCTCTGAACCCCTCTCCCGTATGAACCCACGATCTTTCCACTGTGATCTCAGGGGGAACTGAAACCAAATATTCATGTCAAATACCTATACAATACACGAATATCTACATGTCGTTGTACAATTTTAAATGTTTTACTACTACTTTCAATAACACTTTATTTATGATAAATTAATGATTATATACAAGTTTTAAAGCAATATTTTATAAATATGAGACTAACACTTTATTTCTTATAGTGTCAAATAGCCTATTAAAAGAAACACTCTGAATTAGATATAACTTTAGGGATGTTTGCTTCAGAGTTATTTGGTTGTGTTAAAATAAAACTCCCTAATTATTGTTTGTAGAGAAGAGGTAAAGATGGAATGCCTTTTATTTTCAAAACTATGTACATTTATACTCAAAAATTATCCTACACTGACTACTAGTAATAACATGCGGTGCCAAGATGCGCAGGGTGCGTAGGCGATAAAAACGCGGCGCGGCAAAATGTTGGCCCTTTTCTGCGCGCAGCCGTCGAAGCTTACTTACGATAACGCCAATAAACTCTTATTTTCAGAACATATTATCGTATCTTATGAAAACGTTTATAAACTGTTATTTTCAGAACATATTATCGTATCTTATGAAAACGTTTATAAACTCTTATTTTCAGAACATATTATCGTATCTTATGAAAACGTTTATAAACTGTTATTTTCAGAACATATTATTGTTTCTTGACGAAAACGTTTAACAACTGTCCTTGTCAGGACATATTACCGTGTCTTACGACAACGATGACAACTGTTCTTTTCAGAACACACGACCGTTACTTTAACTCTTGATCTGTTCTTGCCAGAACACATCACCGTTTCATTAGGACACGTTAACTAATCACCTACATAACTATCGACTTACATAGCACCTGCAGCTGGAACTCGGTAACAATTGGCGGTCCAACGCCGTTATCAACAGTACACGCGTAACGTCCGCTGTGTTGACGCTCCAATCGCGACAGCTGAAGTTGCGGCCCCTCGCCGAGCCGGGTACTTGTGTCGTTCTGAAAAAAAAAAATCATTACTTTATATTGTTGCTGTGTTCAATATATTATTTTATTAGTGAATCAAAATCATTTATTCATATAGGCAACACAATGTAGACGTATGCACGTCAATAAAGAAATACATATTAAATACTAAATGTATCTAGTTTTACATTTACTGCCATTTCTCAAATCAAGGGCGTAGAACGGAAGAGAAGAACTGGCAACAAACTCTCCGCCACTCTTTTTTTTGAAATGAAACTTTTTTAGGTGCATGAGGGTAATTTTTTTACGGATGAAATGCAATAATAATAATATTAGCGTCACGAAGATATGCAGCGTTTTTGTCGAAGAAAAGGGGGAGAGCGATTGAGACGGATTGAGAGGGAGTGAGCAAGGGCGAACGTAGCATGAAGCAAATACTCATGGAGCGAGAGTAGGAAGCAAGTAAGTGAGAAAGATCAAGAGAGAGAGTGAGATAGAGCGAACGTCGCATCACGAAATATGTACACGCTATAGGTTGATGTATTCGTTTAGTAGTTACATAATACATATTACTTTAGATTGCAATTCTGTCGCTTAACGTCTTGTGCAGTAAATACAGACTTTTTATTTATTTATATTATCATTAGCACGTATACAGTGTGTAAACAGTGTGAATATAGATATACAAATAGATAGAGTGATCATATACTGGTACATGATCATCTATTGGGGCTTTTACATTAGTAATAATTAATTTACAAAGAAGTTTCACTTCTGACATGTGTACTTTGTACGCACACACTTTTTTTTTCATTCAAGATATTGGTGAAAACCGTAATAAATTCCGTGCAACAGATTTGAGTTAATAGTGAACTTTGAACACTCGGCGGAGAACTAGTTTTTTATATAATACTAGCTGTGCTCTGCGCTTCCACCCGCATTAATTCGGTCGTAGCACGATGTTCTATAGCCTAAAGCTTTCATAAATGTAGGTAAATAGTCTTTAAAATGCAAAAATAATATTTTATTGGAGACATCACGGTCTTATTTTGTAGATGTTTATAAAATTGTAGAACATCACTTTGCTCTATTGTCAATAGTTTCCGCAGAATACGGATTAAAACCTTATGTTACATTATCCAAGTTTTCTTTTCTTTTAAATTCCTTTTAATACTTCTGAGACCAAAATAAGTGGATACAGACAAATGACCTAATACGTCAATCACTTTACTCCGAGAGTGGAATAAAATATTGTAATGTTCTTTCATTCAACAACTCAGTTAAATAAATCAATGGCGCTACAACCTTTTTAGGTCTGGGCCTCAGATTTCTGTATCTGTTTCATGATCATTTGTTAATCTAATAAGCAAGTAGGTGATCAGCCTTCTGTGCCTGACGCATGCCGTCGACTTTTTGGGTCTAAGGCAAGCCGGTTTCCTCACGATGTTTTCCTTCACCGTTCGAGCGAATGTTAAATGCGCACATAAAAAGAAAGTCCATTGGTGCACAGCCGGGGATCGAACTTACGATCTCAGGGATGAGAGTCGCACGCTGAAGCCACTAGGCCAACACTGCTCTTACAACAACTCAGTTAATGTGAGCTAAGAAAAAGAATAATCTGTCGCCTTATCCCTGAGGTAAAGGTTCGATTCCCGGCCGTGCAACAGACTCCCCGTCTATGTGTGCGTGTTATTCTAAAAACAGGAAATATGATTAAATGCTTACCAGCTTATGCCAAGTAACTGTAGGCACAGGATTCCCAGATGCTCTACACTCCAGTACCGCAGCACCACCGCGTCTGGCGGCGGCATGTCGGGACTCCGGTGAGGGTCTCACACTGGGAGGGACCAGGACCTCAACTGTGTGGACCTGGTCTCGGGCTACACGGTCTGAGATCTGACAGACGTAGTCACCAGCATCCTGAAATCACCAGATAGGGCAAGATTCAGATTCGAGACTAAGCACTAGGGCACCTATATGTCGAAAAAGTTTTGGATTTGAAATCTGTTTAGTATTTATCATGCATATGATGAAAATTATAATAATACACTATTGAGATTTAAACTATACAAAATATGGTTAGTAATAAATAAATAATAAATAGTAATAATGGATATATAAATGTTACATTAGACCACTATTAGAGTATGCCTACAGCATTTGGGATCTTTATTTCATAAACGGTATGCTTGAAAGGGTTCAAAGAAAAGCCACGAAAATGATCAGGTAACTCAGAACGAAATCTTATAATGAGCGTCTGAAAGCACTTGACCTTATTGATTTAGGAAGTAGGAGATTAAGAGGAAATCTCATTGAAACTTATAAAATCCCCACTGGCCACTATAATGTTCGAGGAATTGAGAAGCTTTTTATTTTAAGTGAAAATACACATTTGAGGGGTAGTTCTTTAAAACTTAAGACCACTCAACATAACACAACCCTAAAGAACTTTCTCCCAAACCGAGTAGTGGCCGACTGGAATAGGCTTCCGGAAAGTGTAATCAGTGCACCATCTCTGAACTCCTTTAAAAATAGATTAGATAGATTCTCCAAATCTCAAAATACGCGCGCATCAGCATATTAAGCTGCTAGTGTGTTTAAATATACATAATAATAATTATTGTTATTACGTGGTACATGTTCAAAACAGTTAAAAAAAAGATAATAATAAAATAATAATAAATTAAGTGTTACAAATTAAGTGAATGAGTGAGTGTGTGAATGGGTGTGTATGCGCATGTATTTGAGAGTGTAGCTGAAATTTGTTATGATTGTGCACTGTGTCTGTGTTAGCTTTTGAAACCTCAAAGGTATACCAAGATATGTAGTAATGCCTCTGTAGATTCGAAATACAATTTGGCTAGTGTAATTTCTATGTGACTAGCGAGTTTATATCTGGACAGTTTGACGATATCCAGAATCATAATTAAACTGGTTCACTGCGCCACCATTTTTAAAGAACTTTCAGCTGGTGCGATTGGAGACCTAAAGTCTCGTAAAAGCCTATCCTCTGGGCGTTTGGGACCTATCAGTCTCCTAAAAATACACTTTTGAAAATAATTTATATCTTCCAAAAAAAACAATGACATATATTTTGAATTTTTTTGGGCGAAAGATAGCTAATTGCTTTATATTTTGCTAGGCTTTCTCGCGCAAGGTACGACATGTTGAATAAACTACCAATAACAAAAAAATTAGATATCGATTGTATCTCGTACCGCGCCCGAAGATAGTTCAATATGTGTAGTAAATAGTGATGGGAATAAAATAATATCTCAGTTATCGATTCTAAAAGTTTTATTAATTATGCAAAGTGTTTTTCATTAAAACATGGTAAGCACATTGATTGCCGGCCCATTACGCGCAAATGGTAACAATTCGTTTAGTTTTTTTAGAAGCGTCAGTGCTGTTTAACTGCGTGCGCTCCAACGAAAAAGGTTTATCGTTAAATATTTCACTAATCAGAATCACTGTCATTATTAGTCAATGGGGCCAAATTTGAACATTTTCCAAAACAAATATTTTACTGGACGATGCAGCAGTATAATCCGGCGTTGATTTTTTTGTTAGAAACCTCACCAATAAAATAGATTTTTTACACTTTTTTCTTTTAAACTTAATCACTCATTGTTTATCAAAAATAATCAACACGCTGATATATACGCGAGTGTTATTTCCAAAACGTCCCCCGACTTCCCGAATGTCGATTCTAGGACAACACTAAAAATCCCATCCTCCATCTCTTGCGTCTACGAGGCGTACGATTTCAAGAGTACCGACATATCTCCTAACGCAATAAAAAAAACAATTACAGTACTGTGCGTTAGGGACCTAATCCATCTCTAATTTATTTTTAAAGTCCTTGAATTCAGCTTTAGTACGAAGCAAATATGTATATTTGTCCTGCTCATCCCTAAAGATATGTACAAGTTACATCCTCCCGCAAGGAGTCGAAAAATACGATTATGTTCAACGCGCAATATCAAAGTCCTGCAAGGAGTTTATATCTGGATAGATCTCGTAATGCTACGAACGTGATTAAATAAATAATATTAAATTAGAAGGAAAATTTAACTTAAATTTAAATTTATATTGACTGCCAGTTCTCAAAGGGCTTAGAACGGACGAGAATTGGCAATAAACACTCCGTCACTCGTAAAGCACCAATTTGTTTACAAAAGCGTTTGTAAAGAGCTTAATTTTGTAACTTAAAATAAGATAAAAAGAAAAGAATAAAATAAACGTTTAGCCTCTGTGATAGGATAAGAACGATCTTATTATGGAAGGAGTCTTGAAGCATGAAAGTCATGGAAAAAAAAGTTGATATGTCACGCAAAGGCAGACAAAGAGCGATTGTAAATGTGGAAGATGTGTTATAGAAAGAAGGAGGGGTAAATTGGTCAGGGCATATGATAAGAGAAAGTCGAGAGAGATGGGCGAGAATCACTACTGAATGGCAGCCCCGAGATGGGAAAAGAAAAAGAGGTAGTCAGGTTAGGTGATGGAGGGATTTGGAAACCACAGTGTATGTGGCCTAGATAGAAGTAGAGAGAGCTAGAACAGGCCTACCTATTCCAGAACACACTGTAGACCAAATATTTTGTTCTGTCTTGTACTATATTATATAAAATTCGTATTTAAGCATACTTCTGTATAACTAGCCGAGTTGCCGAGTCGGTTTGAAGATGACTATTATTAAGTCGTTGTATTTTGTTTAGTAAACAAATATTTTTATTGAGTTTTATATATCTTATAGTCATATTCTTAAGTTAATTTCATATTTTTACTTTTTATAATGATGGAAATACTTTAAAGGCTTAGTAAAAATAAATGCGAGCTAACGTTTATTATGGATGTATATTTTATAAAAGCTGCGTACTATGACCATTATACTCACACACCCCCTACACCCCCTACACTCATACACTTTACACATTCCTACACCTACTTATTTAGTTGTAGTCATTATCTTAGTACATAATGTTCTTCGTATAGTGTAACCCAATTTTGCTATATTTTTAACATAAACATTGTAAATACCTTTTTATCAATAAACTAAAATAAATAAATTATTAACACGACTGTACCATTACTTTGATTTCTCGGCTCTTTGTTGATTTTGGTAAAAAATAGAATATAATTGCTTAATCATTTAATAGCTATTTGACAAAAAGTAATTAAAAAGAATAGATTTGAATGAACGATAAATTCATAAATTAATGAACTAAATAATGTCGCTCTTACAAGATTTCATTAACTGATATCGGTGATTGACAATTGTATTCCGGTAACAATTACATGAAAATGGGTGGTAATGCCTTATGAACCTAGTTATTTCAAATATACATATCGGTAAGTTATAGTAGTAGTAGAAATAGTAATCTAAAACAAAATAATAAGTAGTATAAGCCTAATTTCCAGTGCCAGTGGAGATGAAAAGAGGGGCGCCCACAAGAGAGGTTACACCAAAAGCCTGGGAAGATGATACAAAAGTGATAGCAGGGAAAGATTTGAAAGAAGTTGCGGAGAGACAAATGGAAGAATTTGGAGGAGGCCTTCACGTCGAAGGTCGTGTACTAATGTATAATATAATAACATAAACTTAATGTAATCCTGATAATGTATTCGAATACAGGCTATTTTTCTTTATTTTACTTTATTTTAATTTTAGGCTTATTTTCTGGGCGCACTAAACCCGCGTTCGAAACCCGGCTCTGCGCTGACAGATTTTTCTATATTCTTAGTAAATGCTTGCTTGTGTTAGGTAAACATTGTGAGGAATCACGTAATTATCTAGAATTAATATACAGGGTGGCCAAAAAGTCGTTATTGTAAAATGTTTTGTTTCCTACAAACAACCATTGTTTTCTTCCTAGAAAGATATTAGAGCGACTCATGGCCATGTGTAATACCTTTTCAGAATCCCTATTAAATGCGCCAAAACTTGTAATACAGGGTCACTCGGTAGAGTAATTTTTTTTCACAGTGGGGTCCGAAGTAAACAAAAAGTTTTGATTTAAAAAAAAATTATATCGTTTAACTTAATATTATCTTCAATACACTCAATAAACAACTTTAAATAGTATGTCTAACGCAAGAACTCATTAGTACCAATCTAGTGGATATTATGAAAAAGATACAGGATGTAGATTTTTTCGAATTTTAATAAGAATTAGTAAAAAAAAGTCAACTTTCTTATAAAACGCAAAATAAATTATAACTCTGCAGGGGTTGAGCTTAGAGACCTCCCGAAGAACAATTTTTTGCAGCTGATGACCTCATCTATCCCCTATTTGCGTTTGATCCACGACTTTTTGACCACTATAGCTTCACAACTGTGCTAAGTGAAGCTACAGAATGAGAGAAATATCACTAGCGTCATGCAAGGTGAAGAATACGACTGAGAAGAAGAACGTCATATCAGCCTCTAATCTGGATTTTGTACTTCAAGTATATAAGGTTATAAACCAACACTCAAAGACAAGAATACTCGTTTCAGTGCAATGAAAATGACTATTCCCTTTAGTACACCTCGAATTACGCTCGCTGATATTTGCGGGTTGCCATAATAAAAAATAACGAACCGCTGTCATAACGTTATTTTATATGGCAATTATCTTTTTCCCCTCCAATTATGTTTTGAGGTTATGCGCTTTGATATACGCGTTGAAATTGTATGGAAATTTTTGATTATGTCCAAAAAGAAAATGGAAATGTGTAAGCGTGGCTTTTTGCTTCCGATAACAATTTTTTTTATGAAACTGTATTATATATAATATATTAATTTTATATATTTTAGAACCTAGGATTCCATCCATAACTGTTAAGGCTAGCTTTTAGTTTCTAAGCCTAAATTGTTAACTGTAATTTTATTTTTTTTATTTATTTTTGCACTTTTGCACTTTACCCTTAGTATTATTTTTTTCTTAATAGGGTTGCCTGGAATAGATAGCTTCTTAGCGATAAGGCCTCCCGTTGCCTCTAATGCATCTCATTCAATCACATGCATCCACACACACACACATTCACTCACATGTACCCACACACACTCATGTACTCACGCGTGTTGTACACAGCCAAAAAAAAAAAAGGGTGCGTGTACTTATGTACGCGCGTAAGAAGTTATACTTCTTTGGCATTATTAAAAATAGTTTTTGATTGCATGCAAATAATTAATTACAATTAAATAATCAAAGACTGGAAAAGGAGTCATTATAGTCAATTAAGTTCAGTTTACATTTGAAAAATTAAATAAATATGTAATTATTTATTATTATTCTCTTACATTAAGTGTAACATAAATTATATTTAGTTAAAATTATATATTATTATATATTTAGAACATCTTTACCAAACACTAAGAAGTATGTTGTTGCTTTGGCAGTATTGCACAATATAAAATTAATAAATTTCTTTGAAAAAATAATCAAAACTCCTTTATTTGTTTAAAAGGTAAATGACAAATGTCATTATGGTCATTCAAAATTCTTGGCATACGAACTTCACGCATATTCTATTTCTTTTTACTTGTAGATTGTCTTATTCCTATCTCGCTCGCGCACGCTATAATCACACTCCCAATTTTGTGTCACAGGTGCGCGCGCATCGTAAAATTTCACTCTCATAAATTTTTCATAACGCGCCTAAAGAAGTATAACTTCAAAAATTTAATTGAAAATAAATATATATTATTGAATTAACTGACACAGTTATTTTTTCCTTAAAGGGGTTCCCAAATCTTAAAGATTATAAGGCATTGTTTATAATGAATAAACAAATTTTTTTATAAGTATTTTCTTTATATGTATTCCCTAACAGTCTTAACTACAATACAAACAACTTTATAGAAACAAGTTGGTAGATCCTCACCTGTGGCCCCACATCAGTGATCTGAAGATTGTAGCCATCAACAAGACGGAACCTCTCATCTCTAGTGACCATGAGACTGGCTGCCGTCAGCACAGCGGGGCCTCGCCTCCATAGTAATACCAGCGAACCTGGAAATATCAAAAGTAAATTCAAACCTTCTCTGAGCTATGTGGGTTTTGTAGGGGAAGGTGCTGCTCTTACTCCGAGGGTGGATCAGTCTAACCAGGCGAAGGTGGAGACGTTAGCCGTAGTCATAGATGTAGGGGTCGATAGATTATTTTTATAGATAAGGCGGTAAACCAACGCCGCCTAACTCTGGGCTCGCGAGTACGTTGACGATCTTTCAAAGTTTTCTTTATGTTAAGAAGTCTGCCCCGTAGAAAAACGTTGTTCAGAAACCTTACGAACTACTAAATAAGGTATTTAATAATAATTATATAGCTTATTTATCCCCGTGTTTTTATGTATGCCTATAATTAGTTTGTGCTTGAAAAACAAGTATGAATTGTTCAGCCATAAAATCAATAACTTACCTAAATTTTGTACTTGACACGGCAACAGAAGTGTGTCTCCTACCACGGTTCTGAAAGAATGTCCTCTAGACAAAAATCGCGGCCCATCATCTGAAACAAAATATTTACATGTTTTAGTTAGTTAGTGGTAATAATAGTACATAATTTAAAAAAAAGTGCGTGCGTACAAAGTACACATGTCAGAAGTGAAACTAAGTCTTGTTCATATTTATACAAATCTAAAACTTTAGATTTCCGAGACTTAGAGGGAGGGAAAAGGAAGATATGTTAGGAATTTAATTGTCATTAAAATATTAAAAGTGTCGAAAATGAATACAAATAATAAATTTAATTTCTTTCTTCGATAATAAAAACACACAAATTTACAATTTGTCATTTGAGATTACAATAAATTATTTTGCATAAAATATACAATTCTATTTCATAAGTTCTCTTTACGAAATTTTTATTTTAAAAATAGAATTTCTATAAGGTAATAAATTCGTCCTTCTCACTCTCTCAATCGCTCTCTCCCTTTTCTTCGACAAAAACGCTGCACATCTTCGTGACGTATGCGTAAAAATTTTACCCTGCGCCTAAAGAAGTTTCACTTCAAAAATATTATTGACTAAGTACATGAATATATGTATAAATATAATATCAATATTAATAAAAGCTTTTTTATTTTTATTTTCGGTCTTAGCACGATGTTCTACAGCCTAAAGCTTTTCTTGGTAAATAGACTTAAATGCAAATATAATAATATTTTTGTTAGACATATGATATTGCGGATTTTTTTGTAGATATCGATGTCTTCTATAAAACTGTAGTAGGTACATCACTTTGCTCTATTGTCAATAGTTACAATAGCGTACGCAATTTAGGAATATTTATTGGTCTTTTTCACACACTATTGTAATAATTTCATACAGACCCTTAACTTTTTTGAGAATATCATGTAGCCTATGTTCACGGAATAACGAAGGGTTCTAAAAGATTTGTTTAAATCGGTCCAGTAGTTTCGGAGCCTATTTAAAGTAATATCAGTCTAACTCTTTCCTATAATATTAGGATAAGCGATTCGATTTACAAAAACTATTTGCAAACTCAAATGAAACTTTAAAACAATGACGTGTTTAAACGCAATTTCTAAACGGAAGTGTGATAACGGTTGGACTCACATCCGGTGGAGGTTGTATACTACTTCCTGGCCTTTTTTGAATATTTTAAATTAAATTGTCGTGATTGGTCAGCCTAGTTCTTAATTTGACATCGCGATAAATAAGCCTGAGGTCATTTACGGAATCATTCAAATTTAAGAATTTAATTCGTGTTTTAAAATAATTTCTATTTAACGGTCTGGTCTATCTATTAAATTGGATTTTGATTCTGCAGTGGCCTTGCATATTTTGGCATGACTGAGGTTCCAAAAGCTAACACAAACACAGCGCAATACAGAGTGTATACACTATACGCACACAATCCCAATCACATTTGCTACTACGGGTACTGTGACCGGTTTGTGTCACGTGACCGACGTATAAAAATCTATATTTTTAATTAGATAAATTAATGATTATTTCGATACCTCCTAAGTATACTGAGTAATCTAACAAATTTAGGTATTTTGTTTTTTTTTATACAAAAGTACATAATAAACCATGATCTTAATGTTAGTGTTATTTTTTTTTTAAAAAGACCTGTAATTACCGAGATAATTTCACTTATACTAAATCAATTTCAACATCAGTTAAAATCGTACATTGTATAATGATCCAAATAACATTGTATCAGTGTTCGCGGGGCGTGAGGAGGGACGCATTGATACAAGTTTATTATGGCTCAGTATACGATAAATGACGACGAGGGCGCGAAAATTTTTTTAATTTTCTCAATAATAAGGTGAATAATACTAATGATACAATTAGCAATATCTTAGGAATCGGTGATATAATGCAAAACAGGGATGAATATGGTAAGTTACATTGATATACTTTATTTATGTTACATATAGTGTGATTTTGCCATTTTTGTTTGATAATTGTTACACGTCGCTTAGTACGCCGTATACTGATACAACTATATTTACACCTGTTTACAACGAACAAACTTTATAAAAAAGACACTTGACTTATCTAGTTATAATAATGTACTAACTCAATTTTTGATATATTTGTTTTAATTGTGGTATAATATATTTTTTTATGTGTTATAAATTGTATAACTTGATATTGGCACGTTAAATATAAAAATATGAATTCTTGTGTTTTTAATTGTTGTTTGTTTTAGAGTCTCCATTGCCACCGGATACAAATTTTATGGAAGAGGAGCTATCAATACTTGATGATATTGATTAGAATGATAGCAAGGAAGTATCGCAGAATATCCCTTCTAATGCTTACATATTATTCCTAGATTATATTCTTTGCTCTTCGCCTTGGGTATCGAATGTTGATAACTGAGATCGATCGCAATCAGTCATAGAGAACACTCCAGGTAATTCGCCCATCCAGAATAGCATTATAGAAAATTATTATGATATTACTCCAGTACCATCGTCGTATAATTCTTTTGACTCATCTCCTGTTAATTTCTGACATTAATGATATCACATACTCACCGTCCAATAACGCCAAAAGCGCATTTCCATTGCGAAAAAAGATAAAGAAAGGCTAAGAGTTTTCATAAAAAATGTAAGGATAAGGAGAAGAAATATAAGCTTAATAGAGGATTGGAATATGTCAGTAGAAACGGAAGAGTACATGCTACGAGAATTATGAAAACTTCTTGCCCCTCAACTTGTCGGAAAAAATGCAGTGAGAAATTAACTGAGATCCCTTTCTATTAGTTTTGATTTTGGTTATACAGCTTTAGAAAAGTCCGATTAAGGTAATGGATTTATTAAATCAGATCAGCGTGGTCTTTGGATGAACATATAATCCATCCGATAACGTTCACAGAGAAGCATTTTCTCCTGTAGAGTCACATTACACTCGCCAAAAATCAAGTAAAAATTATCTGGAGGGCTTTTTATCTTTCCCAAAACTGTTCATGAATCGAATGGTTTATGGACTACCGTGAGACAATATCGAGATATCTATAGATAGGTTTTATAAACCAAAAAAAGATTTTTGTGAACAATGTCACATTTATGAAAATAACAAGCAAGTTCTACAGACAGATAAAGAAAAGCATGAAGAGCATTTAAAAAAAAAGAGAAAGCTAGAAAAATGAAAACAAAAGATAAAAAATCAGCGTTACAAAATAATGAAATCCTTACATCAGCATCTGATCTTCAAAAGTGTCTTAATGTATGTACCTCACGAGAGCGTGAGTACTTTTTATTATAAACGGAAACATTATTTGTATAATTTCACGATATTCATTCTGGGATCTCGCCAAGGTGATTGCTTTTGATGGTATCAACAGACAGCAAAGAGAGGTGAAATTGAAATTTCCAGCTATCATTTTAAGTTTATAGAAGATACGGGTGGTGAAGGTGACAAAGATTACCGGTTTTAGTCAGACAACTGTGGAGGCCAAAACAGAAATAGGATTTATTTCTTAATGTATATGTTAGATAGTTTAAAGTGTAGTATAGCTATTAGCCATCGCTTTCTAATAGTGGGTCATTCACAAAGTGAAGGCGACAGTATGCACGCTTTAATTGAAAGACAGACAAAGATAAAAATCTTTATATGCCTGATCAATGATATACAGCTTTTAGATACATACACAGTTTATTGAAGTGTCTCAGGATTTAATAAAGGACTTCAAATCAAAGTCAAAACTTATAAACGACTGGACAACTACTAATAATGGATCTATTTATCTATCTAAATAACTCTAATGGAGCAGATGACAGTGATTCAGACTGATTTTTGATTTGTTCAACCTCTGATATTTTTATTTATTTTGTTTAACCTTATAGCAATTTTTTGAGCGTTATTTATATTATTCATATCTATTATTTTTATTAATATTGTTTAACGTAAGTTACCATTTTTAGTTCCTATTATTTTTTTTGATGTTTGTAACTTTTCAAGAAACTTTTAATGATACTACATACTACAAAAAAGGGTCCTACTGAGTATAAACGAAAAATACATTGTGATTCTTTAAATGTGTTGTTTTGTTAATGAGACTACTTCTTCCTAACCTTTATTAATTTCGTGAGGTATTCGAAATACCTAAAATGAGTAATTAAAAAGCCTCGATTAATTATATTAGTCCAGTATACGTTAAGGTTTTAACTACTCAAACTCAAACTCAAACTCAAAATATCTTTATTCAAGTAGGTAACCAAGTACACTTTTGAATCGTCAAGTTAAATTAATCGTAAATTTACATTTACTACCAGTTCGCAAGTCAAGGGCGTAGAGCGGGTAAGAAGAACTGGCAAGAAACTTTCCGCCACTCTTTTTAATCGCCAAGTATTGTCATACAAATTGTTTGAACTGGAGCAATTCAATCCCAAGGATTAGGATCATTTAAGTAGTCCTCAAATTTATAAAAAGCTTTGTTGATTAATTTTCGTTTAACGAGGGCTTTGAATTTATTTAGTGATAATTCTCTAATTTCGCTTGGGAGCTTGTTGTAAAAACGAATACAATTTCCATATAAGGAGTGGTTTATCTTTTGGAGCCTGGTTGGTCGTACACTCAAATTAGTTCTATTTCGCGTATTATACTGGTGAAAGTCACCATTTGTTTTAAAATCGTTTATATTTTTTTGGACATACAACAAGGCTTCAAGAATATATTGACCAGATAGTGTCATAATATTTAATTCCTTAAACTTATTCCGTACCGACTCCCTCGGAGAAACACAACAAATACCCCGAACAGCCCGCTTCTGCAGCACAAATATGGATTGAACCTCTGCAGCAGCACCCCACAGTAAAATGCCGTACGACATAACGCTATGAAAGTAGCTATGGTACACAATTTTAGCCGTGTCCTCATCAGTAAACTGTCGGATTTTCTTTACTGCATATGCTGCAGAGCTCAGCCTATTCGAAAGAGTCTCTATGTGTGGGCCCCATTGGAGTTTACTATCTATTGTTATGCCTAGAAAAACAGTTTTGTCAACAAAGTTTAGTTCACTGTCCT